ATTCTCTCTATCACCACTCTCAACCTTATACAGTTCTAGATGCCGACCAGCAAGTGAATAGAGTAAATTGACAAGCAGATTCTGAGAATGCAGGAGCACAATGTCTTCTGAGCTATCCATGGAGACACAAGTAACATGAAAGAGCAGTGGCAAGTGTTCACGAAAATCCTCATCATTCTCATAAGCAATTTCGGCAAGTAAAATCAACGCTATGTCTGCACGGGATAGTAAGTGTTGTTGATGTCCCTGCAAAGCTGATTGGAGCTCACTGGCACTAATTCCTTGAAGTTCAATACCCCCAAGATGCAAAATATCCTCACCAGAGTTAGGTGTATCAATTAGGCAATCTACACTGTCACGTGACATATGGCGGCTCCTTAAATTACCTGTTGAATTCCGAACACTCATCAATGGCCCTGACAAGCTCATCCCTGGTATGTTCATAAGTGCTGGAAGGAGTTGCCCTGACCGACCAGTGGAAGGAGCAATAATGTTACCTTCAGGGTGCAATGGACTCAGAGGGCCTGAGATACTCCGGCCTGTTATTGCTGAAGTCCGCCAGTTCAGGTTACCGCCGGTGTTTCTATGTGGCCCATCAAGGGAACCACGAACAAGCAAAGGCGACATGTGAGGTTGGCTGTCTGCAATAGTTGTGACCTGAGAAGTTGTGGGGCCTTGAGAAAACTCCAAAATAAAACTTGCCAAAGGATCATCCTTGCTAGGCCTAACTGGATCCTCAATCTCCTCCAGCATTCGCTGTGATAACTCACAAACCAAGTGATCAATGGTCTGTTGTGGGCAAATGCGTGCAAGATATAGACTAACACGTTTGGCTACTGAGAAATATGTAGCAAATGCTCCAGTTATCTCTGCTGATGTATTAGAATCACAGTCTTCAATCCCTTTGGTGATCAAAAAACCAAGGACTGGAATGATATTCCGGTTATTGCTAGCAACAGTGCTCCACAGCTTCTCTATTTCATCAGGAAATTGATCACCATGTTTCCACGTCACATAGTAAAGGCTTTTCAATAATCTTTCACCCCAGCCAGATTCCTTAAGTTTCAAGAAGTTCAGATTCTCAATCCAAGGAGCCATGCATGTTAGGACCTGATGCTGTGCAATAATGTCCACCGCATCAAGCTGTCGTTGCATAATTTCCTCGCACAGGAGTTCACTCAGCTCAGGATGGTCTTTAGCAAGTTTTGAGGAAAGCTTATATTGAAATTGTTGATAGGAGTCTGGTAGGTTTCCAACCACTGATGCCTGATAACGCCCTGTACCCTCAAATTCATCTTCAGCCCATTCACGGACAGAAAGGGTTTCCAACATTTGAAGGGCATCGTCACGAACTTGTTTTGACTGATCAACTACCTTATAGAGGATCAAACTTACCAGTCTCTGGATCTGACACTTTGGAATTTCTTCGCACATATAGACTTCAGCTAGTACACTAAAGTAACCATCTGCTATTGAAGAATCTGGAGAGTAGCACTGTGCCATAGTAAAATAATTTCATAACATGACAAATGGGCTCAACACTGAAGAAGGAACATAACAAAAGATAATATGAAATACAGGTTTCTAAAATTACCAGCATGGTAGTCAGTACTCCTGGTTTTCCTGAATAAGGATCTTGGTTGTGTTCAATTATGGATAGGAAGCAAAAGCTACAAATTTTTTATAAAATTATAACCTAAGAATGTGTCTTGGTTCATATATAATGCCACGCACATTATTTAGAGCGAGGGTAGCATATTACGATCCAGTTATTCACTATATCCCAGTAATCTGGAAGACACCTGGGGACATGGAGCAAACAAACTAACAAATCTTTCCAACATGGTAAGAAAGGCATGTAGTCGGTTGCTTGTTTGATTAATGAATTAGGTAACTGTGTCTAGATTATAAGAATTTGACCATGCCATTTTGACCCTGAACTGAACACATATTATCTATAAATTATGAAGTAAATCCACTATGTTAAAAGCAATCGAGCAGAAATTAGAATATGCAGATGATAGATGAACAAAAATGGCTCTTAAGAATAAGTGATAGCCATTTTTTACCCTCCTTTGATTAATGCCCAACTAGAAACCGTACAGCTCATGCATTCCTTTTTGACAGGCTATGATCAGCCCACGAAGGCATCCTTGGGATAATTTCATAGTTCCTAACTTCCTACAAGGTGGTTCAGTTCATAAATTTTACTTCCTTTTGCCACATTTCACTCAAGAGGCTAAAGGAAGATAGCATGACCATTTGCAAAGGCCAACTTAATCCTCTTCCTCAGGAAACCAAGAATTCCAAGAGATTCCATGCATTATTCATGTATGACCCATACTAGATCTGACCAACTGTCCATCTTACCTCCTCTACATTCTAGACAGCTCATCTTCTTGTTTCTACATTCTTGTTTCAGTATTCTTTCAGTAAAATGTTTTGGTCCTATTCCTTGTTGAGCCACTGGTTCAAACACGATTGACTATCATTATCGATTGAACAATTAGCTAGAGCTGCTAGAACTATATCAGCTGATTGCTAAAGAGGCTAAATTGACCATGTTAAGATTACCCCTTGAGGAGGTCCATTTGATATCTAAAAACTACTCAAGAAAAATTGGCACGGTGGATAATGTTGGGGTCAATAGAAAAAGATCTGGTAGACTCAGAATAGTGTTGGTAATGTAAGCATCGAGCAGTAATAATAGTTATGAATGCTGAAAAGGTAACCATTGTGCAGTAATAATAATTATGAATGCTGAAAACCATCCCCAACAGGAAGGTTAGGAGATGCATTGATATTGATGGAAGAGGGAATCAAAGTGATCATAAATGAATAAGTGTAGAAGTGAAGAACCCCATGGAAAGAAGCTTAAGCAGTGAATGGTCAGGTTCCTATAGCCCATGGTCAACAAGAATTAATAATCAGGGACTGACAAACTTGAAAAACTACTATACTATTACTTTAAACCAAAAACAAATAAATTCAATGGGCATCTTTAAGACATTGTACTGAGTCTATGTAATAATTAGACTCTCTGAACAACACAACATGATAATTTCCTCTGTATTCAGACCTCATGAGAAGCAATTCATACAAATCACTTTTCTGCATTAACGAATATTGTCATTCATTAACAACAAATCTGATGTTGCAAAGCAGGTAATGGCATATAATTTATGCATTTGAAATCAGTGAAATGAAATATAACAATTATGCAAAAACTGTAATATAACAAAATCTACAACATGATGCATCTCTAGGAAGCTGTATAATACAAGTGTCTCAACTTTTAAGGCATGATTTACGTTTTGATCAGATATTTAAGGCTCAACCAAGGATTTTCTACTAATGGTTAGCATTTAAGTTTTTCTCATTGCTTGAAGGAGATTTTCCAATCTTAATGCAAAACTTGAAAATGAATTGCTATAGTTGAGTTTGATTATACTAATGCATATTGACTGTCATTCATAGATAGGAGGTTTTTTCACCTTGTTTTTTGTGCAAAGACATTTAACTTAACATATAAGATGCAAGATGCTAAGGAAGATATGGAGAGGAGATGAAACCTACTTGGTCAATACAAGCAGGAAATAGCTCCAAATTTGTCTGGAGAAGATTTTTTAATGCAGTTTTTGCTAGAAGAAGGCGGAGATGTCCACTTTTCTGTTTATCTCGTCCTGCACTAACACGTCCTCCATCTCCCGTGTATTTTGTGTATGATGGAGTTCGTGGATCTGCAGGTGAAAACCCAAATGGTGCCCTATAAGCTGGTTCCATAAATAAATTGTTGATCCAAGATATAACCCGACCAGTCATCTTTCTGGCATTGTCATCAAAAGATGGCCCATATAAAAGAGAGGCAATGGCATTCATGGAGGCCCACTGCACTGCCTCCACTTGCTCAAAAACCTCCTTATCGAAATTGAATTTATCTATTGACTCCCTTGATCGGTTGTGCTGTCCCAACTTGTAGCGCTCAATTTCTCTGCGGTACTCACTAATGTTTTCAAGTGACCATGTGCTGCCTGTATCATCACACCAACTAAGAAGAAGATCAAAAAGCTTCTTACGAATTCTGACATCAAACTTATCAGACTTTGACTCCACAAATTCTGGAGCTAAATATCGTATCACAGAAGCTAACGCATAACGGAGAGGCTGCAATTCCTGAAAACTATCAGATTGTGATGCGCATATGTGGCGGTATGTTTCTTCAATAAATTTCAGAAAATGTAGTCGCAAAATAGCTTTCCGACTAAGCATCCCTGGCCAAACTTTCTCAGCGATTGTACGATATATGTTTGCAATGTGTATGCGAAGATCCTCACGGCGGGACTTCTGGTTCTGCATGCACATACTTGATGAGATGTAGTGAATACATAATTTCTAACACCTAAGCACATATGTTTTTAGTGTTAGTTTAAATACTCATGAAGTAGAAAAGAAGCTTTCTTTTAATTCAAACTTAAGGACATTTAAATAGCACTTATCATTTAAAAACTTGATAGCTCTTTTATTGGCTAATATGATAAACAGCACCACTTCATTGGTCTGCCTGGACAAAAATCAAATGTTCAGATAAACTACAAAGTTGTTTATGCAGAGGTGGGAGAGAAAACAAATAATAATTAAAATAGGCCATGTCATTTTTTTTTTATTAGCCAAACATAATTGGTGAGAGTTTTTATAGAAATGTACCACATAATGACTATAATTTCTTTATATATCTTGATAAACTGGCATAGTATAGACACCAGATGAATTAGAAGAGGTATCTCTGAAAAGAAAAAGGTGGGCAATGTGAGACTAACAATAGAACAATGGAATATACAAGGCAAAACAATAAAGAACTTCATTCAATCAACTGCTCCAATACAATTTGGTCTGACTAATATGTTTAATCCATTCAACACTATTGTCAAAGATGATAAACTCGCCCTGATTCAGAAAAGATAAGAACAGCTAGGTGAATTTGTATGTGGTTCTTTCATCAGTGCTACTCTGAAACAAGACCAGATCCATGCCTATAATCAGAAAGCAAATTAAAGCTGACCCAATAACTAGTGTAAATAGGTTTTTCACCATGTCATAGGTCAACCAAGCAGATTTCCCATACTCCAACATTCCTATACCAAAAGAGAACTAGGGCAATAGGTAATCATAAATATGAATGATTTTTAAATATGAATGCTTCCTTGTAATTTGTTCAACAAAGTAAAGAAATCATGTCATTGTGTCGATTGAAAATTTAGGCAAATTAAGTACTAAAGCACGAGAAGTTATGCAAAACTTAGCAATTAACATGATATCTAACATATCTCTGTGCAACAGCCAGCACAACAGTATACTTAAATTTATCAAGAATAATTTGAATGCGAGTATACTCATGGACTTCCCTTAAAAAATATACAAAGACACTTGACCAAAGTGACTTATATACATACCCATTAGGCCATTACAATAATTAATTCAGGCAGTAAATCATGTACCTTCCATTTTGACTTTCCCTCTGCTTCTGACGAAACTTCCTCAACAAATGATGCAAGCTCACCAAACATTGTTTCACATACTTCCAGGTTTGAGTGGCCAAGAGCAGTGATAGCTGCATGCTAGACCAAAAATATAGTAAAGCACTATTAATGATCACCAGGTGGCATAAGCCAAATTGGAAAATGCAAGAAGAGATAGTACTGATGCCTCTTCATCTTAAATTGCTACCAACCTTTTTGCCTTTTTTTTTTTCAGAAAGCAAATACTTACAAAGGATATCAGATGCCCAAATATAATAGATTACATGAGCATCCACTTATCAGCATCGGTTACATGGGCATGGACACCAATCCCAATAACTTGAGGACCAAGTAAACGTCAATTAATGAGTCTACCACTAGATAGATGTATGGAAGTAGTAGATAAGAAAGCTGGGGTGACTAAAAGTAAATAGAGGCAATCCAAAAACCAAATACCAAAATGGAAATAGGAATCGAAGCATGCCAACAAGCGGTGGAATCAGTTGGAAGTTGGAGAGTGAGGGGAACTAGATTCAATCAAAGAGCCAGACTATCAGTAAGGAAAAAGGGCCCTACAGAAGATAAGGCAACATCAATATGTCAGCTTATGAGAAGTGAGTGGATGTGGGGGGTGATCAACAAGGAAAATGGCTGGTTGGACTAAATGAGTAAAAAGAATGAGATGGAGAAGGGGGCATATAAGATGAAGCCAAGAAAAGTAGGTGATCGCTATTCATGTGTTAGCTTTAACTATTTTAGTTTATGTGTTACCATATGAGTTACACCAACTTTGACCTCTATTAGATCAAACTGGTTATGGATCTCAAATATTTTAACTAGTCAATGGATGAGCATTTGTTCATCCAACAATACCTATAACTCGAGTTACCATATTGAGCATTAATTACTAGAGGCAATCCAAAAACCTATTGTTGGCTGACAACTATATTGTTGTACATTGGGTCATTATGTACATAATATATTGAACCTTTGACATATTTGCTCCTCCAATTTAGGGTTAAATATGACACAAAAAAGTTTGAAAATCAATACATGGGTCAGGGATGAAATGAAAAATGTTTGTCCAATAGGCAAGGCTCCTACAATTGCAAGATGTACAAAGGATCTATGTATAATTAAAATTTATATAACTAGCATATCATTTATATGACCTACTATTAGTTTGATTTTCATGTTTAATCATTTACATATTAAAAAGTATTTTAACTATAGTGATCTCTTTTTTCTCAAATATATATATATATCTTTCAGAACATTTTACTTCAAAGTATTTTCATATTTCACAATTAAATAGAAACTAACTTTCAGTATATTTAACAATTTGTCAAAATATCAAGAAATTATGTTTTTCACTCACGTTGCACTCCAATCTCACAGAGACGGCAACAAGCAGGATAATGACATGAGAGAAGGGCAGCACTGACGATAAACAATGGACAATAGTAGATGTAGAAATATTATTTTTCTCTTCCTTTCCTCTTCATGCCTTCACCCATTCTTCAGCTGCCACTTTTTTTTCTTTGCAAATCGAATATTGACTAAAATTGGCCAACAAAGGCTTGGATCAGCCTACTCAAACCAAATTTTGGCTAGTTTTAACAGGTTCCAAATGGATCAGTCAGATAACAAAGTGTTGTGTTGGGTAGACATAAATGCAATGGGGGAAGATCATTCTAGGCATTATAGGTTGTCAATTGTCACATCCCATGGTAAATTATCCTGAAGGCCAAATTTCAAATAGTAACCTTTCGCAAAAGAGAAACAAGTACTGCAAAAAATATAAAGACAAAAGGCCTTTTTCCAAGTATTGTAATGAATTTGATCAAATTTGATAAGTTTGTCTTTGTTTCTAATTTTTTTTCCCAACAAAAGGATTAAAAAGTATACAACCTATAAATTCTCAATAGCAAAGTTTGGAATACTTTCGACAAAATATATGTGATTTTTGTCTGCAAAGGTGATTCTGAAGGCATCCCTTATAGGCATGAGCTTTCAGTACATGAGCTTCTGGTACTTTCAACAAAATACATGAGCTTTCGATACCTAGGACCTTCAAGGCTTCAACCACTTTCTACACTATTTACTTTCCTTTCTTGTACACTTGAAGGCATCCCTTGTTGAGGAATTTAATTACAAAAATTTAATAGGGCAAGTCATGGTTTCATAATAATGTTGCTCCATTGAGATCTACATGCCAAAGATTCTGAAAGAACCCCTATAAATAAGTCAGGATATCTTTCAAAGCCTAGTCTCTGAGAAGCCTCGTATTGGCAAGAAGCTCACTCATTTAGCCACACTTTCTAATTCTTATTTAAGTAATCACATTGTTTATCCTGCAATGGCTCCTTGTAGTTGCACAAATTAGCATTAGATGATTCTTTTGGAATTCATTAGATAAAAGTAGAAAGTTAAAGTACACTATTATAAAACAATATACATATCACATGTACCAATGATTTACCTTGCTTTGTTCTTTCAGAGATTTCTTCCCACACATCAAGGGAAACCTTATTAAACCCTGAATGTGTTGGAAAATAACCTAAATACACTTTAAGTTGATAATCATCAAAAAGAGTAGAATCACATAGTTTATAGCTTTATATAATTCCAATCCTCTCATACAATTCTAGTTTTGGATGGACACTATGAAGCCTCTCAAATGGTTCACCCACCTGGCCTTGAATATGTGATTGGCCAGTAAAACACCATTCACAGCCAAACAAGTGTGCAATAGGATGCATGAGGCTTTTGCAATGATCAAACATGCATATGCTTCGGAAAAAAATATATATATGCATAGGCTCCACAGTATCTCTCCTTATGGTATATCAAACTCAGCTCATAAAAATCTTCATGTGAAGACAAACATATCACAGAAAAAATCAGCTTGATACTTGTAATAATACCCAAACGTTTTGATCCCATTTTAATCTGCTGTAACTTAAACCTCTGGTTATAGCATCAGAAAAAATTGTTGGTACAGCATGCTTTTGTTTAGACTAGCAATGACTTGTAAGCACATATCACTGTGCATCTTCAGCAAGGTTGTAAATTTGTTGTCAAAGATAATATCTGACAGTGGAAGTAACCTTGTACTTACAGTGTATATTTCAGATCCATGTCTAAGTGCTGGGAATATGAGATGAAAAAGCTCCTTAGCTGCTGTAAAGGCCCGGTCTTCTCTGTTATCAGTTGGACAGGAGCATGCAAACATAGCATACATTAACCATTGGTCAAGTTTGTTTTCTGCATCTTGTGACTGATAAGCCTTCCCACCTAATTCAACAGGTGTAACAAGTGCAAGCCTACGTATTACCTCCAGCCTGAGAATTATTAGCTATAAATGAATATCAAATTACCTGAAAATTACTAGCATAACTAATAAATACTCCATAGCTTGTGATAATTAGTACTATTTAATTACTGTATACTGAGAGCTTCAAATGATAGACTAGTAATAACCAGGGCTGTCTAATGTTGGCTACTGAGTGATGCTAACAATGAAGTTAACACCGGCATAGCAATCCAAATTACAAAGACAATTTCCTTCACTTGGAGGAATAATTAATGATTTTGAACAAAAAATATTTTCTACATGTCAGACAACTCGTCAGCAAGAAGTTTTAAAGTAAAAAAAATAAGATTTTCCATTTAAACCACATATTTTAGTTTTCTCTCGCATCACTTACATTAGCATGTTAGTTAATTATCGCACAAATAATAAAAGACTCATATAGTGGTCAAACTCTATGAATATAGATTTGAAATATTAACTGATATAATGACAATAGATATCAATATTATAAATTTGCAAGTCTTCTATAATATTCTAAACTATAGTTATTAGCCCAGACTGGACCAGCCAGTCCGCCCATAAAAATCAGGAACAGGTCACTTGGGCAATCGGATTCACTAATCAGACTGTTTTATCTATATTGACCATAATGCCTTAAATATAGATTCTCTTATGCTTTCATAAAGTGTGCATCACTCGATCCCTCTTTCTAACCCACCCCCTTTATCATCCCCTCTTCTAAATCCTCTCAGCCCTTTGTCATTAATGTTCTCCTTTTCTCTTTCGTTGTCCTCCTCTTGATTTCGTCATTTATTTCATCCTCTCTGTCATTCTTTTTTTTCTGTTTCTGTCACGGTTCTTTTTGTAGTTGCTTTCTTTCACAATCATTCAATTTTCTTCTGCCAGAACCTCACGTCATTTGTTATTGATCTATTCTTCTGTTAGTTAACATATTCGAGCTCAGATTTCTCCTTTTGATCATCAAATTTCATGAATTCTTTATATGATAAAGAAAGATTTTGCAAGGATATTTTTATTCTTAATTTTTGGTATCTTTACTGTAAAATATTTTTTTATCTTTATATATAATATATAAGCATTATTTATGTTTAAATATTTCATATCAAACCCACAGTCCAACCCCGTGACCCACTAGTCCAACCAGTGAACCAATGACTCATATCTACTCCTGAGTTTGGTAACTATGTATGACTCGAGGTTTGCCAACTCATGACCAACTAATCTGGTAACCATCAGTCATACAGTGAACGAGTGACATCCCAGTATGGCTCAAACCTAAAAACCCCAACCAGACTCATAGGGTCAGAGGCATCCTTACCTTGGTCAGGCAACAGAGGGTAACAAAGTAACAAACAAACCTGATAATGGCTGAAAGCTACAGACAGCCCTCACTTTGGCTGGACTGGCCAATTGGACCAGATATTGTTCTAACATGCTGGGAAGACTTCAATCAAACTCGGATTGGCCAGGACAATAGATGTACTGATTGGAAAAGTCTAGAAGATAGCTTCTGGGTTCAACGAGTGCTATCCAAGAAAAAGAATAGATCAACAATCCCACATCAAATAAGAAAAGGAAAGCAGGCTCATCCAAGTTGGGAAACCCAACTCAGGCTCTAAAAGCAGAGAATAGAAAAGGCAGGGAAAAGACTTGAGTAAAATAGTTTCTAAAATAGTTCAGTATTATACAGTTCAGATAGTTTTTTTGACACTAGTTGATTGTAGACATATGTGCTTCTAAGACTTGAAGGGTATGCATGAATTTTCTTCTCTCAAGCAGTCTTTTACATAAAACATTTATTTAGGATTAATCTTAGCAGTTATCAGCAGTTCACTTTTCCCTCCTAACATATAGAATGCCTAACAGGAGGAACCATAACCTATCAAATTAGAGAAGAAAAGGAAAATAAGAGGTGTCTGGACTCTCGACTATGAAACAACGTTTGAAATATCATACCATACCAGCGTTTCGACATTCGCTCGGTACGGTATGACCATATACCGATGGTTTACCACTCAGTATATATATATATATTCCTTCTCCCACACGGGGCGACGTGACGTCGCTTTATAATATATATATATATATATATATGTCATCTGGTAACGGGCGGTCCGTGTACCGGTCAACTAACGGACCGATACGTATCGCTCGGTATGGACAGTATTATTCGAAACTGTATACCTTGCTCTGAAACATAGAGAAGACAGATCAAAAAGAAAATGTCAAGGTGATCTATATTATATACCACCATATTTGTATGTTTAAGAAGTTACAAAAGAAACAAGAGAACAAGAATAGAAGAAAAATAGAAAACATGAATTCCACATCTCCTTGGAATAAGCATAGTTCTCTTGACTAATCAAAATTTAGCACACCTAGACTTAACGTAGAATAAATTTCCACTAGTTGATGAAGTTAAATAATTTAAGTTCACATAATGCCTACTAGCTTTTAATTGCAAATGACCACAAACTACACAGCTGAAACAATTACCTACTGCCAGCACAACCCTGCAGTAAGTCTGAACTATTATGTAGAAGGAAAGTGGACTTGGCACAAACAGAACAGGTTGTCTTAGTACAAGATTAAAGTCAAAATGTCTTGATATTTAAGTCATATTAGCTGAAGCAATATGTGCAGCTAAGTTGATACAATCTCCAGATCAATGAGCACTCTTAACAAGGCAAACCAAGATGACATTATTATATCTCAAAGACAAAAGAAGAAGTATATAACATTCTAACTAAATAAAGAAAAGTATTCTTGCCTTGCTTCCTGAACAGAAGTTGGGCAAAGTTCAGCAGCAAATTTAACAAGTTCACTAAGACAGCGGGCCCATCTGTTTTTATCAGGGTTTTCAAGAATGGACTGAAGTGTTATGTCTGGAGGCACTGGATCGAATTCCCTCCTCAAATCAAAAGGACGACCAGAATCCCAATAGCTACTCAAAACAAAATCATCCTGGGAATCAAATCAAAACCTGAATCAGATAAACCACCAAAAGATTGAAAGCCAACAACAAACACTATTTTGTTCCAGTTAAGGAATTCTACCCTTCAGACACTTATGTAAACATGACAATATGACATCTGGTCCAACATAAGTAATAAACCTTTTCCAAAATATTAATTCTTCTCTTGATCAGTACAAGTTACCAAGCATCGAAATTCATCTCCTTACATGGCCTTTTTATGATTTATAACATATCAGCATTATGTAAAAGAGAAAACATATATTAAAGCATTAAAAAATAAAAAAATAAGAGGAAAAAGACAAAAACTAAACTGAAAATACTCACTCCATTTTCTTCCAATACGTCAATGACAAATATTGGTTCCACCTCAAACAATTTATTATCAGCTCGGCCATTTGCTGAGAGGTTTCTGATATCATTTCTTAAAACACGAACAGACCGCAGTAACTCTAATGCTGTATGTCTTATCTGGACATCCACTGAACTGAGGAAAAAAAGACCAAGTGCATCTACTTCTGTTGTTTGGAACTCAGAAGGATCTGCTGACTGAAGAAATGGAGACCTGTTCACTTTATCACCATCAAGACATGGTCTCTTAATGCTATGAGCATCATTTACCAACAGTTTATCAGACAAACAAGCCCTCCACAAACGTATAAGTTCCACTAGGCGGACCAGTGAAGTTTGGATTAAAAGAGGAAACTCATCAGGAAGTTTCAGTATAAAGGTAGCCATCCCTCTCACCACAGCATGACGACGATGAGGAAGATGTCGTACAATGCGGTTCATTACTTGCACTGCTTCTTCACGAACACCAGGATCAAAACTTATGCCATGCTGTGGAATAATTTCAGTTATCTTATCACTGCGGCCAACTTCTTCGATCAAATATGGTATGCACTTCAGCACTGACCTGAAGAGAGACGCTTGAGATTTTTCCTTCGTTGCATTATCTAAAAGAGTTTATTCTTTAGAACAATTTCATAGCATTTGCAAATAAGAAAGAGAAAGAGTAATATATAATCAATATGCTAACACTTCTAACCAAGAAAACTGAGAACAATTGAAACAAACTAAAGTACTAAAAGGTCCAGTCAATTTTGCCAAAAACTATCAAATGTCACGACCCGAGTCTGATGAGTTAACTGGCCAATAACTTCATTTCGGTCCTTCAACCATGGACCAAAATACTTAAGCGGGAGTTGTCATAGTACACTCATCAGGCCCATATAAGCCAATCAGAGTCATTGTCCACTTCCGATGTGGGACTAACTCTAAATTTCCTAAGGTCCTGACTGTCAACCTGATTTTCAGATTAAATGATATAAAATAGAAAATTAGATAAGTGTTAACAAATCTGAACTATGAGTCAGCATCTTTACACTGATATAACAGATTTACTGCAAGTAATCAACCACTGCAGAAGAAATTTAACTCATAAAATTGCTAATTAGTATGAACCAAGGTTCGCAATACCGTACCATACCGGAGTTTCGACCTGGGCTCGGTACCGGTACGGTACGGTATACCGCTCGGTACACCTGGGTGTACCGAGCTGTATATTCAGGCGTGCCGAGCACTGCAGTGTCGGAACGGTAATATATGGTCCGCGTACCGGAAGCATGTCGGACCGGTACGTACCGCCCGTACCGGGCGGTACGGACCGGTACTGCAAACCATGGTATGAACACACTAACTTTGAAATAACTCTAATTTTGATAATAGCATCCATCATGAATCTAGGATAGCACATTGAAGCAACAAATAGCTAAAAGATAACAAAATATATAAAATTGCAACAATGAAGAGTTGAAGACCAAAAAATATAAAACTTGTCAGACTAATATGTATCAACCAGTATTTACCAGTTCATTCAAAACCAGACTTACCGCCTGGTTTGATTATCATACCGGGAATACCACCCGATACCCCTATCTGTTTTTAACTTTTGATAGTTGTCTTTTCTTTTTTGTCTCCTGCCTTCATTTCTCTCTTTCGCTTATCTCTCTCTTCACTTTGCCTCCTCCTCCTCCCCACCGCCTCTTCCTTTCTCTCTTTCACATATCTCTCTCCTCCCCCTCCGCCATTTCCTCCACCCCATGGCTTCTTCCTCCTTATAAGGGCTACTTCCTTTACCTCTAGTACACCTCCTCTTCCTCCATCTCCTCCACCTCCTCTTCCTATATCGTTCCTCCTTCACATTTTCCTCCCCCTCCTCTTCTTCCTACTCCTCTCAAGGGTTCGCCATACCGAACTGTACTGCCTGAGACAAGTGGGATGTACCAGTCCGTCAAGGGATCGATATATAAACCACCCTATACTAGGTGGTACCCATTACATGACCTCATATCGGGTGATACAGGGTCTATACCAATAAAAAATGGTCGAAATTCGACCATTACTAACCTATAATGGTCGGATTTCGACCATTACCAATCAAGAGTTGAGATTGGCCTATTTTAAACGATCAATTTGATCATTTGAACTATAGAAAAGGGTTTTTAAACCCTTTCCTCCCCCCTCTTTTATTTTCTATGAGAAATTCTAGGATTTTATTTTCTGTTCTTCTGTTGTGCATGTGATATCGCCCCAGATTTCCCAACAAATAAGGTACTGGTCAAGTTTATACATCGAGGGGGAAGGGAAGACAGTAGATAATTTTGAGCAGATGTAACAGAGCCTACACAACGTAAACACAAAGCGAAACTCAATGTATTCATAGTCATCGTATTATGGAGAATTTTACGGCCAACAGCAGTACGGTGATAGTTGGTCATACTTCTCCGAGCAGTAGTATAATGATCGATCTTATGATACGGAGCAGTAGATCAGTGGCGAAAGTAGAAATTCAAACATTCTCCATGCTTCACCCAATACATGCCATAATCGTCCTTGCTTTAAGAGCCGCCACGAATACATGGTTCACGACGATCAGACTACGACCATCATCACATTAACGCACCAATGGTATATGGTGTATCAGTATATTATATCATAAGATCAATTTCAGAATTAGGTCCAACAAATATATCAAATTGATATATAGATTTATAGACTCGAAAACCCTAATCCACCGCCCATAGAGTCCTGTAGTTCTCTTTGGTGGTAGAACTAAGTATATTTATCGATTAATTATTTGATTCATTATAATCTTAAACTTTAAGTTGTTTAAAAATTAATCTAACAATTTAAATCATTTCTTTGTAGATAATTCAATATTAATGGAAGAACGATCCGGAACATACCACAAAGCTACTCCTCAAAGCCCAAAAAAAATGTAACTATTCTTTCCTAATTTAGATTTTTTTGATAAAATTAAACTAAATTTATATTTATTTTTAACTTAAAAACCCTAATCTAATTTTTTTCTATTTTTATAAATATTTGAAGCTATTTTCGGTAATTTTACCACACCGTCGATATGCCTCGTTGTACCAAGATACGATATGTTGGTATGCTTTAGTATATGCCATACCAATGACTAGTTGGTACACCTGTACGGATCGATAAGACGAACCTTGCTCCTCTCTACCCCTTTCTCTTAGTCCAAGCGGAACTTATCTGTGCCATGTGTTGCTACATCAATCCATACTGGAACTGTACAATATCAACACTTGACCAAAATTATAAACCCTGATGAAGATGCGAGGAGACTATAGATTAGAAGAAAATAACTTCAAGTTGGAAGAAATTATCGATCATAAACGAAAGAAGATAGTAGGTACTCAAGATCTAAAAAAATATCTCTTATCCAACAATACATGTCATTGTCATGCATGTTTAAGGCATAAAAGGCTTTATTTATGAACGAGTAAGTCAACTACAACCAAGATGCATTTGTCAGGAGTGCTGGTGATGATGTATCTATACATGAATTTTGTTTTATTAGAGTTAGAAATGAAGATGATTTATTTTCAAAAAATATACCACCAAAATAAGGATTTGATCATAACTTCTCCTAGCTCAACTCATCTAAACTTCTTAAACTAATAGTTCTATCTTATCTTATTATATTTCTAAATAAACAAATGATAAAGCCAAACAAATAATAATAAAATGAGACATCTTATACAAATCTAACATCTAATTAATAAATAATATCATAAATCCTTGAAGAAAAATAAATCTAATATAGACTCAATAAAACTAGATAAGTTACATGAAGTTGGATAGCATCAATTCACTTTTTATTGAATAGATCTCATTCTCAAGATACATGAAGTTGCAGTAGTTCTGATCTACAATTTGTTTTCTTCAGTTCATGTTTGGTATCGATATCATTGTAGATTACTCACGTTACTACAATCACTTGAAACTCTCACTTTTTTATTTGCGGTCTGAGTAAAACAAGTATTATGACTAGAAGAACAAGATCAAAAGTAAAATGGAAAGAAGATTATGAGCAAATTTCAAGATACAAAAAAAAGATAGATTAAAAAATCTAACAAAAATAGCTTGTTAATCCATTTTCATTTCTAAGAATATATGTTATATTGGGATGGAGATGAACTGAATATAAATATAACTAGGAGGATTCTTAAACTCAGGAGCTATTTCATTATTTCTCTAGCATAAAAATCTATGATATCATCAAGTTTTAATTGTCCACATTATCAAATCAAAATAGGACTAACTAGATATGCCATATTTCAGCAGAAAAAATTGGAAAGGCTAAAAGACTGTAATCGTCAAATTTTATTTTAGCCTTTGAAAATATATTTTGTCAAAATCGGTTTTTGATCACAGAATAAAAAAAAGGGCATAAATTTCATTGTCGAACATATCTTTTAATATTCAATGCAAACTTACTCTTGCATCAAGGACCAATTTTCCACTTATCACAAATAAAACTTCGAGATTAACCTTATGTGTTGGTATGTTTAATGTGCCATTGCCATAATAAACAGAGAAGTGGCACCACAAGGTCCAATATAAATATATTTGTCATTGATCGTAGCCATGATGAACGTCTTGTCACACCAACATCATTAACATCCAAAATAATCCATTCATTTACAAAGTTGTATCTCTCCTCAGAGTTTCCTTTGACATGTCATGAAATTGCCACCCAAAATCATCCATGGTTGCACCCTACTATTAATATATTTAGAACCAAGGTTCGCAATACCGTACCGTACCGTACCGGTATACCGCTCGGTACACCCAGGTGTACCGAGCGGTATATTCAGGCGTGCCGAGCACTGTAGCAGTACTGCTACAGTACCGGACCGGTAACAGGCGGTCCGCGTACCGGAAGCCTGTTGGACCGGTACGTACCGCCCATACCGGGCGGTACGGACCGGTACTGCAAACCATGTTTAGAACTACTCACCCTTTTCATGAATTATCTAATAAATGGCATATTCTGCAATATGTATAACATTGATCAATTCTTGTCATGCACATAAGATATATTCCTCAAGCGGGATGAATGAAATAACAATATTGCTACATATCTGCATCTATTCTCCTCAATCAATAACAATGCATTATAGTTAATACTTAATAATTACTAAGCAGTGGAAATATAGTCCAGGAGTGACCATTAAACATGAAATAAAATATAGGGCAAGTTAAATTAAATCATACTTTGCCCCATACTAGCTGTGCTGTAAACAAACTTTCTTAAGCGTATGACTTTACATACCCTTGTACTTACACCATAAAAATTAAGTGCACAGAAACATCTACAAAAAGTAGCACCAGATAAAGAAGAGTAGCACACCTATGGTTGACTTTGGTGAAGTAAGAAGGGCTTGGCTATAGGCTTTATTGCATGATCGTATGATAGACTCAATAGCAGATTTCACTTTCGGAACGTAATGACCAATACCATGAACTGAAACAGTAATAGATAAGTTAGCGTTACATATAGCAATATACAGAAGTACAGAATCAAAATTCAAAAGAAAAAGTGTTGAAGAAAATATTTTATGAGGGCAGGAAATATCACCATGAAAAACTTCCAAGCTAAATTGTTGATTTGAAGGAGACATAACAATGGCAAGCAAAGCCCGAAGACCAATAACCTTTGCTTCACTCAGACTATCAGGTTTCAACAATTCTAGTATCATATGATTCATAGTGAAATCTAGGTTACTCTCAGCTAAAGTCGCACAGAACTCAACAAGTTTATCATGCTGAACATCTTGAGTTAGCAAACCTTTCTTTAAGACAGTCAACAACTGTGCTGTGACACTGTACAAGTAATCCCATACTTGGTTTTTAGGCTGGAAATCTGCATAAACATTTAAATAAAATTTCACAACCCGGTGCAAGCAATCTAGTGCCATCGACCGATGGTTCTTATCCTGCATAGAGATGGCATCAAACAAGTTAATGCTTGACAGGAATGGGACTTCAAAAAAGGCAAATAGCTGCCTTCAAATGCCCACGTAAATGACATAGAATAATTAGCTTGGCACTAATTAACAAAAAAACAATTTGTTATATTACACAAGAAAACACACTCACTTTAAGATTCTTATACAAAAGCTCCATATGAGGACCAAAGTTAGTATTAAATGCTTGGGGATCGCCTAGACAGAGTAGAAGGGTCACCAATGGGAAGCCAACCTAGAAAAAATGAAATTATTGCAGATGCACAAGACTTAAGATAATGGAAAAAAAATCTGAGTCAGAAGTTAACCACTGATAACTGTATGGGGGAAAAAGAAAGAGGATGTCACTACAATCACTTCTACAACAAAAAATTATAAAATAACGCTGGCTCTTCTTATGCATCCATCTTAAAAAAAATTTCCTCTATGGCATGGTTGTGACTTATGCATGTCAGAGTAGCTCAAAAAAGCAACTTCTATAACAAAATATCAGACTTTAAGATATTCAACAATGATGACAAATGACAAAACTCCTAGAAGAGAAGGCCCAATATTACTAATTGACCAATCTAAACATCCGCAATGTTAGACTCAAATTTTTTCTAATTATTGTTTAACAATTCCCCAGTAATCAAAGAACAATTCTGTAATAAAATAGAAACAACAAGATAAAAAAGCTGTGGATTAACTCTTATCAGTGCTACTTACAAAAAGCATTCCACCAACACAAGCCTGTCCCCAACCCCAAACAGAAAAGAAAGAAAGAAACATGTCAGGTACATATTTGCAATGAAAGACATGATGATCTTAGATTGAATTTTTCTTTTCAGAGGCTTCTTGTAAACCTATCTACTACTGCTCATGAAATACTTACCAAAATTATTTTTCTACATGCTCCATTATTTCTGTTTTCTCTCATTGCTGAATTAGATGTTGACATATGTCTGGATCAATTCACATGCTTTTTCTATGAAAACCACTGCTTTTATCAAGCATTAAAAAACAAAAAAGAATGTCAGCAAATCCAAGTATACACATAGGCAACATTCATCTGTTCAAGAGTTTTGGTGTGTAATATCAGTAATAAACAAGCCTGTTTAAATTGGTCATGGCTCTAAAAATCCTGTGATGCTTATTCCTAGACTAAATCCAGAAGCAAGCAATGTCTTCAAAACCTCCTTTAAAATTAATATTTAGGATTCTTATATGACTAACTATTTCTATTCATCCATTCATAACTTTTGCTGGCCTTTCTCCAGTCTGCCCATCTTCCACATGAATGTATCAGCTTGGCCATCATAGAAAATAATATAAGTTTGAAATACTGAATACCGGTACCTGTACCAACCAATATAGTATGACACAACATGACACATCAATGAAAAATATATATATATATATTAAACATAATAGTACCAAGTACCAATCAGTAAAGTCAATATATCACGATGTTTGAAACCATGAAAACAACTTCCTTGAAACCTTTAGAACCTCCATGTGATCATTTCATGTTTCATTACACGTTCACCACAGGCAGCTTAACCTTTTCCCAAACACCAATATGATTTTGCTTCCTCAATACTTTATCCAACATTGATACCATGGTATTGCTCCCTTTCAACCTGAAAGACCAGGGTTCAAGTCACGGAAACAATCTCTTTAAATATTTTAAAGATAATGTTGCATACATTGAACCTCTCCATACCCCACATTGGTAGAAGCCTTATGCACTAGGAACACCCTTAATACTTAATCCAGCATAATGACTGACAAAAAATTCATAAGTTGACAAATGCAACCTGGACCACAATATTTAATCCAACCCAACATGGATAATTTCATATTCTTGTGTGCTAATTCAGGTTAAAATGAAGCATGAATTATCTAAAAAGTTGAGGCTCAATGGGAACCCACTAGCCCACTCAATTCATAATCGCACATCTTTATTACAAGAGCAACGTAACCATCTATCAGCTTGTATTGCACTGAAAAATCTCTTGCAAGCTGCATTATTCCAATATGCTGTCAAGTGCAATGGAAACTGACACATGTAGAAAATCTTTATGAGAAATAAGAAGGTTTCTTTTCCTTGACATCCGTATCAGATTTTAAATACCAGTCGGACTAATACCAACTAATATATTTCAATCTGATCGAGGATCAGCATCAAATCATATAGCCTGGTACAAATTGATATTAATTTTCTTTTTCTTTTTTGTGATGTCGGTGGTACAAGTTGATATATCACCCAGCATAGTTCTAAATACCATCTGGATTGATCTCATGGTCTGAAAAACCAACAGATAGACCAGCCCCTTTGGGAACGTTCGGTTCAGCCCTTTTTTCTTTTTATTTAGAGTTATCACACAGCCATCTCGATCTTTCTAGCATCTCAACCTCTCTTATGTCCAGTTCCCCCCTCATGACGCTCGATGGTTGCTGCTCGTGCTGGTCAGTATTTACCATGCCAACCTGTGTACTCCTCTCCCTCTTCTTAGTACACCATGTACCGGCATACCATCTGTCAGTATACTACTGTGAATTAGAACTGTGTCCTTGCCTCCCCGACATACTGCAATCTTGCAAATCTGATGAGGTGCCAAAACTAATAACAAATAGAGTTTGTAAATATGTATTCAGATAATAGATTCATTATTAGTGTGATTGATTCTGTTTACTGATGTGTACATCTCAATTTGTGTCAGAGTATGAAAGTGGTACCACCAGAAGCCAGCAAAAGCCAATATGTATGTTTACAGTTCAGAAGTTACTCTCGTGGTATATATTAGGTTCCATGGTTGGAAATAATTTGAAATTGAATTTGAGAAAATAGCTAATTTGAAATTCAATTGATCACCTGGAAGACTTAAAATCCTTCATTCCTTCACAGCTTCTCTCTCTCTCTCTCTCTCTCTCTCTCTCTCTCTCTCTCTCTCCCAGAGAAAGGAAATCCAAATGGAGTTACAAGATTCCAAAAATCCAATTAAAAGGAGCCTACAGCATATTTGATACAGTGCTGGTTAGTACCATTATACCAACATAGAACAAGATTATTACACCAATATGGCCAACAGCCCTGAAATTCTTGTTGCTTGATGCAAGCAGGCACAGGCCTTTGTAAAGGGTGCACTGGTTTGCATCAGCAAGAGATGCTGCAAACATTCCAACTAGTGTGTGCAATGTCTGAAAAGTCTGTAAATTCTCAATCTGATATATGTATCATTATTAGGAAAGACCCATAATGGAAACTTGGAACATTGAGTTTTAGTCAATTGACTACACATAAGAACCTCACTATTGAAGAAAATAAATTCAGCACAATATTTTAAGGAGCTACTTACTGTTATATGCTTGTTCTGTTTCTCCATCCAATGCATAAGTTGCCCTCTAATTCGAGCTACTGCTTCATACCATAATGCTAGTGCAGATTCCACTCCCAATGGAGGCCAATGGCCTTTTCCACTCTCTGCAAGTGGTGCTAATATGCTTGAAAGCATATTGCACAATGCATGATATAGTTCACTCTTTCTCTTGTGAGGAGTACGATTAAGAGGATTAGCTTTTGCCACAAAAGATGCTGATGCATTCAAACCACCTTCTGTCTTTACCTGGCAGAGTTAAAGCAACAAGTGATAGAATCAATAAATAAAAGAAAGCAAATAAGAATTCCCACAAAATATTAAAGCCCAACAGAAATTTTTGCAGGATAATTTTTAGTAAAAGAAAATCACTTTGAGAATTTCTTTATCATATTCAATAATTCATCTCTTAATAGTCGTCAGGAGTTATGACGTATCAACTAAAAGCTTCCTGTTCTGAGGATACATTATAATCTTTGTATTGGAACTTAGTCTTTAATATTATTTTATATACCTTCTATTAACCCATTTAATACTTGACTGATTTACGTCTGCCCAATAAGCAAATTCACCATTAGTAGTAATATCTAAAGTTACATCACCTTGAGTTTTGCTTAGCATGAGAATTATCCTGCATATTTACAAAAGTGGTCTTTAAATGATTAAATCATACACCTAGGTTCTTAACTAATACAAATTATCAAGACCAAGGATCGACTTACTGGTCCGAACCGGCATGCCGGCCAACTGACAGCATGGCACATGCTGCCCTATACCGGTGTGCTGAGTGTCGATATGGCGATGCATGCCGACAGCACAAAAAAAAGGCCAAAAGCACCTCAAAAAATACCTAAAAAATAGGAAAATATATATTAGGTTTTTAATTTGGAACTAAATGTAAGTTTAGTATTATTTCATCAAAAATATTCTAAACTAGGAAGGAATATCAGTGCATATCTTTTTCGAGCTTTAAGGAGCAGTGTTGTGGCATGTTCTAAATAGTCCTTTCATTGATATTGAATTATCTATAAAGATATGATTTGAATTGTTATATTACGAGTTCAACTTTAAGATTCAAATGAATCAAGTAATAAATTGATCGATTGATGGATATGCCTGGTTCTCCTACTAAAAAGAATGATGGGACTCCACAGGTGGTAGATTGGGATCATTGATCCTATGTATTTGCATATCAATATGGTATGTTTATCAAACTCAATCTTAAAATTAATCCCACGACATAAAATACTGATACACCGTATGTCATTGGTGCATCAATGTGATGATAGTTGTAGTCTGATTATCGTGAACCACACGTATCCGGGGCGACCACTAAGGCAAGTATGATTATGGTATGTATTGGTGCAGAGGTTGGAGAACACCAGAACTTCTACTTTCGTCACTAACCTAAAGCTCAGTATCATAAGACCGATCACCGTACTATTGTTGGCCATATGATCCTCCATAATACGATGGTTGGAAATACGACAAGCTCCACTTTGTGTCTATGTCGTATAGACCTCCTCTAACTTAAGTGTTAATCCTCCTAAATTACTTCCAATCCACAAATCACAGCTTTGCTGAGAGTTGGTTTAAACGGTAAATTAGAGATTGAGAGAGTTGAAGAGTTTGAGAGAATAAAAGGGGTTGAAAAAAGGAGGAAAGGGTTTTAAAACCGTTTGAATTGGTTCAAACAATTAAATATGATTGTTTGAAACAGGTCAATCTCAACCATTGATTGATATCAATCGAAATTCGACCGTTATCGACTGGTAGAGGTCGATAACAATTGGATTTCGATCGTTCCACCCGGTACATACCTTGTATTGAGCGATACGGGGCCCCTAATATATAATCGCCCGGTACAGTGTGGTTCGTATGTCTGTGACCTCTCGAATCGATACGTGTCGCTCGTATCGTACCATTTTAAGCAGCACAACAAACCACGATTCACATTATCCCACAAACACTAGAGTACAAAAGGATTTGTTTGTAATGTAAGGACCTATTTTAAATTGTTTAGAATGACCTATTTACAAAAATGAGAATTATTTAATTTTTTTACATTAAATAATTTTATATTGAAAGCTTATTGCTAGGGACCTAAATATGAATCATAGCAATTGAATATGATTTGTGAAAAAATCATATTAAGTTAAAAAAAAATGGAGGACATGTGTCACTAACTAACCTAAGGATTGTGCCACTTATGCTTGTTCCACGAATGACACATAAACATCCTTGATATATGCTTGTCACCTTGTCATTTTTGTGTTAGCCAAACCTAAGTAATTAGAAGAGAAAACTAAAGGTAAACTTACCAAATGAGGAAACTTGCTGCAACCAACGTAGGCTTGAGAAGAGAAGGGAAGATGAATTTTAGTAGAAGAAGAAGTTCTGCTTTGGCTTCAGGTTTTAGATCAATTCCTCACACATGAGAATCAAATTTTTCTAAGGCAAGTGTTCTAACTCTTTCCTACAGTGATATTAATCTCTGTAGTGGCCAATATTTACTGGTGGGGGTGTAAACTAGGACATAGATTGCACCTTTTCGAGAGGTCTAGTATAGTTCATTTGTCCTTTTCTAGGAATCAAGATTACAAATAGTAATTTGGAGATATAGAAGAAATGCTTTAAATAAAAACTACAATTTCATGAACATGAGAAGTAAAACATACTCCCAGCTTTAGGTAGCGCATCCCATTGATGATACTGAGCGTCTCACTTCTGGCAACGCTAGTGTCAATACGTCGAGTATTTAGCTCCATAAAAAATCGTTCTGTTACAGAGCTGAACCTGTATAAATAGATCAATAGAGTATGCATAGTTAACATTTACATAAAGTATTTTTGGAATGCCAAAAATCATAAGTGTTAATCCAAAATAACAAATTAATCTCAAAATGTGATAATAGTATTCCTAGTAGATATTTCCAGTCAGATGCTCATATCATTCTATTTAACACAAAAACAAAACATAAGCTTCCTAGATAAATAATTACATTGATCAGAAAACAATGAACATCCTGTTGTGAATGCATGATCACCGATATGAATGATTGATTAATATCCTGATAATAAAGGAAGCATTTGGTTCTGAATCATTACAGTAGGAGCAAAGGCCAACATAGCCAATGCACTTTGCAAACCTATGATGAATTAACTAGGCATATGATAAGCAATTCCATTGTTTAAAATGTTGGTAACTAGTAAATTAATTTATGAGACTAAATTAGTCTAAGCTAACTTTTTATAATAACGTTTGGAACTATGTCAACAAGAATAAACAAGAAATGCAATTTAGTAAGATTGGGAAAGAAAATGACAAATATAATTGAAGATCATTAAAAGCATAAAAGAACTTTCAACATCTTGCATCAGTCTTCTAAAAGAAGGGGCTATTTAAGAAGACCAAACAATTGAAAAGGCAGGTTCGTAATGTGATCAAATGGCAACTACATACATAAAGATAAGAAATGTAAGGAGAAAGGTACAAGATGAATCACAAATTATGAGACAGATTGTCAGCAGTTGGGAGAAAGATCATGAAAAATACTATATAAAATAAGGATATCAGGAAGAACAAAAAAAGTTTAAATAGGAAAGGATATCTTAAAAATTACTGTATTTAAATTAGAAAATGAGGAAGGATGAAGAACTGTAATAGGATAGAACAAGAAAATTAATAAATAAGCCAGAAGTTGGCCGAAGCACCAATAGGAGATGAGATGATGTTAGATCATCTAAAATGCACCAGCAAGGAGTTTGTACATCAAGATTAAATCATCATAATTGAAATCTGATTGATAAGCATCTCTTGGCTCAAAAACATGATTAGTTACATCAAACCAACAACACATTTGACAATAATAGTGCCTTTATTAATAATAAAAGTTTCAAGTAACACAATAATGTCCCTTAGCGATTGGCCATCTTAACAAAGAAGTTATGTTCATAGTTAACCTTAAAAGTAAACCTTTCAAATATAAAATTTCAAAAATTATTTAATTATGTAACCACATTATTGAAATACATTTACTTGAGAACGTGACCAAGTAAAACCTATACAACTAATGTTTTTGTTTTCTAACGTGCCAAGTCTTGGAAGTGAGAATCAACCTACCATTACAAGAAACTCATAACCAAGGTCTTCAATTTCGAATAATACTGTCCGGTACAGGCGGTACGTACTGGCTCGTTAGCAGACCGATACACGGATCGCCCATTATTGGGTGGTATATATATATATATATATATATATATATATATATATATATATATATATATATATATATATATATATATATATATTATACCATGGTTTGTAGTACCGGTCCAATAGGCTTCCGGTACGCGGACCGCCTGTTACCGGTCTGTACTGTAGCAGTACTGCTACAGTGCTCGGCACGCCTAAATATACCGCTCGGTACACCTGGGTGTACCGAGCGGTATACCGTACCGTACCGGTACTGAGCCCAGGTCGAAACTCCGGTACGATACGGTATTGCAAACCTTGTATTATACTATAAAAGGCAGCGTCGCGTCACCTCTGCAACGTCGCCTTTCCCTTCTCCCACGCAGGGCGATGTCGCCTTTTATAAAAATATTTATATATAAAAAAATCTGTTTATATATAAATATATATATATGTATAAATATATATTTATACATAAATATTTTATGTATAAATATATATAAGATTTTTTTTACTTTTATATATATATATAGGCGACATTGCCGAGGCGACGTCACTTCGGCAAAGTCACCGTAATTTTTTATTTTATTATTATTATTATTATTATTATTATTATTATATATATATATATATATACCAAATCGCTCGGTATACAGTACCGTACCGTACCGAGCAAATGTCAAAACTCTGGTATGATACAATATTTCAATCCTTGCTCCTAACACATTGTCAAAGGATAAAACTGCAAGTATTAGATACAAGAGTCGTAATCTGTCATAATGGAGAAGCAAAAAAGTTCTATGAGATAATTGCAAGAATTTTGCATATTTAAATATAGAGGACTTTATGAAAAATAAAGTAAAAAGGACAATCTTATTTCGTAACCAGTAAAATTTCATGCTCAGCTTAATGTATAGAACATTGTGGGTTTCAAACTTTCAATTGTAAGTATTTGGATCCAAGATTCAAAAAGAAAAGTTCATTAGCATAAAGCAACGGAATACATACCTAATCCGCGATAAAGCACCTAAAAGTTGTGCAACAAGATCTAAGAGGAGCCCACGCAAATCAACCAATGAAGGATAGTCAACCTGGCTAACAACCCTATATGTACACCAGCAAACAAATGTTCATCACAGTAAAAAAATCTGAATTCTTAATCATTACTTTACCAAGTCAAGATAAACTAGCAAATTAATATAAAAATTTGTGAATCAGCATTTCAGGATAGCCCTCAAAAAGAAACAGGAGAAAGAAACGAGCTTGGTGAAATATTATAGACAATTTATTATCCAAAGCTTTTAACTCTTCCACTTGAGAATAAAGCCTTTCATTGTGACCATACAGGCAGGCATGGCGTTTGTGACTCAAAATCAATTCTTGGTCCAAAAAGCACAAGAATGTACTAACCGGCTTACTCAACATTGTTTCTGTTAAGGAAGGCATATGAATGGTAATTCATATTTTGAACTCAATAGCAAGAAACGAATTACCATAGCAAAGATCTAAAATTGTATGTAGCACTTTATATCGAGTGGGTACTAATAGGCTTTCCAATAAGGAATTCAAGAAACCTAACTACTTCAGAAAACGATAAACTAGGTCAGGGATATCTAAGTCTGGTACTCTAGCGAAAGTATAATAAAGTGGCATCATATATAAGATGTACTAGTAGCTTATCATGCAAAGCTAACCAATGATATACAACACAAATAGAGCAAAATATAGTTAATCCACCTACAGGTTGGCCCAATTTAAGTTGCCCACCTGCAGCTTAGTGTGTATATCTAATTACTTGCTGCTTGATTGCAACCATCATTGTTATCCACTTCATGCTAAAATCTGAGCACAGAGACATGATTGATGTGGCACTCATCATGATGACAATTGACATATGATAACAATCCAAGAATGTGGTGCTGATGTGATATTCATAGTCACTGGATTCTTATATCGATTGTACTAGCCTGGCACTGACATGGCTCCTATGTGGCACTGACATGGTACAGCATTGGTCCTATATGGTGCTGAAATGGCACCATGCATACATCATGTGGATTGCAACCACACATACGATGCAAACATGGCAACAATATGACATGCCATACGCACTTAGACAATGTGGAACCCATATGCCTTTTATTCCATTAACTTCATATGCCAAATCAATACCACTTAAGGATTATGAGGTGTCATATAGGTGCCAATGCTAATAAGATTAGTTTATCAATTATATGCCTTAATTTTTTAATCTTATCATTAAATTCCTATATTAAATATATTTTATAATTTATATTAACAATTAAATCAAACGCTGAAGTTACTTTACTATAAATAAATTTCTTGAATTGAACTAGCAACAATGGTTCTAACAGAGCAAAACACAGGTAGGCTCACAGACAGTTCGGTACTAAATTGGCCAATAGTGATGTTCCAGTGCTCTAGTTTCAATTTGCATCCAAAAATCAAATGTGTTGTCATCATTTTAAAAAGATTCTTTGCAAACCCAAGATATGAGTATTTAGGTTAAACAAAATGTAAGCAAATAAATAGATTGCTGAGCCTCACCTATCTGCATTAATTAACCAATCGAACACAAAATTTTCCAGACCAGACCATAGGTTTTCTGTAAACAAAAGTAGATAATTCAAGTCAAAAATGCACAATGTAGGAAATATCTGCATATTGATTTAGTCAATACCAGTAATTCCTTCTTGGGGACAACACTCCACAAAGCGAATGCAAGCAGAGCAGAATATGCACTCCACTGCAAGCTGTGGAGTAAAATGATCATATTAATCATGATAACACAAAGCCATAGTCAATTTATCCACATACCTAGTGATTCATTCACATTATAATACTCAAGTACCACACTATAATGAATACCTGAAGTCTGGTTAGAGCTTATAATATCAAGAGATTAAGCCCTCTTCTGAAATAAGAGTTACATCAGAGTCCCAGGTGTGAAGAAATATTGCCATCACTTGTCTATACCTCATGTCCTAACAAGTTAAATGGGAATCTAAAACTGGATAACTGTGTTAAGGGTACTCGGTTATTTCTCCTGATAGGTACTACACAAAGGGTTCTTGACATCTCACTACACCATGAAGAAGTTATAACTTGAATAAAAAGCAAAACCATCATAAATTCCATAAAAATTCACAAACTATTAGAATTTAAAGTATAATTACTGCTAAATCAGAGCATGATTTCCACAATTTTAATAGAAATGATAGTATGGTAAATTGGTAATAAAAAAAGAATAAACCTTCTTCTGATATGTGGAAGCATCATTTGCACCCTTTGGTGATTCACTGAGATAAAAAGAAAATAATGAGTAAATAGATGCAAGAAACTTGGGTATATTTACATAACATATCAGCCAAGAATACAGAAACTCAAAATGTCTCCTTGTCTGTACACATTTAATCAGACTTAAAAACGTTGACAAGAGAGAATGAGGATTCCCATCAACAAAGCAGACAAACAAGAAACATGTGAGAGAATCACCAATAGATGTGAACCTCAGATAATACTTTATTTATATGCCTCAAAATAGCAAAATGTTGAATAAAAACTTCAATAAGAGTACTGTTAGTACTTAGTACTAGTAAAATCAAGCCCTGGTTATGCAAAAGTGATGTTTCTTCAAGGAAAAGTATGAAGAATTTCCACTTTTGCACAAGTAGATATAATGCTGTTGGTATAGAGATATAAACTATGAGGTCCAGCTGAGCAGGATAAGCTCTGTTAGCCATGCAGCTTTGCAGGATACTCGTCTGATAAAAACTCATATCATCATACCATTGCTGCTATTTGAATGACCAGACAATGATCCTGATAACACAAACCATCAAGTTCCTCAATGACACAGCTGCCCATTTGTTTCAAGTGAGCAGTTAAGCTACTTCTGCCATCATGATTAGGCAGGGTAGTCATCTGAAGCAATGATCAATATATTATATTATTACAGGGGAATTGTATGATCACTATACACTTGTCACAGGCCCAACATCATCAAATTCTTCAGGTGAAATGCTGACACATTGAAGATCGCAAGCATGACCACACAATCTTCAACTATTATATAAAGTTATAAACAGTGACATATTGGTATTTCTTCCACAACAATCCTCTTTACATGCTAAGGCCCACACAAATCAGCAAATTCTTCAAGTGACATGCTGGCATTTGACAATGGCAAGTGAGTGTTGAAAATGCCTTGATTCATTCCAGAAGTTTGACACATTGGCATTTCTTGAATTAAGGATTTCTTCTACATGCTAAAGCTACTCTTCCTCGCAATCCAATGAGGTTTACTTCTGAGCATTTGGTATATAGTATATACTTATATTATACACTAAATTATCTACGTGAGGAAGCTTCTCCATGTCAGTTCAATTGTGAGCCAAATCCTTACAATGTTATACTATGAAATATATGAAATGCGTCCATGGCAATCCCTTATTATGACAAAATTATAGTTTGGCTGACATAGTAGGTACCATGATGGATTAACCTAGTGAATCTAAATTATTGAAGAATAAACCCAAAATGTTGAAAGCAGATCAACATTAAGCCTGACACCTGATGTCTGATGTTGACAACAGAAGCAGTCATGAGAGTCATTATGTGAAACTTATGCAAATCAAGGGGTAAATTGAGAGCCCAATAACTTGAATAGAGCATTTTGGAAACATGAACTTCAAAAAAAATTATTAAAAATTCGGAAATAATTTCTTTCTGTCCAATAACTACCTGTGCTAGTTCCTTTTTTCACTAGATCCTTGCTACTAATTTTCATCTTAGGACCTCCAGATTGTGAAGTATTAATGCTGAAAAAAAAAATGGCAGAACACTTCAGTCCACTGAATCACTGCTGGCAAAGATGGCAGCCAGCCACCTTCTAGTGCTAACCATCTAAGCAGTAGCAAATGCAAGCTGCTGCCAGAAAGGCTTAGCCAGCCTGCGAGCATGCATAAACCTTCTATACTTCTCAAGTCATCCTTCCTCTAAACCAAACAACAGCAATCTCAACAAATATATCCAACAAATCTAAGCAAACTGTTCATATCTAGCACATAGAGCCTAAGATCTAAAACTCCAAATTATGGTCCCAAAACTTCAAATCTTGCTATGCTTTACAGGATAGATTGAATCTGACACACAAACCTCCTCAAAAACACCATAAGGTAAAAGGAAAACGATTAACCAACCATTTTTTAACCAAAAGTCAAACTGTAAACTCGTTGTTTTCCTATGACATGTTAGTATCTCAAAAGACAATCTACATGCATGCACAATATGAATCACATACCACTACCCAGTGCTTACTTCCCAAATGCATGTTGGAGTCATAAAATATCCGATACATTTGATATAGATGTGATACACCTTCCAAGCAAAAAAGATTAAGGGCCTATTAACAATTGAAAGTTGGTGGCAACCATATGAAGCACAGATTATGGTCCTTGAATTAAGTTGAGGTTTTCTGCTTTCTATATTACTTCTTTAATTTGGACTCATACTAAAATATATATAATATGAACTATGAAGCACTATATTATTTGTTTTTGTTGAGGCTTTCTGTTTTCTAGACTACTTCTTTAATTTGTACTCACATATATATATATATATATATATATGTTCCTTGAATTAAGGCTTTCAGCTTTCTATATTACTTCTTTAATTTGGAATCATATTATATATATATAAAGCACATATTATGGTCCTTGAAAGTTGAGACTTTCTGCTTTCTATATAACTTCTTTATATATATATATATATATATATATATATATATATGTGTGTGTGTGTGTGTGTGTGTGTGTGTGTATACAGACACTGGTTCAACTAGTTGTTCTCTCTTAAGCAATCATAAAATTCCAGATACCCTTACAGTACTTGTAGTCTTGTATTTGGAGCACCAGATTTAGTATTTCTTTTACTATGCTCAAAGTCAAATCTTTGTTTTGCTAGAACAACAATAATTGTCATATTTTGGCACAGAAGGCACAGTGATGATACCATTATAGCATCACAAAATACCAAGCCATGCCATCCAACACGTTCCTTTGCTGGCTTGTACAAACCAAAACTTGAACTAGACATGTGCTGGCACATCCAGAACATAATGATATTGCTATCTAATCAACTAACACAAGTGATTTATGCTTATACAGAATGAACTAGCTTTAGTAAATTTAAGCTAATCATAATAGAGTAAACAGAAAATTTTCTAAGTACCTCTCTCTCCAACGAAGAAGAGCTTCTAAAAGTGGTCCAGGTGTATGCTGTGCAACCATAGCTAATGAATCCAACACTTGCTCATAAGCTGGATCAGATGGTCGAAGATATTGCCCATCCTGCTTACGATGTATAGTCAGATATATAAAAAACTAAAATAATCATATAGCATTCCACATACATGGTTCTTGCAACATATAAACCATACAAATATATATATATATATATATATATATGAATAATACACACAGATATATATATATATATATGAATAATACACACAGATATATATATATATATATATATATATATGTATGTATGTATGTATGTATATGTATATCCAACATGATACATATTGTATCTTGCACAAAGATCAATGATTCAACCAGAGTTACTGATGTCAATCATAAAAGATGTGTCCAGGTTCCAACACCAAAACGTACTAACAGATTTAAGTTGCATTGAGGATCATGATATTTCCCATAATTTTTAACGATGTAAATGGATTAAAAATGTTTTCATTCATGAACAACTAGATACCGCTTTGATAAAGGACAGGGTGAAGGAGAATAGTTTAAGATGACATGGGCATGTGCTCAAGAGACCTTCTAGCATGAACATGTGTTCAAGAGACCTACATATGCGTAGTCAGAAGAGTTAAAATGATCGTAGTCAAAAGAGTTAAAATGATTACTATTAGCGGTATAAAGAAAGGTAGAGATAGATCCGTAGTTAGAAGAGGTGAAATGATTACTAGAGAGGCAGATGATACCTTTAAAATATTTTAATAAAAATTATAAATAAATATTTAAATATTCTTAACTTAACTAAAGATATATCTCTTTACAGATCTAAATGATGGAAAAATATCCATCTAGCCGATCCCAAATAGTTAGGACTTTACGGCTTTGCTGTTGTTGTGTCAATGAATTACTAGAGTACTGCCAAGGGCATGCACTTGATAGCAACAAGTCTAATACACATTTATATTTCATATAAAGTCATATTTCAATTATGAAACAAGGAGAATGACATGAAAACCTTAGTCTAACAATGATTAGTCTGAATTTGCTTAAGTATAGCTTTTAAACGTCACATTTCTAACCTTTTTCCAAAGGGGGATTGATCAAGGGACTAAAATAAGTTAACAACGATGACGTAGTAGTCATTGGTACTAAGTTACGATGACATAGTAGTCATACTATTTAAATGGCTCTCCTAGTTGTTTACTTAACTAAATAAATGTATGTGGGTTACTATTTAAATGGCTATCCTAGTGATCGAATATAATTCTAGACAAGCAAAAGAGATGGCATAAGTTATGAGGACAAGTTAGAAAACTCTTCTGACTTCTAAAATAACTCTTTGTTCACTATTTGACTTAAATTAAGTCAATTTTAAAATCTTGATACTACAGCTAGGTGGGTCCCACATGAAAACCCACCAAGACCACTGAAGAGGTTAAGAATGCCAAACATCAAAATTTCATTATCAATCATGATGCTTGAGTCAATGGAACATATGAGGCCTTTTTTTCATTTGACCACTAAGGACTTGATGACATTTCCATCCAAATACAATGTCTTGCATCTAGTCTAACGAGATCTAGTTAGAAGCTATAAAATTACATAGGCCTGTGATGTGTGACAGATATGAGTAAAACACTTGGGCATCCTCACCAACATACGATGTAACACCTCTGATTAGTCCTACATCGGAAGTGGGCAAAACTAAGATTGGCTTATAAGGGTCCGATGAGTGTATTATTATCAACTTCAGCTTAAGTATTTTGACCAGTACTTTAGGTCAAACGAAGTTGATAGGCTAGTTAATTCATCAAGTCTATGAGTGTACTGTAACACTTTCAATTAGTCTCACATTGGGTATGCAAGACTAAGATTGACTTATAAAGGTATGATGAGTGTATTATTATTAACTTCAACTTAAGCATTTTAGCCAGTGATTTAAGTTAAACGAAGTTGATAGGCTAGTTAGCCAGGCTCAGGTCATGATATACAACATAGTATATTATTCATTTTCCTTACGAGATGGAAGTGAGGGATCTCCTACCTTAGTTATCCTAAGCCCTCAACAACAAAAACCCAATCAATCATCAAAGACAAGACATCATTATAAAACTGAAAATCAGTGATAGTGACTTGTATTTCTTTGATGGTGATAAATTCATGGATTAACTTCTTTAAGGGCTACGAACGTCAATCAATTATGCTTGCAACCACCAGATGATATGGTCTATGATAGGACTTGTATTTCTACTCACTTTAAATTCAGTGTCGATTTTTTTAAAGTATAGCCGCCACTAAGCTGAATCAAACGATTAAAACTTGTATTAGATAAACAATTTGATTAGGTAAATACAAGGCCAATTGTAAGGGTTAATTATATTATCAGGGTCCATGTTATAACAGCATGATATAACAATGTTATCAATGAACAAGCTAGAAACTTGCTGAAACAGTCATCCCTATATCTACATAAATGATTAATATAAATTAAATAAACCTTAATAAGTACTGCCATCAAATCTTAATAAATAACCTGTCAAACCTAAATAACAGTATTGATTGTCTATCACCGTATGGCTTGTCTACATATGACATTGCAGAGAGCTAGCAACAGATCAGCACCAGTGACCATGTTGTTCCAATATTGATATGCCTAATTAAGATGATAACTAGTGAGGCTGTAATATCTTAAAACTGTACATAACTACATATTTTGAATTATATTTAAAATGCATTTGAAATGTTTTCCGATTCACTATGTGATTATCTCAAGACATTTGATTGTCCCATCTGTGATGATATTGATATAAGGTTTTGGTTTTAAATCATTAGTAATGACCCTTCTGATCTCCTCCTTTGCTAACTACATAAAGTCAATCAAACATCTCATATGTGGTCTCTTTTCCATATCTATGCCGCATACGTATATGTATAGTGGCTCCACAGCTTTAATTATCTCGGCCACTGTATCATATAATCTGTAGAACATGATAAACTTGGCTTTAATGATCTCGGCCACTACATTTATGGTCTCTGTTCTGCACTTCCCGAGCTGGAGTAGAAGACCTGAGTGCACCGTGTACGGCACTCCCAAGTCATGTTGAGTCAGCATTACAAGCAGACAATCGCATTTTCTGACCGGAATGGTCTGCATTCCATAATTGAAATATTTGGCTTCTCCAATATTCCATGTCCCCATCATAAGCTCTTAAATGACACAGTGGAGAGGATGCACTACGAAGTGCCTTTGTAAATACATGTAGGGTGCTTTGGCAGTTTAAAAGTACAACTTTCTAATGGCGTCCTTCCAATGTGTCATACTCTCATTTTTGAAAAAGAAACATAATCAGTATACCAAGTTTTGCCAGTTAAGATTACTAAAAAAATACTTGCATTTATTATCAACCCCTCCATCCATCACGAGCATCCTAAAAAAGAAGCGCACAATGATTATACGCGATCCAAGCCATAACTTGATGTAAAACAGGAAAAGATAACCCGTGAAGTAGACAAAGATTCTTTGTGCTGAAGATTTTTTGAGTCATATATACAAACGAAAAGATTTCTGTTTTTTACAAAGGGCAAACTGTGAAGACGGGATTCGAAACTAGGATATTACGGTAAATTGCGAAAGTCTTTACCGCTAAGCTAGTTGACATCTATCAAACGAAAAGGTCTACTACACCAATGATGGCCATCAGACTAAATGTAACAAAGCCGGTAAAAGGATGAACCCAACGTAGAGCCAAAGGCTCTTCGCCACACGGCTAGAGATAAAGAGAAGCAAACCGACACTCGAAGCAGGGGGAACGGAGAAGGGTTGACGGGGGAGAGAGAGGAGGGCACCTGAGCCTGGGCCGTCTCGATGCGGCGGCGGGCGAGAGGGAGGAAACGCTGGAGAAGCGCCTCGACGATGAGCTTGGCGGCGCTTCCGGCGTTCATTTTCGGCGATCGAGGCGGGAGGAGTGGAAGGGTCTCGGAGGTAGGAGGCGCGCTGCCGCCCGGCCGCGGGGAGCGAACGCAAAGGGTCCAGCGAGATCCTTATTATTGGGCGAACGAGTAGGCAACCGTCACGTCAAAGGAAAAGGAGCGTCGAGTTCGATAAACGGGGTGGGTCTATTTATAAAGGACAGATAAGAACTCCTCCTTGTCCGAGTTTGACCCGGTTGAACTCGGCCTGGTTTAACGGTTCATTTCCTACCCTCTGTAACCTACCCGTTCGATTACCTTCCCTCTAATTGGATTCATCGTGTGGGACCAAGAAAAAAGAAAAAGCTTTTTCACTTGAGTAGATCATAAACTGCTTGATCTAAGAATTACTCTACAAATTAGATAGATAATATTATAATTTTAGGAATTTCTCTCAGATAATTCAGTTCATATGTAATATTATGATATTATTTTTTTCCAACATCTAATTTTGCACAAAAGAAAAAATAAAAACTTAGAAAATGAATAAAGAGTTGGGTCTTTCCTGTAGGAATCATAACTGCTATTGAAGTCTACTATATCTTCTCAATGTTTTCTTATCTTAAATGTTATTTTTATCTTATTGATAAAATAGTTCCTTAGGTCATCTGTTGCAAAGGGCATTAAAGTTAAATCTAAAAAGAACATATATAAAATTGAAGAAAATTGAAAGCTGTCAAACCAGTCGTACATAGATAAAACCAACAAAATTCATATAAAGGGAAAGGAAAATCAATCAAAACCATGATGAACAAATCATGATTCCTATAAATTATGTAATTGTATTCTCAAACCACAAGTACTAGCATTCCATAGGACTTATTAACCCATGTAGTTAGTTATCTTTAACATCTCAATTCTTACAATTTTTATTGGGATCCCTATACTTATGAAAGTAAAACATTCAGATCCCTATACAAGATTAAAAAAGATAACTTTACAGAGTTAAAAATCAAGAGAGATGAGAGTTTTGTTAGAACAATAAGGTCAAATATTTTTCTTTCGTAAATATAGGAATCTCTACGTAACTATTGAAAACATAAGGACCGAAATGATAAACATAGTTAATCACAAGAGGTTATCTTAAATTAGCCCTATTCCATACTATAAGTAATTAATAATACACTAACAAAAATTTTACAGTTCAGATTACAGTGCAGTAAGTAAATAATAGATTGAGTAATCAATTATACTGAAAACTGAGGAAGAAAAAGAAAACTAAAACCACTAAGTCTATATCACCTAACAACATGTAAGCAAAGATTAGCAGTAACTATTGCTCTCTATTTAATGCTTAAAATGAAAAAATAGTGATTTTTGGATAACATTATCTACCAGTATCTATAACTTGTTAGTATATCTTTTCTATAGAATGCTAGTTTCACAAAGTAGTACTTAAGCAACAAGGTTGCACTTTCCTTAAAGCTGATCCTTATTTATATAATGATTCCACTTCTTTTCTTGCACCATGTAGTGCACCCAGATATATTTTGTCCTAATCTCCTTGTGGAGGATGCTTTTGAAAAGGACTGACTGGATGCACCTCGAGAATCATCATCATCTGCATTCCTGAAGTTCAAATCAATACCATACTGAGATTCCCAACAGAAAATAGAAACAAAAAGATAAAAGAGTAGTTGAATGAAGCCAAGAACACTCACTGAAACAAAGTGAGAACCTCCTTTGCATAGAGAAAAGACATCCAACGTAGTTGAAGTGAAAATCAGCTGTTTTACGATGGATTCAGCTTATTGTGATATGATAAATGAAGCTGCAGGTTCAGTGAGTTATACAGAATGCCCCATCAGTCCAATAAATTGTCACCCATTCCCTGCAAGCCAAAGTAATGTGGTTTTGTCAGCATCTTTCTAACAAAAGGAGGTGATGGGGTGAAGTAAAGAGAACAAGTTACCTTGTAACAGTCAGATACATGCTTTGGCGAGAGATGTGGTGAGCCTGACTGGTCTAAAATCATATTATAATAAGTGGGTGATGATTAGCTCAATCTGAAGGTGAGATTGAATGAAAGTGGTTCGAGATTTGATTTTTCTTTCACAAAATCACATAACAATTTGATTATATAAGAGCAGCAGGCACATGAGATGAACTATAGACTTGCTGACAAAAATATTGTTTCTTATCACTCAAAAGCAAACCAGTTTGGCCTGCATACGACACCTGCAAGGATGCCAGCAAATAAAGCTCTTTCTTAGCATATCATACTGTAGAAAAGCTGCAAATCAGGTGATTTTGATCCCACTAAATTTCCCTGTAGTCTAAGCAGTTCATTTCGGCACTCGTTAATATGCACATGTGTATTATCATCTGCAGAAAAAGCATGTACTGCATTTTTAATCTCAATCCAGCTTAAACCAGGTTCCTTTTCTACCATTAGTCCTCTGAACTGTTTTCTCATGCCAGCAACAGCATCCCATCTGCCAACAGAAGCATAAAGATTTGAAAGCAATATATACGTAGGACTATCATCTGGTTCTAATATCAAAACTTTCTCTGCAGCTTGAACACCTATTTCCAAATTTCTGAAGATAACACATGAGCTCAATAAGATTCTCCATAGCTCAGGAGACTTAGAAAAAGGTGATCTCATAACGAACCCTTCAGCTTCCTGCAATAGTCCCGATCGGCTTAACAAATTTACCATGCAAGTATAATGCTTAAAAGCCAGCATTATACCATCTGCCGTCATGCAGAACCAGTAGAATCTTCCTCTCTCGACCATTCCAGAATGACTACAGGTAGAAAGCAGAGACAGATAGGTCACATGATCAGGCTGTAACCCTTTCTTAACCATCTTATTGAACAGCTCAAATGCCTGCTCAGCATTTCCATAATTACCATATCCTCCAATCAACGAATTCCAGCATTTTAAATCCGGATCCTTTATTCTGTAAAAGACTGACCTAGCACCTTCGAGATTACCATTTTTAGCATACATATCAACTAGACTCCCGCAGACACACAGATTTGCTTCATATCCTGCTTTCACCACCTGAGAGTGGATCATTTCCCCTTGTTTCAGCACTGCAAGATCAGCTGATGAATTCAATGCACTGCTGAGAGAAAAGCTATCAACTTTGTGCTCTTCCTCTAGCATATGGTAAAAGTATTTCATAGCCAACTCACCCTCACCCAATCTCGAATGACCAACAACCATTTCAGTCCAAATTATGACATCTTTAATCTGAATGCAATTGAACAGTTTCCGAGCAGAGTCGGGATCATCATTGATGAAGTACATGTTGATCAGCGTATTTCCCACAAACATACTAAATTCCAACCCTGATTTTATAGCGTGGGCATGAAGAGGCTTCCCGTAGCATATAGAGGGTAAAGTAGCAGTAGCAGAAACAACAGTGGCAACCGTATACTCATCGGGGCATGGCCCTCCATAAAAGGAAAGAGTTTGCAATTCGATGAATACTTCCATGGCCTTCTCTCCTTCACCGACATCTGAGTAACCAGCAATAACTGAGTTCCACGAGACCAAGCCTGGCTTCTCGATCCTCTCAAAAACTAGTAATGCCGTTGTCATGTCTCCACAGCCAGAATACATGCTGATGAGTGCATTCTGCAACGGGATATCAGGTTCCATTTCTGATTTGATCATCTTTGCATGCACGATACGCCCTCTATTTGGGTTCTCCAGTCTCCCACAAGCATTGAAAACTATAGAAAACGTGGAATTGTCGGGCACCAAGCCTGTCTCGATCATGCGGGAAAAATGCCGCAAACCCTGCTCGATCTTGCCATGCTTGACGTTGCTTAGTATTATAGCATTCCAAGCGACGACATCTCCCTCGCCCATCTCAGAAAAGATGCTCTCGGCAGCTTCAGGACTTCCGCTGTCAGAGTACATCCCGAGAAGCGCAGTTTGAACACACACATTGTTCAGGAGACCATGTCTGACGACTACGGAGTGCAAGGCGCGGCTCAGCAGAGGCTCCCGAAGAGCAGCAGCAGCGCGGATGAGGCTAGAAAGCGTGGAAGCGCCAGGCCCGAGGCCGGCGAGGCGCGACTCCCGGAAGATCTGGAAAGCAGAATGAGCGCCGGGGGGGTACCAAGAGTAGGCGGCAATCATCGCGTTGTAGGAGACGAGGTTTCTGCTGGGCATTGCGTCGAAGAGCTTGCGGGCGTGGCTGATGGCGCCGCATTTCACGTAGAGGGAGAGGAGGTTGTTGAAGAGGAAGGGAGGGGAGCCGCGGGGGGTGGCGACGACGATGAGGGCGTGGAGTTGGCGAGCCTTGCGAAGGGTACCGCCAGTCGAGGAGGCGCAACCCTGGAGGAGGGAGGCTGCTACGGAGGCCAAGGGGCCTTCGCAATTATGGTAGAACGGTAAAGAGGTGGAAGCCATGGCAAGGAGTCAGAGCTTAGCATTTTGTTCGATTAGACCGAGCATTGAGAGCCAATAAGCCCATATGGCAGCCCAAGTAGCCGTGCTAATCCATCACGCATACCCACGGAATATTACGCGTTAAAAGGTAAAATAATATATTATTTTACCTTCTAAAATTAGATGAATCTAATATTACTAATTTATATATAAATATTTTGACCTATCAAATTAATGACTAGTATGATATTAAATCTTTAACATCAAAATTTCTTTTCACTTTAGTTGAGTGTTATACTTATTACTATTTATACATATTATTCAACATGTCAATAGTTCAGAATTATAACTAAGTTTATTATCGAATGATTTGAAAGTTCGACGAGATCCTACGTTGAGTCTAGCATCGGAGCTTAGTGTCAATTAATAAATAACTATTTGATACTTAAGTTAATGGAATCGAAGAATTTGATAAGTATAAAAAATATATAATTTTTTATATAATAAATTTGGATACGAGAGATCTATCTCGAATGGTATCGAGACAATGCTCTCGTGTGAATATATTATTTAAACGATACATTAGATTGATGAAATAATGCTCGGTAAGATATGATAGGGTATTGCATTACTTAGTCTCGTATCACTTATTAAAAATTTATATATTCTTAATAATATAAGAACATAGAAGATGAAAAATAGAACGTAGAACTAATTATTTCGATAATGATTCTCCAATAAGGCTCCAGCATTTATCATTGTGTGTGCAGCATATATGTATATATCAAGATGGTACATTTGTCATCACCATCTTGATTCTCTGCTAGCTCAAGCTTATCCCTTGTGCTTAAGGTAATTGGATGCTCACATGAGACCAGTCTAACTTATTCTATAGACCACCACCTCCATCCATCCCAATGGCATCCTTCCTTTCTTTTCTCATACCTTATCTTTGCTGTCGCTCGGAGCCACCAATCTTGCACAGTGGTCAGCTGCAAACTCCAGATGCTTGATGTTCCATCATAGAGGTTGACTTCCACAAAGACAAAGCAAGGGAGCATCGGAACCCCCTATCATCGAGTTTGTCAACCTATTATTCCATCTGACTAATTAAATTGAAGTCAGCTCATGCGGTGGTGCTCAAGCAACTTTAGTTGACATTCCATCAGTGTTGACTCTATAACAAATCCAGATGCAAAGGAGAAGAAGCTTCAATATAATCTGTCTGTAGATTTGCAATCTCTGATACCTTTACAATACTGTCTGTGTGCCTTAAGTCAAAGACTAATGAAAAGTGATAATATAGTTTTTTTTGTGGGGTTTGCAGATTTGAATGATGGCAGTGGATTTTTCTCTTGTCATTTGATTGATTTCCTTAAGGTGGACTTGACTTTATAGAACTTAGATACAAAGCTTGCATCAGAATCACATCCTTCCACAGCTTCTCATTCTTCTGCTGTTTCTTTCGGATTGTTTAGCCATATGAGGAGAGTATGACATCCGTGCAATCTCTGCATACGATTTGATATAAATATATGGGTAGGCCAGAAAGTGACATATAATGTGATCATTCACTGCATTGTCTGCCTTATGTTGCAACGCTCCTCCTAACACATAATGATAGCAACATTATAACAGAAAGGTTATTAATGCACTGAGAGTCAAAACGACCGAACACAAAACACTCACTCATCTCACTGCAATAAAACTAAAATCCGAATCTAATTATGGCTGAGGGTGTCAGCAAAATTTAATATAACGGCATTTCGTCATTTATTTTTCTTAAAAAAAGTGAATATAATTAATTAATAAAATATTAAAAATTAAAAAATAATAGTATATATTTTTAATTAGCATATATTTATTTGGACAATTGGGTCTAAATAAATGGCATTTTTCATAAGGATAAAGTAATTATCTCATTCAGATTTGGTAACGTCACGCATGCTACACTTATACGAAGTTGGATCACCCATGAAAATACTATGGGTGACGTGGATTCGCTACGTGACACCTCGCGAAAGTTTTCAGGGGTGATTCAGCGCAACACACATGCCTTCTCCCTCACCGAGAACCGCCACCGGAACGCGTGGCCGAAGAGCTTCCCACAGCAGCCCGCGGGCCACGTCATCAGTCCGTCACGTGCCGCGGTCTCAGTTTTCCTCGGTTCACCCGCCGGCTCAATCGGACCAGAAACCCGGTCGATTCCAGTCAGTCGACGAGGAAAATCTCCGGTCGAATCGTTATGTCGGTCCGGTTCGACGATCATATATCGGTCCGAACCGGGAATTACCTGGCGGAGGGAAGTAAATGTGGAGATCTCCTTTTCCAGACGAATCTTTCCTCGTTTGCTCGCCGTCCCATCTTTTGGTGGGGGCAAAAGATCTCTGTCCATCGCTGCAACCGATACGCTTCCCGAAGAATATCTCCTCCCTCCTCCCCACTCCTAATCCTACCCAAATATTATCTGCTATCTGACGCACCAGCCTCCGTAAGAACAATTATGATTAAGATAATAGACTGGCGTTCCGAAGAGATCTCCCTCGGTACTCGTCCAGAGATCTCGCCCATCCCCTTCCTATACTTTTATCAAGATACGATATACGTCCTCTGGGCAGATACCGATACGATATCCACAGATATGGCGGTGACGTTATAATATTTCTTCGGGATATTTATTGCACGTTTTTTATTTGCCGGTGAGGGATGCGTGGACTTTGTCTACTCCGTCCCGTGTTTTATGATGCGAGGGGGGGCGAGGAGATCGGGTGGAGATCGCGTGAGATAGAGGGCGGCCCCCGCGGGGCGAGGGGAGGTAGATTTGTGGTGGAGAGTGGAGGGTGGGATTTGGGGGCGGGGAGTGGACTTTGGGCGCAGTGCGCCTTGGGATTCTTTGGGGCGGGGATTTGGTGGCCTGGTGGGGATTTCCTGCTCTTTATTCTCTCCTGGTCGATGCTTCGCCTGTTCTTCTTCTTTCTCTCCTTTTTATATACCGTGTCGTTGGGAACTTGTACATAAACGGTGCGGGTGACCTGGGCCTCCTCTGTCCTCGATTCCATTATCTTCTTTCTCCCTTCCTGTTCCGTCGAGTAGCGTGGGTGCGGGCGTTGGTTGACATGTCGTCGCCGAGGGGACCGAAGGCCTGTGGCGGAGGAGCTGCAGACCGTCCGATCCATGTCCTCGCCGTGGACGATAGCTCGGTCGACCGGGCGGTGATCGCAAGGCTTCTTCGGAGCTCCAAGTACAGAGGTAGACGCTGTTCTCTGTGCCAAATTCCCTCCTTTTTGTTCGCATGCTCGTGATTGTTCTGATGAAACTCGCCGGCTTCTTCTTCTGTTGCAGTCACGACTGTAGATAGCGGAAAGAAAGCACTGGAGCTTCTGGGACTGGTGAGTTGAGGATGACGCGAGTCTCATCTTGTGCTTGTTCTCTTGATCACTTTTAATTGATGTTGGAAAAAGATAGTTTTTTTATGAGAAAATTGGATTTTTTTTTTCCTCCTGATAGCAGGAACCAAATGTTAACATGATTATTACGGATTACTGGATGCCGGAGATGACAGGGTATGAACTTCTCAAGATAGTCAAGGTGTGAACAACTCGTCCCGCGAAACATAAACCATTTCTGGATCATCGTAAATCATATTTTCATGGCTTTAACGAGACTAAATTTAATTGCAGGAATCATCCGAGCTGCGAGAAATCCCCGTGGTTATAATGTCTTCGGAGAACGTTCCCAATAGAATCAATAGGTAACGTTCATTCCGCTGCTAAATGTTTTCTCACATCTCGAACACAAGAATAGAATGATTCTAATGACGTAGGCATCGACGATTTGATTCAGGTGTTTGGAGGAAGGAGCGGAGGATTTCTTGCTCAAGCCCGTCCGCCCATCCGATGTGGCTCGGCTGTGCAATCGGATGCGATAGCAGCCGACAATGGAAGCGGTGAAGGAGAAGAAATGGACCCTCGAAACTCATCTTGATCAATTTTTTTGTTGTTTTGACGAATGTATACCATGTTCTGCAATTCTTTTTTGACTTGGTTTTTTGGACATTGGAATGTGAAAACAGAAGCTAGATAGTTGAAGATTAGGGAGAAAAGAGGGGTGGAAAATAGAGAGAGATCCTCATCCAGTGTCTCTCAACTTCTCATATTTTGGCCCATTCAGATGTAGTTGAATTTAATTGTAGTAAGCATTGGCCGCCACTGTCATTTATTCTCATGCATATATTGCTTTCAGAGAAATTACATTCTCCCTGGCGACAAAATATTGCCAATCACAATTTTACGCAACATATACTGTTTCTGTTAAATTTTAAATGTATTAAATGGTGAAAAAACTCTCGATTAAATTTACCTAAAATCCAAAACAGTGCCGCGGTAGAACTTATCCCCTCTGGATGGGGGGTCTCAGAAGCACGTGGCTGTTCAGTGCGAATCCAATGTTGAGCTGCTGTCCACGTGGGTGTCAAGGCACGTGGTGAGAAGAACAGATCGATTTCAAGGGCCGACCGACGTGTTTGGTGGTCGGATTTGATGAGCGATCCGCGGATCCTCCGTACCTCTAGTTACTGAGCTGTCGGATTTTGGGCCCCCTTCTTCGGGCTTAAGTCGTCATAAAGTTGATGTGCGCTCTGTCTTCTCTGAGGGTTGACCCCTTGTTTGGAGTCTCCATCAGCCAACATCCATCGCAACTAACGGCATATACCGTTGAGCTTCATCACCTTGGTCAGTCCGTCTAACATTTCATATATAGCCTCTGTCTCTGGATGTGACTCATCCATGGCGAAGAATTCAGTCAAGATGCCGCTGACTTCTGTCCAACTAGACCCTCTGGTCTTTTCCACCCTTCGTCCCTTCATGGTCATCCTCACACTGGCATCATCATCCCACTTCTTCGAAAGAGAGTACAGGTTAGCCAAGAGTGCGTATCTGCCGCTGTGTCGGGGATCCATTTCGATCAGATGCTTTCCGACTCGTTCACCTAAATCGAATTCTTCATGGATGATGCAGGCGTTCAGCAGAGCCCCCCAGACTCCAGGGGTCGGCTCCATAGGCATGCTTTCTATCACGAGCATTGCTTCCTTCAACATCCCTGCTCGCCCTAAGAGATCCACCATGCAACCGTAATGCTCCACCTTCGGTCTGATACTGTAATCTTTGAACATAGAACCGAAGTGATATCTTCCTTGCTCCACCAGGCCACTGTGAGAACATGCAGAGAGAACACCGATGAAGGTGACCTCGTTGGGTTGCACACCATCCTTGACCATCCGAGAGAAGAGATCCAAACACTGATAGGCATATCCATGAATCGCCAACCCGTTGATTAGAGCTGTCCAAGGGTAGACGTCCTTTTGCAGCATGCCATTGAACACCATGACTGCTTCATCTATGCATCCGCATTTGGCGTACATGTCTACGAGGGCCGTCCCGACAACCGTGCTCGATTCCAGCTTGCTCCTATTCACATACCCATGGATCCATCTGCCTTGACCTAGAGCCCCCGTCTGTGCACAGGATGTCAAGATGCTGGCCATCGTGACTTCATTTGGTGCTTGGCCTTCGAGGAGCATATCGCGGAACAAGGATAGAGCACTCTTGTATCTACCACATTGAACATATCCTGTGATCATAGTGCTCCAAGTGACAACATTTCTAAGAGGCATTTCATCGAACTGTTCTCTAGCATCGTCGCAACAGCCGCACTTGGCATACATATCCACCAGTGCACTCCCAACATACACATCCCACTTCACCCTCCCACAAGCCACGTAGAAGCCATGGACGCACCTCCCAAGCCAAACGTTCCCCAGCAAGCCACAACCTTTGAGCACACTGACAATGGCAACCTCATCGACGTGAACTCCCAAAGTCCTCATCTTGTCGAAAACGGCCAGAGCATCAGATGCTTGGTCATTCTCCACATACCCCTGAATCATTGCTGTCCAAGGAACGGGATCCCGATCAGAGATTCCATCAAGCAGGTTACGAGCGGACGCCAAGCCGCCGCACTTAGCATAAGCGGCAACCAAGGAATTCCGAACGAAAGAGTCAGCGCAATAGCCAAACTTGAGAACCTGAGCATGCACTTGATCCGGGCGGATGTCACTAAGCTTGGGAAGGACTTTGAGGACCAAAGGATACGTGTGCTCGTCAGGAACCACGCCTTCTCGGAGCATTTGCGTGTACTGGGCAATGGCTCTGCCATGGTGGCAGCGCAGGGAATGACCCCTTACCATGGCGTTCCACATCGAAACCGTAGGCGATTCGGTCTGGTGGAAGACAAGAGAAGCGTAGGCGATGTCGCCGGGGACGAAGAGGGCGGCGAGTCGGAGGATCCTGGCATTGCAAGAGGCGTCGTGGGAGAGGCCAGAGGTTACGAGGAGGGAATGGATCTGCTTGAGATGGTTGACAGTCCTGCATTCTCTGAGCAAGGAGAGGAGGTGAGCTTGAAAGGACGACGTAAGCGAGCTTGATGCGTTCCAAAGCATGAGTTTGCTGCAGCTTCCAGTCAACCACATTTGATGCCCTATTTAGATCTTAAACATAAAGCCATTTCATTAATATCTATTTTATAATCAGAAAAATCTATTAATGAAATTTTTTATTATGTAAATACGCAGAAAAATACTTTGACTGCCCCCAAAATTAGGATCAAGCATGTTAGCATTGAAGCAGTCTTGGGGTCAGCTCATAGCTGCACGCAGGAAGTCTCCTATAAAGGGGACCTGCAACCGACGGAAGTAGCTGAGAGTTTCTTCATGGAGAGCACCATCAAGGCCATGAGCAGCGCGTACGAGGACTTCGCGGCCGCGGCGGCGAGCGTGGTGCGGGAGAGGGAAGCATCAGGCGGCCGGCGGACGGCGGCGACGGACGTGGCGCTGGAGAACTTCAGGCAGCGGTGGGAGCTCTTCAGGGCGTCGTGCGATCGGGCGGAGGAGGTGATGGACATGGCGAGGAGGAGGATCACGACGGAGTCCGTGGTGGACGCGGCGGCCTCCGCGGCGGAAAGGCCGGCGGAGGCGGGGCTAACGCCGGTCAGCGTGCCCCGATTGGAGCAGGCGCTGCACGCCGTCAACTCACTCGCCGCGGACCTCCGACGTGGCCTCGGTGGCGCCGCCGTCTCCCCCCCGCCCTCCAGCCCCTCTGGTGTAACATCTCAAGCAGAGAAGGCAGATTGAGTTATGTTGCTCCCCATCGAGTCCGATGCATGTATTATATAACGTATCTACGAAGCTTAGATTAACCATTAGTAATCACGGATGTCAATAGCTAATCCATAAAATTCAGATTAATTACTTGCAACTGTAGGTGACATTAATTTGTTTAAATAAAAATACAAAAATATAAAGCACTAATGCTTTTAGCATCAGAATGAGCTTTAAATAGTATTAATATAAAATATTGTGTGAACTAACTATAAATATGCACTAAATATAGTGGAATTAACATGTAATATAATGCTGCCTGTATAAACTTAATCTCATGGCTTGTAATGTTGCACAAGAACAGCTTGTCTCCCTCATAAGCCAAGATGGAAGCCATCTGATGACCAAACCAAAGCAAAAGAGCCTTTCTTTCTCCTGATGCAATCTTTAGCATTGAACCACAGGCAAATGTGGATCCACAAATAGCATGAGAAATTGAGTCTTTTGCCTTCCACCAAAATCCGGAAGGGAAGAAGAACCTCAATTTATCAGAAAGCAGAAAGCCATGGCCTTTCTTTCTTTAGATCTTCCCAGTAAACGAAGCAGAGAAAAGCTGAAGCCTTCTTTTGCCATGGCCAAACTCCCTTCTCTTTCACTCATTTGGCACACCTAACATGAAGTTCCGTCCACAAAGGCATCTTGGCCAAACTTCCCTTGGAAGAAAATGCAAGCCCGCTTCTCCACCAGCCATTCTAAAGCTTGGCGGTCTCAGTCACAGCCCCAGCCATCGATGGCCAGCGGCAGGCAAGCAGTGGTCACCAAAAGATTCCTATTTAGGCCTGGTTTCCATTTCTTGAAGCCGCCCAGTTCAAGTCTGTCGGGCGTTTCTTCTTCTTCGTGTGTTATGAGTTGCCCTTCCAATGCACGAGTTTAGCCGAGAACTTTGGATCAGTTGCATATTTCAAGCGTGGTGGATTTGAAGCGGTCTTCGTCCGTTTCTGACAGACACTTGAAGAAGTCTCCTGTAAAGGACACCTGCAGCCAACAGAAGTAGCTGAGAGTGTTTCTTCATGGAGAGCACCATCGACGAAATGAGCAGCGCGTACGAGGACTTCGTGGCCGCCGCGGCGGACGTGGTGCGGGAGAGAGAAGCATCAGGCGGACGGCGGACGGCGGCGATGGACGTGGCGCTGGAGAACTTCAGGCATCGGTGGGAGCTCTTCAGGGCGTCGTGCGATCGGGCGGAGGAGGTGATAGACATGGCGAGAAGGAGGATCACGACGGAGTACGTGGCGGACGCGGCCTCCGCGGCGGCACGGCCGGCGGAGGCGGGGCTGCCGCCGGTCAGCGTGCTCCGATTGGAGCAGGCGCTGCACGCCGTCAATTCCCTCGCCGCGGACCTACGACGTGGATCTGGTGGCGGCGCCGTCTCCTCCCCGCCCACCAGTCCCTCTGGTGTGACACCTCAAGGAGACAAGGCAGACTGAGTTATCTTGCTCCCACTGTGTCTGACACGATGCTGTACAGAGTCTCTTTTTACCTTCCGCATTGCAGTAGGCACATCAAATGCAGGAACAAAAAGGCCAAGAAAAGTAAGAAAAAATAATCCTGCTATTCTTATGAATCTATTTTGATCCCTACTACTACTTGTTATGAACCCTAAAGCTTCAACTCAGTTTCATATCATTGCAAAAGCTACCTGTATACAGAGTCAAACCTATGAATCCAATGGCAATCTACATCAATATAATAAGTAATTGCTCATGGTAATGATAATAAAGATTGCTGAAGCGCACATGCCAGAAAAGCTGCAGTCAGTTAAATTCATAGTCAATCCCAAAATGTTACTTCATGCAAAACATACAATAGAATTCAATAAGCATAACTCAAGCCCCAGTCTCCATTAAATTCAAATTTGTAAGCAATGTCAATGGTTTATCACTGTACAGGACCACATGTAGCAAGCAGCATGATGATTAAATACAAGTGATAAGTGAACATTAAGACTTTGCACAGCTTTATCATGATGAGACTAGTTAGTAGAAGCAACCCGATCCGGCTTCTAAGAGGATCCCGAAAGCTCAGACAATTATTTTACCAATATATCAAGCATGATCCTTCATTAGTTGAGTTGATCATGCATGTTCCAAGCCTGGAACTAAGATGAAGTATTTAAAGCGACTAGTTTCTCTTGGAGATTTGCAACACGGGCCTGTATAATGCACATTATGTAAGAACAAAAAACAAAATTTCGGCAAACTAATGGTAATTCATGCATCATCCAAAGTTTAGAAAAAGAAACGAGGGCGACCTTGAATGATTTGGAGCGACGAATAGATGGATCAAGCAGCAAAGCAGTTGAATATGCTTTCTCAGCAGCCTCCCATTGTTCCATTGCCAAGAATACATCACCTTGGCAAATATAAGCCTACAAGTCGACGGCAAGTAAGCATCATCTCTGTCGTCAAAGCTGATTATTTATGTCAATACATAGAGTGCAAAAGGAAACATGTTCTATTTCCTGGAACAACTATTCTGTTGAAGCTCTTAATGTTAATGATAAAGGTAAAGAAAATTTTCTTTGGCACAATTATGTATAATAATCACTATACACCTCTGGCATACAGACAGCATTACGTCAGACGATGATGCTTTTTTCCTGAACCAAAAATGAAATCCTTTCAGCATGGGGTTGCTTCTCTCCTACATGCAACCATGTTGACTTGAATATTTGGTAAAACTACACAAGTTACAGAACTGACTTGTTAAACATTGTCATCAAATTCTCTCGTTCCAAGAACCACCGCCAAGTCAGGTAGCAAGGTTTGGCTTCCTATAGAGAATTAATAGGATATTCCCTATGGCAGATAAGGCAAGAAAGAAAAAAGCACATAATTAAGAACTCAATTACAAGATTATTCTAATTCCATGTTCATTTTCGTTCCCTCTTAAAAAGAAAAAGAAATCCTTAACAAATTTAAATCAATACTAGAATGATCCTATGGTGAAACTATGGTGAAACTTAAAAACCACTGGACTTTCCTGGTTTTTAAGCAAATACCTTGCTCCAAAAATCCAACATTTTAGCCCCAAAGGGCTATGGTCTGAGGACCTAAAACTATAGATAAGTTACTAGACATCAACTCTGGAAAGCACCACTGGTCCATCAATTGCTTCTGGGGCTTAATTTTTTTTTTTCGCTCATCAGCAGCATGGACTCCCATCTTGAAAACTTATCCCCAAAAAATAACTTGTTATTTCTTCTTTTTTAAACTTCTCCCAACTTTAGGTGGATTTTGGAGATTTACTAATCTTTCTACCTCTAACTGATCCTTAGGTTTTTAAGCAAGCATCACTTTTGCCTAAATTCTCATCGGCTAGAAATTTGACACTACTGATAACTGATCCCGAAAAACAAGAGATTTTTCAATTTCTGAATGAAGCCTTCTGGGTTGTATTCTACATGACATTTGTTGTAGAAGACTTGGATGACAGTGCTCAGTTTTCCAAGGCACCGTTTTGTTTACCCTTGTAAATGGAAACAGGGTGGTGGTCTTCTCCACCTTTCTCATCGATACATATACATGATACAAGTAGATTCATCAATGAGCTTCTCGATGACTACTAGTGAAGTAAGATATGTGATAACCCCTGAGAATTACATAATTAAAACTTGATCAAATATGCTTGTACATATTAAGGTTCTTTGAATAGCTCTAGAATGAATCAGTTGGTCAGCATCAAAATTCCCAACCAAATTCACACCGTAAAAAACTAACAACCTTTCTGGATTTGGTGCAAGCGGCAGGCTGAATTAGAAAATGATAGCAAAGATATTTTGGCTGTGGCATGGGCACTAGAAGTTCAGAATTTAAACTCTCAGTTACTGAAATAATGCTGAATTAGACTCCACAGTTCATGGATTTCAAGGGTGACAGAGAAAAATCCTTCTCTTTTTTTCATGCTCAGAATGCAGAATTTTGGAAAAGAATATGTCTGGTTGGAAAAGGAGTCAAGAGAAAAAGACATGTTCAGGCACTACATAAGAGTTCTTTAAACTAACAAAATTCCCAACTTTTCCTATCTGCTGTTTCTTCTGACATTGTTGTATATAACCCTAAAACTGACATGCAATAAGGAATATAAGCAGTGAAAAAGAAGGGGGTGAACCAATGGAACACAGTTGGAAGTTGTAAATGCCATCATCTGAACTATCAAAGCGCATGTGATGTGATTTACTAAGATCAAAGAGAACTCCTTAAGTCTCCATTGATCCAACTTTGGAAGAGTAAAAGCAACCAAACATACTGCAGTCTTTTAGCCAGATGAGCTCAATTTCAACTTAGATCATTCAATTTTAATGCATCCTCTTTATTTCCTCATTAAAACACAAAATAAGTTACCTGTGGATATTTAGGAGCTAAACGAGATGATTCTCTTGCATCTTCAAGGGCACCAACATCGTCTCCCATTGCTAATCTTGCAGAAGACCTGAGTGATAAATGTACCAAAATATGAGAATAAGGCAAAATCAATCTTCATGCTGAAGTACTCATCCAATGAAACTCACTGAGAACGAGAAAATTTTCTCCATCAAAAAGAAAAATATACTTATTTTAGCAATTTAAGACAACAGCAACTATCCCAAACACACAGAGACCTGCTTCTGTATATAAGATGCAGACCGCCAGAAGGTTTAAGATCAATCGCCTGCGACCAAAAAGCCAGTTAGAAGCTCCAATCCTCAGAATTATCTTCCTGTTGTTACCTAATTGGAACTCCAAAAATGGCTCTTTTTTCCCTATTGGAACAAGTTTACTGGCGTTTCGAACCTGGGAGAGGAGAGACTCGGCCTCGGCTTCATTCCCCTTCTCCAACTCGTCCTCCGCCTTCTTTCTTAGAGCGAGCGTCTCGAGGTTCCTCTGCGGATCGAATTCCGGGCCGCAGAGGTCCGCCAGGAGCTGGGCGGCCTTGGCGGCTGTGCCACAGTGGCCGATCAGGGCGCCCGGGGGAAGGACGGCAAGGTTGGGGCCGGCGCCGCACCGGCCGAGGCAGCCACAGGAGACGACGGAGATGCCCAGCGGCGCGATGGCGGACAGAACCGCCAAGATGTCCCTGGAGCCCTGCCGCCCGCAGGTCCGGTTGACGCAGACCCTGATCTCCACCTCCCCCTCCGGCTCCGACGACGACGCCCACGCCTTCCACCGCCTCCACCTGTCCTTCAACGACGCGGCGACGCGGGGAGGAGCGACGCCGCTTAAAGGAAGCGCCATCGCGCTGCGTCAGGCTTCAGCCGGCGTCTTATCCGCACCCGCCACACCGAGACTTTTCGGGAGTGATCCCCGTGCTAACCCATTAAAAATACAGGTTGCCACTTGTCACGTCACCCACTGCTCTACCTGTGTGTTTATTGGAGAATGTAAAATGTCCCTACATACTGGCGCTCTCTATTTCCTGGTGGGTATTTAAACGACGTGCTTTGGTAGCTGTACTATTAATTGCCCGGAGGTCTTCCTCAAATCAAGTCAATATTTGGATAGCGCTAATAATATATCTTTAGTAAGCTATGCATGAATAGTAAAAATTATAAGTTTTGTTGAGACATTAATGTATTATTCCATAAGTAATGGGTGTCAAGTTGAAATTCATGTGTAGACGACTTATATATCATTTAATATAATAATTTTTATTTTTATTTTTTTACTTAATACAAATATTTTGATTTAAAAAAATACCCCAAATATTTTTGGTTCTCTTATTATCATGTTAGTCAATAAAATTTCACTTTATACCTGACTAAAGTTTATTCTAATAGCTAAATATGATCAACCAATAAAGACTAGCCATAAAGGATTACATGCAAACTGTCATGTTTCACCATGGCATATATGTTTAAACTTAAATTAAAAAAATAAATATTACTATAAAGGGATGTATATGCAACTTTTCATGAAAAGCAATATATTGGATGGTACAAAAAATTATTGTGAGAATTAAAATAGTTGTTAATTTATACACAATAGCAATAGGACAACATAAAATACAAAGGGAATTTCGCACATCCATCCTTTAAAAACTTTGGAAATAGTGTATTTATTATTATTATAGATTTTAAATACAATATATAGATTCATCTACTTCCATCCAAAATACCAAGATTAATTACTTTATCTCTACGATTAACATTAACTTATTTGTATTAAAATCATAATTTTTTTCACTATCATAATAAATTCGTAAAGGATCTCAATGTAAATTAGACTTTTAATTAACCAAGATGGTTTATATGCAACATTTTAGATTTTAGAGAGATGAATACGCTAAAGTTAAATTTATAAGAATAAATAAAAAATATTCTGGGAATATATATATATATATATATATTATACGCATGAAAGATGCACCGAATTGGCGGGAAAAAATTCAGGCGCAACCGGGACCCATAAATTTCCCGCGTTACGCCTCAACGCCTCGTAACGCGCCGTCTACATTTAGGGCGGGGATTGAGTCCTTCGCTTGCTCTCGATCGAGAGGGAAGAAGGGGGGAGAAGTAGCACCAAAGATGTTCTCGAGCCAAATCGATGGAGGTGGATTCATGCTCTCTCAATCCTCCCAAAACCCTGATTCCGGCTTCTCTAAGGTAACGACGAACTGTGATTTATTTGTACCGATCTCCTTCCGTGGATCCCTTGACCTCGATGTTTTCTCAGAATCGTGGCGCTCCGGGAGTTCTTCCCGTGACGGTGAAGCAGATCAGGGAGGCCTTCGACTCTGCAGGCGATAAGTCCAGTCTCCTTCTCGATGGAGTTGATGCCACCAATGTAAAGCCCTTGAATCTTCTTTTTGTTTATGGATCTTTTTGAGGTGTTATTCCTGAAATCTGAAGCCTAAAATTTAGCTCGGTTTTTACTGGGAATGATGTTTTTATTTGGTGGGTGCAGATTAGACTCCTGGGGCTGGTGATGAACAAGGCGGAGAGGGCTACGGACGTTACCTTCACCCTTGACGATGGCACTGGACGAATCGATGTCATCAGATGGTAGAAACCTTCTACTTTACTTGTCGACGCAGCATGTTGTCCTGATGCCGTTATTTTCTCTTTTGACTATGATTTTTAGGGTTAATGACACTTCAGATGCAAACGAGACAGCTATTATTCAGTAAGATATCACAGATAATATGCTTATTTTTGTCGTGTTAATATTTTTTCTCTTTATTTTTCCTTCATTTTCTGACTAATCATTTTTTTGGGGGGTTAAGGAATGGTATGTATGTCTCCGTCAATGGTAGCCTTAAAGGATTTCAAGACAAAAAAAGAGCCGTTGCATTCTCTGTTAGGTAAGCTATTTGATGTTTCTGATTCTGTGTTTCAGTTCATATTTGCTCTTTTTGTTGCAAAATCCTGTGATTGAACATAGTTGTGTTGGTGTTGAAAACATCATTCGCCTTATCAGTTGTGTTGGTGTATTGATCGGTCATCATTATAGTATGTAATGTACCAAACCATATCAATGTACCGACATATGGTACGGTGGGGAGTACTAACAAATTGGTATGTCTCGCTTGTACTAGTCCTTTATTAGACTGATATGTACCGCAGTATCGGGCGGTATTTGACGTGGTATGACGAACCTTAGTTAATTTTTTTGACAATCTATTTTTTTTAGAAATTTTTATCTATATAAGAAAACCCAGAATATTTTAGTCCTGACAGGAGCTATAAGTTCTTGCTTCTAAGTTGTTCTTGGATTTGGATGTCTTTTAATTGTTTGCATAAGCCTTCACCTTACATTGCTGGATGCATAATCTATTGCTAAGTTTTCTAATTGAAAACAATGATTCTTTTATTGGCCCTGTTAGTTTTTGAATGAAAAGTAACAGCTTTTATTGCAGAAAGCATGGACATAGAATTATTAGTCATAATAATGCTAATCTTATCAGGGATGGGAACATATTCTACTTTGTTGCCAACCTATGTTTCTAGGGTTAGATTAGTGATCAATCATCTTAAAGCAAAATGGAAATAACTTCCTTGGTAACCAAGCATCATCAGTCCTACAATCCTAGTGGTTGCACTCAACTATAGAGGTCTGTGTCTTTTTATTTGGTTTTTGAATTTACTATGGGGAAACTTAATGATGTGGTTCGTTCCTAACAATGCGGATCAACATAGGAAATTGAGAAAATCTCAGCTGTAAGCTTTACAATTTTAGAACTTTTATTTGGATATGTAATTTGGTCAAGGAGTTAATATCTGTAAGTAACATCATGCATTGTGCTTTATCCTGGTTACCTAATCTACCTTAACATCAGTGCCTTAATTCAGTTGCGCTAAAATATGCTTATAATGACCTTAATGACTGCAATTGTTCAGTGGTTGTCATGGTTCGGGTAAAATTTTCCACTGAGTGATGTGTCTAATCTACTAAAGAGGACATGTGATGATCTTACATATTTTACTTCTATAGAAGTGGGTTAAATTATGGCTCAGAGGTCACTATCAAATTCAGTTTGAAAGATATACAAATGCAACTTGCGATGTGGCTTGTGTTTCACACTGGGCTGGCCCATTTTGTCCGTTGCCCTCCTTTTCTTTTGCTTTTGACAGATTTTACTACCTTTGTGGTTGTGGATTGGCATGCATACTCTCTACTTGATTCAAGTTCTTATAACTTCTCACTTATTTGCTTGTTTAAAGTTTCCTTACCTTTGTCCAAACTCATTAGTGGCAACTGGATAATTTAATTTGATGTTGCAATGTTGGATGCCATAATTCTCAAGTGTCATGGAGACTTACGAGCATATTATCAATGGCATTGCTATATGATATGTTCATAAAATGTACAGGGTTGCTCCTTTCTGAACGAAACATTTCTGGTCCTGTTTGTTTCACCAAAGTGAGCTAATTAATTACACTTCTGATGAAAATGACAGGAGTTCCTATGTTTGGTTCACCAGAACTAGATGGCAATTCGGAAATGGGGTTTGGGAAGTCATAAATTTAACAAACTGGACTATGACTCTGGAGCTTGAGTTATTTATGGAAAAGTGGGAAGGGTAGATATTTTATTTGATTTTGTGGAATTTTACTTCAATGAGTGTAAAAGTCAAGTTTCATGAAACCTGACTCTGGAAACTGCACTTTGGTGTCAATTTACACCTTATTGAAACAAAACAGATTTTAAGGATTCAGGTGAACAGAAGTAACCTCTGTACTTAGTCCCAAGACTATAAATTAACCCTCGTAGTACTCCTAACTAGAGAAATCTTTGTACACTATGCTGTTCCTTCCAAAAGTCTTAGATTCACTTGGTTAAGAAATATTTGATTATCTATGTTTACATATTTTGCCGTATTTTAGGTTTGTCACTGTCTACAAACTGCAACTCTAACTTAATTTGCACTCCAGGCCTGTCAGTGACTATAATGCTATTGCACTCCACTTCATTCAGTGCATACATGTACATCTCTGGAACACCAGGCAGAAGGTATTGGCATCTTGGATATTTAGCTGTCTCGTCCATGAGTCTTTGTATCTCTATGCAATTTCACGTTTGTAACCGGGCCTTCTGTTTGTCATTTGCAACAGGGAGGTGCTTTCCAGCACCAGACAACTCCAGTAAAGACAACAACCACTTCTTTTGAAGGGTTGAGAGTGCCCCAAACTTCAGTTGCCAATCAAGTATGGAGTTTTTATATTTAATTTTCCTTCCAAATCATGAATAAGCTAGTGGTTGAATTCACTAACTGGCATAGCTTCTCTGTACTTTTATTAGTCTTCTGGAAGTGCAAACACGAATGGACCTGAGACTGACATCTACAAATTAGTGTTGAACGTTTTCCAGGAACCTGCAAACCTGTAAGTCATTTGTAGCATGTTTGGTAGAATGCTCGATTCATTCAAATCATGAATTATTAGCGATAAAGCATGTGATTGTTGAACAGTGACAGCGACCATGGATTGCATGTTGATGAAGTTGCCAAACGACTGGGAGTACCAATCAATAAGATCAAGTCTCTTGCTCTCCCTAGTTGCTCTCTTTCACTCTTCTACTCATATCTGTGAACTAATCTTACATTTGATGTCTCTGAGCAGGGAAGCTATCGATTACTATGTGGACATCGGTCATATTTATTCTACGATCGATGACTACCACTTCAAGTCTGCTTTCATCGACTGACGTTGACTTCTCAATCTTTATGGCTGTTTGTAAAGAAGACACTAACAGAGTCGGTTTGTCAATTTATATGGCTGTGCTTAATCTCCCCAATATGAAGACCAGTTTTATAGGTGAAATGTGATGAATGATCAAAAGTATGCTATGCACTGAACAAGATTTTTTTTTTTTGTCTTCGTTCCAATTTCCGGCATCTTTGAATTGATTCAACCTGCCTTGTGCTGTCTTCTCTCACAATAAATATCATCCTTTTTATTATCTTTGGTCCTGCTTGGTAAGGTTGTCAGAAAAATATTGTTCAAGTTTGAAAATTGATGCCTAATATTCTAATTGTAAGTTTTAAGCTTAAATTCATTATTGGAATTTTAGAAATCATCTGTTACAAAGGGAGTGTTTAATGTTTTTAATGTCATGATGTTTTAGATGATTTGATCGTAGATGATGAAAGGCTACTAAAAAGTCCAAGAGGACGTCTCCCGAGATTAAGTACGTGTTGCCTCGCACACTGAAGACTGTGCATGGTGTCCTCGCCAACTTCTATCAACGCTGGAAATGTTCGATAGCGAACAGCCCCACGTTATTGCCACACCAGCGCCTGTACAATTCTCATCCACGTCCCCTTCTTCCACCCACCGGTGGTTGTCCGTCGCTTTCTGCCTCCAACTCGCATCGCAAGCTCCAAAGGATCCATCAGCCTCGTGATCTCCTTGGCAGGCTCTCATTGGCTGCCAACCACCACGTTCCCCGCCGCGGTGCGACACGCTGGCTCACAGGCGAGTCCTCCCCCGGACACGCGTCTCGTGTCCCACGTGGCTCCATATCGACCCCGCATCCTCGCCGACCACGTTCTCGTGCGCTCGGTCAATCTGGACCGTTCGATCGGCGAACCAAACCAATCTCCACAGCCGATGTGCGACGGTTAGCTCAACCGGCCTCAAGTGAGCTCTGAGCTTTAGGGTCCCTATAAATACCTCCTCCGCCCGCGGCTGCCGCGTTAATCGTCTCGGGGATCAATTCCAGGGTTCGTTTTCTTGACTTGTAAATGGTGAGTTGTTTCATCCCGCCTTCGTCGTTTGGATTGATTCTTAGGTTATCATTTTCCGGGAAAGATCAGCAACTTGATCCGAGATTGTTTGAGGGAGTTTATTGCAGGACATCATGGGGAGGAAGTGCTGCGCTCTTCTGTTGACGGATGATGTTGCGTTGCCCCTCGACGCGATCCTGTCTGCTGTGCGGGATGCGGGAGCCGAAGCAGTCCCGGAAGACGATGTCGTCGTTATCACCCACTGCGAATCGCTTGGTAACCTTTTCTCCTTGATTTGGAATAGATCGTACATAGCTTAAGATTTGGGCATTGGAGTTGTGGTTGAAGTAGCTAATTATTCCGTGTTTGTGATAGATCTAGCAGAGTAAAGTTCTATGGAAATTGTATATTCTTCCTTGAAATTAAATTGGATGGTATGCTTGACAGAAGGGAAATTGCCAATTATGACTGCATCTTTCGATGTGGTCGTCACTGCCTGGAACAAACCCGAGCTTGTTGGAGAGCAGTGGCTTCGCGAGATTGGTCGAGTGCTAAAACCCGGTGGCGAACTCATTTTACGATCTATTCTGTCTCCTGGTATGCTGGAAAAGGTAGCCTTCTTTTGTCATATGAAAAGTAGGTTTTCAATTGTGTTCCCGACAAATATCTGTTATAATGGCTTGAGGAGATGAAATGTTAAAGCACTACTCTTGCAGCCAAGCTCCACGATGGAGTTGAAGTTGCTTATGCAAGGTTTTCTGGATGTGCAATCACTGGAAATGAAACCTTTCTCATCAGCTGGAAATGTTCAGTCCATTACAGTGAGTTATATTCTGATTGTTGCAACTGCTATTCCTAATCGTACCCCTACTTATGTTGGACTTGTAATAAATTATCACACTCTGGCACAGATCAAGGGTAAGAAGGCTTCTTGGACAGCAGGTTCATCTTTTCCCTTAAAGAAAGCAACGAGTATGGTACCCAAAATTAAGATTGATGATGAATCAGATCTGATCGATGAAGACAGCCTCCTGACCGAGGAAGACCTGAAAAAACCACAGCTGCCTGCCTGTCTGATTCAGAACTTTAAATCTTTCTTATCGTGTCTCCTCTGCGATCCCTGTAAACTTACAGTTCACTTGCTTTGGCTCAGTTGGAGACTGTGAGGTTGGAAGCACAAGGAAGGCTTGCAAGAACTGCACTTGTGGAAGGGCTCAAGAAGAGGAGAAATTGCAGAAAGTGGGATTAACCACAGAGCAGACGAATAATCCTCAGTCCGCTTGTGGCAGTGTATGTGACTGATTTATTCTTAATTGTGAAGTCGACATTATGACTTGATAATTTGTCGTGCTTGTGAAGATATCCAATAATGTATTCTTGCTTAACCATTTTCATTTTGCAGTGCGGACTCGGGGATGCATTCAGGTGTGGTGGATGCCCTTACAGAGGCCTTCCCCCCTTCAAATTGGGCGAAAAGGTGACTCGATTTCTATTCATTGTGCTTTCAGATTTCACCTATTTGCTGTTTGTCGTCCATGATCACATAGAGAAATCGAGTTTCTCATACTTGAAGAAACAATAAACATTTGCAGGTTTCCTTACCTGGAAATTTCCTTGTTGCTGATATATGATTTGTGTGAAGACCCAGCAAGCATCAGATCGTTCACTTGACAACGTTACATCGAGGAATCCTCCCTCCTTTATCTTCTGGGTATTTTTTTTCATGAGGAATTTGGTTCCCTTGTATTATTATTACTCTAAAGCTTCTGCAACCACAATTTCGACGGTCTCCATCGTCTTCATCTTTTCATTCCACTTTATTGTGTGAGTCCTCAAAATCGTGTGCCAGCTACTTTCTCATTTCCACACCTGGGAGTGAAGGATTAGTAACCATGCCGCTTGCCTTTCCTCTTATTGTTTATTTCCTATTGACTAAGACACGGATGCGATGAACGCATCCACCTTCTCGTTCATGCTCCTCGACAAAAACTTCATGCATATGGGCGGCTTCACCTTGGCCAGCGCGAGCACCGACTGCGGAAGAGTCCATATCCCGTCGCCGCAGATCAACCCCGAGGCCACCGCCGGCCCGAACGCTTCCGCCTTCGCCTTGTCCGTCCTCTCCCAGATGAACAACATCAAGCTGCCTACACACATGTCGATGGCAAAGGCAGACCCCAAGTAGAACGGTATCGCGATGGCCATCGGCAGCGGTATGAACCTCGCCGCCTTCTTCCCCACGACGTCCCTCGATGCGTTGACGAGGACGGCGGCGAGGAAGAACACGTAGCAGAGGACGAGGCAGTGCTTCGGCAGCGACGAGAAGCCCTCCACCCCGAGTATCGCCATGTTGCGGTAGACGAGAGCATTGGGCGATGGGTACTCTGTTCCCGGGACGCCGATGTCTTCGAAAGCCTTCAAGAACAACCAGAAGACGGACGGAGCAATGACGCATCCCATGGCAGTGCCGATCACCTGGCTGACGAACATGGACCTCGGCGAGGCCAGAGTCAAGTACCCGGTCTTGAAGTCCTGCATGAGGTCGGAAGCGGTGGACACGATGCTCATCATGACACCGCAAGCAGCGAGGCCCGCGAGAACGCCGCCGCGGGAGGCCCCAGCCCACGCGCCGATGGTGAAGATGGCTAGCTTGCCGTAGGTCGAAGCAAGAGACCAGTCGGTAAGGCCAGCGCCGTAGGCGTTGCAGAACGCCAGCACCGGCGCGAACACGTAGGCCACCAGCACGTAGTACCACCGCAGCTGCGGAATGATGTGGGGAAGCGTAGCAGTTGATACGGCAGCAACGACAAGATAACCTCCGTAGGCAATTGGTTTGGGGATTTGGTCCTTGAGAAAGAGTTGGACGCGACGCTGGTCATCGATGGTGACGGCGGACGTGTCATCAGAGAAGGGCAGCGGAGTCGCAGACGACTTGCTCCTGATTTGAGTCACGAAGGCAGCCACAGTCTTGCTCAAGACCTTGAAGAAGTTGTAGAGGCCGTCTCCCAGGATCAGGGCAATGGCTATGAACACCTGCAACGAAGTGCTCGACGAAATGATTGCACTGTGATGATCCTACTTAGCCGGCCAGTTTACATGAGACGATGCTTTTTACCCGGTATCCTTGCAACCCTTGAAGACTGGTTGAAGGGAGATCTGCCGAGTACCAGTCGCCTTTCTTAGCACCTATCAGAGGCCACATGATTCCCCATGAGAGGATGCCTCCCAAGAGCACAGATATGTTTACGAGATAGGGACAAATCATCCCAACCCCAACATATGTAGCTGAAAAATCAAAGTAGAACCTGCAGCGATATCCAACTAGTTTATCAACAAGTTTGAATCAGATTCATATCTTGTATCATTTCACTCTTCAGAACAGTATCAACAGGGATAAAGTTATGGGTGCACACTTGTTTTGGTATGCCTGGAGGCCTAATGTAGGGAAGGCAGCAAATCCACAGTCATCACCAGCAGTGTAAAACCACTGGAAGAAACCCCAGAGGAAGCTGACCGTGAAGAACTTGCCCAATGTTCTCACCTGCTTCCTGCAACAAATGCCAAGTTTGCTAACATAAACTCACTCGACGAAAGAGAAGACCAATTGTAAGACTGGTTCAGATTACTTTGCTAGCTTGGCTCCCTGAGGAGTATGGAAGCTGTTGATAAGGTGTGCTGTTGCAGTGCCGCTTGGATAGATCAACTTGTAGTCGACGATCATTATCTGAAACCAACCTTTCTCGTTCATATTCTATAGTCGAAGTCTACTGCAACATGAGAGGCTGATTCATCGTGATTCCTATTGAAGTAGATACAATACCTTTCTCAATGGAACAAGGGAGAACAACCCTAGGAAGCTAACAACAAAGAGGAATCCAATCATCCATCCCAGTTTGGGATTCTTTATGTTCTGTGAATCATTAGCTTCTGTTGATTGCTTGGCAATGGTTTCACTCATGGCAAAGAGGTAACTTCCAAAGCCCCCTGCTCATGGATATTTGTCAGCAGAACAACTCAATTTGGCGTCCATTTCATTCTGTGATCTAAGATTTAGGATAATCTTAAAATTGATAATTATTGAAGAAATTAGTAGCTTAAACAAATAAAAAATGCTGTCTTTTTAGGAAATCAAAACAGCATTCTCTACGTAATTATGGTTGGAAAGCAGCTAACGATAAGGAGGAGGAGGGGATTACCGCTGGAGGCGATGCCGGAGGTGGCGACGACGCAGGTCTGGATGACGGTGTTCTCCTGGCGGGTGAAGGGCTGGCGGAGGAGACCCGCCCTGCCGAGCGCCACCGTCCAGGTCCTGACGAAGAAAAAGCCCAGCAGGCCGGCGGAGACGTTGAGGGAGGGGATGACACCGGTGGTGAGGTTGAGCTTCATCACGATCACGCTGAACATCGCCCCCAACACCAGGCTCACCGCGAAGGCCCGCGCCGTCAACTGCTCCCGCCAAGGCGGCACCCGCTCCCCGTCGAACTCGCTCTCGATCGACGGCGCCTCTGTCAATCCCACCGCTTCCTCCTCCTCCGCCTTCGTCGTAGCCCTCCTCCTCCCGCCGCCCTCTCCCGTGTCCTCCATCCTCATCTCCACTTCCATCGCTCCCATCCTCGTGGCTGTCCTACTCCTTCAGCTAATTCTTCGGGCAAATTTGGAGGATTATGGCTACAGACGCAGACGTGAGCCGGTAAAATATAGGCGGGAGTGTCGAAGGGCGGACTGTAGCGATCGGTGCTTTCCAGCCGTCTGATCGTGGCTTGGGGAAATGAGAGGACCGCAAAAGGTTTATTCCAAAATTGGGTCAGGATCCGAATTCTCCCCCAACTCTCCCATCTCGACCGTCCCATCCTCCTCATCTCACATCTCAATCGTCCATCGTCGACGAAATTGGAGTCGTATCCATGAGAGAAAGGGCAATTGTGCCGATCACTGATCTCATCCTCGATTCGTGAGCCACTGAGCTGGTGACATTCTCTCATCTCGTCATCCGTCAGTATTCACAGTGCAATTGTATTCCTTTTGGTTTTATACTTCGAAAATGTATATATCGCATCAACAACACCATAAGTACTTAATTTTGACATTGACACAGATATTTTGACCTTTGTGTTGACGTTTAAGAAGCGAGAAAGGTTGGGCCAGTCGGAGTCGGAGGCGGCGAAGTCCTCGAGCCAGTATGGCAGTATGATCTCCTGGTCTTCCCCCGGCAAGCCCGCGATGAGGTCCTCCGTCACCCTCTCCATCTCTTCACCGCCATCAGCACCGGACTCGTCACCCCATTGCTCGCGTAGCATAGCAGCTGTAGCCACAGAGCCAACGCCCCGAACCGCACCTCCCCCGCTGCTTCCCATTCCCCTCGTCCCATATCCGATACAGCGTCACTGCCGAATGTTCGATTTGCTCGATCGATTAGCTGTTGTTCGAGTCTTGGAGAGTGGTTGAGATGTTACATGTGATCTTGACCATGGCGCCTTGAACGCGAGGATGCCCTCACCCGCGGCCAAGCATGCCCGAAGCTTGTTGAGTGATTAATGTGATTTGAGTAATTTGAGTATATGATTGAGAAAAATCTAATATATATAAATAGGTAATCATCTCAATGATTAAAATTATTTATTTTCATAATAATTTGAGTATATGATCGAGAAAAATCTAATATATATAAATAGGTAATCATCTCAATGAATAAAATTATTTATTTTCATAATAATTTTTTATACTCTATATGGTACGAGAGTCCTCTTACTTTTAAGCAAGAAAGACTTCTTTCCTCCCTCCCCTTATCCCTTTCTATCGATCATATACGTTTACTTTGTTTAGTTTCATAGTAGTTGACGGAGTCGTTCCATAGTCGTCGTCAGAGTCATTCCCTTTTCCCATTGCTACCTTTCCTTCTTAGTCGCTTGGAGCCCTCCTCGATCGCTACTCCTTCTCGATCACTACTGTTAGACCCTCCTTACGACCCACTCCCAGAGTCGGAGCCCTCCTCGATCGTTGCTCCTCCCTGATAGCTGCGATCTCCCTTTTGTGGCCTACACAATATATTTGATCAGTCCTCTAATGATGTTGATATGATCTACTACCTATGGTGATGCCGATTTGATCCACTGCCTCTGGCGATCGACGCCCTACTCTACAATACTAAATGTACCTTTGTACCATCTCACCACATACAAAATATCATCAAGTGTAAATGAATCTTTCGAATTAAGTGAAGCCCAAATGGATTCATTGCTAGATACAAAGCATATCTAGTGGCCAAAGGGATTCACCAAAGACCAAGTGTCGCAGAAACATTCAGTCCAATTATTAAACCAATGGTAATCCGACCCATCTTGAGTTTGACTACCACTCAAGGCTGATATATACGTTAGTTAAATGTTAACAATGCTTTCTTACGAGAGATCTTAACTTAAGATGTTTTTATGCAATAACCTTTTGGCTTCATCCACACTCATTATTAAGTCATATTTGTAAACTACAAAAGGTTATTTATGGACTTTATCAAGCTCCAAAAGCCTAGTATACATAACTTGGCTCATTTTTTACATCATCCGGCTTCGTCAACTCCAAGTCTAATATTTTTTATTTTTACGATAATAAAATGGAAGTACTATATATCTATTGGTTTATATGAATGACACTATCATAATAGGCAGTAATTCTATAGAGATCAATCAATTCTTTAAGCAAGTGACAGATTGATTTTTCATCGAAGATCAAGGAACCTTAAGCTATTTTCTATGAATAAAAGTAACATTCACTTTTCCTATCTTAAAAGTAACATTCACCACCCCACTCTCCACTACTGAATCACTCAAATTATATGATGTCAGTCCTACTACGAATTCCACACAATACTGACAAGTACTTAATTTCTTATATTATTTATCTCTCACACGCCCAAGCATCTCATTTGCTGTCAACAAATTATCATAATTTATGTATCGACCCTTCACTATATATTGGTTTGCAACAAAATGTATCATGCAGTATATCAACAAGACTCAATCATAGACTTTTTTTTATGTAAACACTCATCACTTCATTTCTATGCCTTCACTTCATAACTTAGATGATGATAGAACAAATTAACCTACATTATCTTCCTTGAAGTAAATCTAATCAGTTGGAATTCAAAAAAATATAATACAATCTCAAAATATAATACCAAGCCATGGCTACCACTGCTATATAATCAATTGAGTCACCAATCTGCTACACAAACTTGGCATCATCTCCTAATGCACTCCTAAAATTTACTGTGATAATATTGGTGTCACCTACCTATGCGCTAATCCAGTGTTTTACTCACGCATGAAATACATTATCATCGACTTCAACTTCATCAGAGATCAAGTTGTCAGACATCAACTACGTATTTCTCACGTTAATATTTTTTATCAACTAGCATACCCCCTCACAATCTTTCGATCGCAGAACATTTCAATTACATTGTTTCAAAATTGATATTCTCAATAGAAGCTCAATCTTGAGAAAGCATGATAAAATATCATGATAGAAATAAATATGAAATGATATCCTCAATCATCAATCTATGATTTAAAGATCAATTATAAATATGAATGATTGATGTGATTAACTAATTTAAGTGCATGATTAAAAGGAATCCAAAACATATATTTATCGCTCCTCTCTACAACATTCTTCTTCTGGTCTACAGCTCTACAGCAGAGGACGCTGGAGGGCCACCGAGGTGGTGGAGACCTCTAAGTGCTTGAGCGAGCGACGGAGGAACTCACACGTGTGGGAGAAGGCGATGGACAACACAGCCCGGTTGACATCGAGCAGGGTCGTGTAGCCGCTCTGCATGTTCTTGGTGATGATGCAGTCAATGGTCGCCAACACGTACTTGTACTTCCTTTACGTGGCCGACACCTCATTCAAGATCGCAAGAATCTGCGCCAAAGACACAAAGTCCTCCCAAGAAACAACGATTACGATTGTGTTAGGACAATAACAAGAACACACTCATGTCATCAAAATCAACAGATTTTTACTGCAAGGGTTTTGCACAGGACTCGGAAACCCGCAACAAGGGTCATCAACAGAAACTTACATGAGAGAGAGCTCTAACAATGGCGGTGGTGGATGCTAGCCGACTGACCCCATGCGAGTGCCCACCATGGACAATGAGAGCCGAAGCGGAGGAGAAGGAGGATGAAGATGAGCCATGGTTGATAACGAAACCATTGACGCTCGAGCTAAAGAGGGAGTTAGCATCTGAGGTAGGAGACGAAGAAGGGAAGACATCCGTCAGGGTTTTCAGGATCCAGACGTTAGCCCAGTATAATATAATATTTCTGAATGACCATTAACATAAGTCTTCCATGTTTGAGAGTTTCATCTACTCACGTAAGTCATAGGGGGTCGATAAGAGTATTGCGGGCTCTATACATGACTTCCTTTCTCGTTTCTAACAAAAGTTTACATTATCCCATAAACACTAGAGTACAAAAGGATATTGCGAGCAAGGTCTGTCGTACCAAAACATACCGCCCGGTATGGGCGATGCGTACCGATCCGACAGGTTATCGGTACGCGGATCGCCCGGTACCGCTACAGTGCTACAGTATGAAAAAAATATATAAATTTACTCGGTACATTAGGGTGTACCGCTCGGTACATCGGTACCGTACCATACCGAGCCCGGGTCAAAACTCCGGTACGATACGGTAAGACGAACCTTGGTTGTGAGCAAGAAATTTAGCATGTGTAGGAAGTACATGCGGAACAACAAAAATATACATGCGTAAACAATATGAGGTAACATAAACTTTTTCATAGTATATTCAGATATGATAAAAATAAATGACAAGAGATATAAGAGTTTAAAACAATCACATAAGGCTTAATTGAGGGAAGAATTCTAGATGAATTCAAATTCATAAAGATAGTGATAAGGTATATTTTTGGACCTCGCCCATGTCACGACCCACGCCACATCATGCCCCTACCAAGTCAGCTCGAAAGCTGCTTTCCCGCGTCGAGCCGGAGCCCGTACAGGGAGTTGCCCCCTCGGAAAGTCTCGTCCCAAAAAGCTCAGGACGATGTCGCATGGCTCCGTTCTGTGCATACCGGGCGACGACCACATGAATGTAACATCTTATCACTCGGGGGATCGGTCGCCATGCCAAATCCGCATACGACTGACCCTCGGGCAGTAACATAAAAGCCCATGACCGGCACTTGGCTAGGGGACGGAAAAGAAAAAGAGAAAGAGACCACTGACTTAATCTACGAGGGGCCCAAGTCAGGAACCCCCCGACCAGGGCCTGTTTGCAAGAACTCGGCCACCCTCGGAGGCACGATCGTCCCGACCCTTGATCCGACTCGACCTTGGCATTCCTTCCGACCAACCAAGAGATGCACTCCCGAGCGCCAGGAACTCCGGACATCGACCCGTGGACCAAGCCGTGATAACTCCTTGGCCACGGTACGTAAGTTCACCAACAGATAGAAACAAGAATAGATAAAAAAATTATAACAATTTTGTTCTGACAGAATCTACAAGGCATATTGCACGAATTATTTAGATAATCAATTATGAAATAAGTTTTGTATAAATTAGAATTTACACAAGAAGTTATTGGCGATTTAGTATCGAAATATAAAAAAATATTATCTCTATTTTACCGAATCAATATTATCTCTATTTTACCGAATCCTCAATCGAAACATATGTTTGGATAAGAATTTATAGTCCAAATCCTTTAACTAAGGTATTGAAAGATAGATAAACGAGTCTAGTTTTAAATGAAATAAATTTTATACTAATTAGAGCTTTCAATAAAAAGTTACATAGTTTAGTACTTAAAGGTCATAAATTATTGTCTCTATTTTGTAAATCCCTAGGATCAATTGAAACAGATGTTTAGTTAGGCATTTGAGCTCCAAATCTTTCGGGTAACATACTAAAAGAAATCTATACAAGTCTAGTTTTCAAATAATCAAGTTTTACTCAAATTAGAATTCCGTATAAAAAAGTTATAACCGAAAACAATGCAGAAATGTTAGAATCTCGAAAATTTTCAAATTCACAAATTTACAGCTCATCCAGATTGATATCATTTGCAAAGAAAGACTCTTCAAAATACTCATAATCAAGATGAAATCAGGAATCAAAATTGATGTTAGAACACTTGCCTAAAAAGAATTTGATAGGAATTGAGCCAAAACCCTAAGCCCAAATCACTTCTCGTCTTCCTTCTTCTCCTTCTCCCTTTTTATTCCTCCACCGGACATTTGCCTCCTTTGGAATAATATATAAAAAAATATGGACAGGTAATTACAGGGATTTGGGCTTGAAGCAACTTTTCTGATGCGGTGGAAGAGCCCACTCAAATCAAAGATTTCATACATTCGCCAGCAATGCTTCGTCCTCTGTCCATACCCGCAGGAGGCCAAGGTGCCATCGCCATGGCCTCTCCCTCTCCTTTGCTTTGACTTGGGAGGAAGGAAACCTCTTAAAGCTCTTCATGATATTGCATGATATGAACACGCATCAGAAAATCCAGATTTAATCACATAGATTCGGGAGATCTAATAGGTTGCTTCCAGCTGACCGTATAGATACAAATAAAAGAATAATCTTATCCCAAATGTGTTCACGACTCTCCAAAATCATATCGAGTATCTGAATCTGAAGAACACCCTTCTTCCATGTCAACTTCTACGTCCTCTTCGGATCTTGATGCTCTCCTTCCCGCTGAATCAGCACCCATTCCTCGGCGGCGCATTAGCACGAGCTCAAGAAGCCTCCTTCTCGCCTCGTAAATTGGATTCGGATCGATCAACCTCCCCTTGTCATAAGCCTCCCTGAGGAACACCGTGTGCCGCTTCCCCTTCGTCGAGAGGTAGAACATCCCAGGGTGGTCCAGGAACAGGTCCCTTATGTTGAGATCAACCCCGAACCACTTCCTGAAGTGGCTAATCTTCTCTACCTCCACCATCTTCTCCACCGTCAAGCTCAAGAACTCGTGCGCGATCCCCACCGCCCTCTTTTCCAGCGCCCGCATTCCAGCTTTCGACCTTGCGCTTCCGCCACCACCGACGCCGTACGGCCCCGCGTACGGCAATCGCTGCCACTCCTTCAATCTGGCGCGGTAATTTTTTGTCAGCCGCATCCCGGGAGGAAACCCTTGCTTGAACGCGAACTTCAGCTCTGCCTCGTCTGCTTGGTTCCGCTCCTGGCACCGCCAAGCATCCACCGCCGGGATAAATTTGGGGGTTTGGGATTGGTCGACGAACTCAAGGAGATGGGTGTTGGTTTCCCTAGGGTTCGTGCGAAGAACGAAGATGGTGGGGTTACGGGCGATGATCGAGTCCTCGAAGTCGTCGGGGAGACCGAGCTCTCTCCAAACCCTGAAGACGGCACGGAGGGGGAGGGATCGGGAGGATGACATGCACAGGAGCCGCCGCAATCGGTCAACGGCATCGGGGGCGGAGGCGGAGGCGGCATCGGACTCATCAGAGGCGATGCGGGCGGCGGTGGGGGTGAGGCGGACGAGGGGCTGGGCGGCGGAGGGGTCGTAGAGGAGGGAGAAGATGCGGGGAAATGTGCGGACGAAGTGGGCGGCGCCGCGGGATAAGCGAAGGCGGGGGGCGGCGGCGGAGAGGACGGGGAGAGGGAGGGAACCGGTAGGGGAGGCGAGGATAAGGTCCTGGACGGCGAGCACCTTGAGGAAGTGCTTGTACCCCTCCATCAGCTTCTCAAAGGTTGGGTCCATGGATCGACTGGCCACGTACTGGGCAGAGGTGGTCTTGCAGCGGCGGAAAAGGGTGGGGAGACAAGCGGCCGCAGCGCCTCCCGACATGGTGGCGAGCGCAGTGCAGTGGCGGCCGTGCCTGAGAGAGCGAGAGGGGTGAATAAGCTGAACCCGACCTAAACCCTCTCGGAGCCGTGACAAATGGATCGTCCATCTTCTTGTGCCAGTAAGACCCGTTCGTAATGGATCCGAACCCATCTGTTCAACCAGTATCCGACCCATTAAGATCACACTGGAATATACGAGGTTTTCTTCCTTTATGATTTCTTTACTGCTTTAACAAATTTTTGTTTTCTAATTAGGTGGGGCTAATTATAAATTATTTTTTATAATTAATTATTTTTAGTATCTCGATCCTTATATTTTTAAAAATTATGTTAAAATCTTTATATTATATTTTAATCATAAAAATATTGAGATCGGATTAAAAAGATAATTTTATAAAATTAAAAAATACTAAAATTACAAAAATAATATATTAAATATTTTATTTTTATGAATATAGAGATCTTAATATAATTTTAAAAATGTAAGGATTTAAATGTTAAAGATAAATAATTATAAAAAATAATCTATAATTAACTCAATTAGATGCGACTTGTCTCGTGGTTGGCGGTTGCGATGACACACAGGATTTAGAGCAGTTCGAGTAACCCTCCGTTGTCCATCCAATGGCAACGGTTCACCGAGTCTCGTCCACGCTAACCATCTCGCTCGTCTTTACGCTGTCACTGTAGTCGCTCATCTTCCTCTTTCTTCCCCTCCATCATAAACACCCCTCGCTGTCTACTCGTCGAATTCGAGCCGTCCCCTACATTGTCTCTCTCAAACGCAGCAAAAAGCTTCAGAAGCGGTAACAATGGCGTCTCCTCTCGGATCTTCGATGCCAATGGCGCTCTACTGCTCTTAGATTTAGCATCTTATTTGAGTGAGCTCTTTGGAGCTTTCATTAGGTCGAGCTTTTACGTTTGTCTTTGAAAGATTGTTTGCAGAGATGGCGAATCCGAGATGGCGTTCTCAGACCAGCGGATATGAAACCATGATTCTGGCCGCCAAGATTGCCTTTTGCTTCCTTGGCATCCTCTCCTTCGGCGCCGCCGCCAGAGTCGCCGTCCCCGCTGCCATCGGGGCGCTAGCCTCTGCCCTCCCGGGATCCTTGTCCTTCCTTCACTCGTGGATCGCCCCTCCATACCTGCTCGTAGCCATCCATTTCATTGTACTTGTCATTTGGAAGCTCTCTGAACAGCAGCAGCAGCAGCACCACCACCACCACAGCGAGCAATGGAAGGCGCAGGAGAGGAAGACGGAGCCCGAGAATCCTAGAAAAATCGAGTGTTTTGAGCCGATTCCTGATGCGAGCCTTCTCCGGACTCCCTCGCCTGAGATCTGCCGCGACGAAATCTCGATATCTCCGAAGACGGCGGCGGCGGTCCCGGGGCCGGAACTCGGTGAGTCCTCGTCGTCCGACGCGTCGTGCCTCACGAAAGAATCAGACGAAAGATCCATGGCTTCGTCGGTGTTTTTGGCGAAAGAGACCGTGGAACCGGAATCCAAGAGCAGCATTGCGGTGGCGGAAGCGGAGGACGTGCCGGCCGCCGCGGGCAAAGCAGGTATGGAGGACGTTTCGATGAACGCCACGTGGAAGGCGATCATGGAGAAGCCGTCTCGGGCGGCGGCGGAGCGGGCCGCGAGACGACCGGAGGAGGCTCCCCCATCCGCGAGTCACGACGAGTTGAACCGGCGAATTGAGGCTTTCATCAAGAAGAACTACGAGCAGATCCGGCTTCCCAGCAGCCGGCGGCGGCAGCTAGATATGGCAATCGACACGTCATATTAATGTCCATCTCCCGACACAAACTTACCAAATAACTCGTTAATCGTTAAAACCCTATTAATTAACGGTATTAGTGGAGAACGGAGACTGCTCGTGGATTCTTCTAAACCGGAAGATGAGTTTACACTTGAATTGCTCAAACCGGGCCCAAATTGCTCGAACCGGACCGAACCCAATGATAACAGCCCGTTTCCGCTCCCGCCTTCCCTCCCCTGCCGTCACTCGAAAGGCGTATGACCACAAGAAACTGCCGCCTGCTCCTCAGTAAATGCGCGACCCTAAAGGAACTCCAACAAATCCATGGCCGATCCGTCGTCGAAGGCCTCCACCCCCACCGCCAATTTATCTCCTGCCAGATCCTCAACGCCTACGCCCGATTTGGCCATGCCAATGATGCCCGTAGCCTCTTCCGCGAGATCCCCATCCCCGACATCGTCTCCACCACTAGCCTCATGTCGCTCTGCGTTCGATCCGATGACCACCTCGGAGCCGTCTCCTTGTTCTCTGGAATATTGTGCTCTGGTGGGCCGCCGGATGGCTTCGCCGTTGTTAGCGCCCTCTCCGCTTCAGGCCGGATGGGCGATGTCAGAATCGGTAGGACGGTTCATGCTATGGTCTATCGATGGGGGTTGGGCGGCGAGACGGTCGTTGGCAATGCGTTGATAGATATGTACTGTAGAAACGGAAGGATTGAGTTGGCTCGTAAGGTTTTCAGTGAAATGGTTGTGAGAGATTCTGTAACGTGGAGCAGCATGCTTCATGGGAATATGAAACACATTGGATTGGAATCAGCATGCCAGTTATTTGATGAAATGCCGATGAAGGACACGAGTTGCTGGACAGTGATGATCACTGGTCATGTGCAAGCAAAGCATCCGGTCCGGGCGCTACAGCTGTTCCTTCGGATGAAATCAGAGGGGCACATTCCCACTCCAATCACGCTGGTGGGAGTTCTCTCGGCTTGTGCCGATATTGGAGCACTAGACCTTGGACGCACGGTACATGCATATATCAACAAGATAAATGTTGATGCTGATGTTCCTGTCTATAATGCAGTGGTAGATATGTACTCGAAGAGTGGGAATGTTGGAATGGCCTACCAAATTTTTGATGAGATGATCTACAAGGACGTTTTCACATGGACCACAATGATTTCTGGTTTAGCAGCTCATGGAGATGGATATGGAGCCATGAAAGTGTTCTCCAAGATGTTAGATTCTGGAGTTCTCCCAAATGAAGTCACATTTGTAGGTGTTTTGTCAGCATGCAGCCATTCTGGGATGATACATGAAGGTAGAAAATGGTTTGGCAGAATGAAGTCAATCTTCAATTTATCTCCTCAGCTAGAGCACTATGGATGCATGATTGATTTGTTAGGGCGAGCTGGATTGCTAAGCGAAGCAAAGTCGCTCATCGAAAAGATGGACACAGAACCAGATGCCATCATTTGGCGATCTCTGCTTAGTGCATGCCTAGCTCACAGTGATGCTCATTTAGCTGAGGTTGCAGGGAAGGAGATAATTAGAAAAGAACCAGAGGATGATGGCGTCTATGTGCTGCTGTGGAACATGTATGCCTCATCGAACAGATGGGAAGAAGCCTTGGAGATGAGAAAGAAGATGTGGAACAGGAAGGTGGTCAAGCAACCTGGATGTAGCTGGATTGAGGTGGATGGATTTGTCCATGGATTTCTAGTAGAAGACAGGACACATCACCTTCGAAGTGACATATATGTTCTCTTGGAAGGGATGGCCAAGCAACTCAAGATGGATAGCAATATCTCCATATTCGATGAAAGTGACCCAGGTGATTTTTTTCTGGACCCAGAGCTATTCATTTAGGTAGTTGATTGTTCTTACGTCTGTAAGTTATTTCATATGCCGAGCAATTTGTCGGTTTCATCATCTTGCTGTCTGTCAAAGAAAATGGTGTTTTACTGCAAGCTAAGCTATGAACATCAGAACCCAAACAAATGGAGTTTTGTCCAAGCCCAGGTTGTTGAAGGAGCAAAACCCATTGGATATCATACTAGGCAATCCCTAAAGGTCTGAAATGGGTAGAAGAGAGGATTATAGAATTAACCTACCATGTGAACAGAATTGAACTCATCAAAATTAATCAATCAATATAGAGCTGATATTTCCTTCAAGCAAATTTCAGGAAATAAGTGGGAGACTATAATGATGTTCACTAGAAAAGAAGTTCAAGAAGGAAAAAAGAGTTGTCATGTATAAGATACGGGTCACAAATGGGGAGAAGTTTTGCATCAAGAATTTACCATGAAAATTCTTAAAGCTTGGAAAGTTAGAGGTTAGCACAAAGGAGTTTGCCACAAACTTGACTTTTATCTACGGGAATCATGGAGTTATAGAAGAAAAATGCAGGATTCTATTTCCAGGACGGCATTGAACTTGACTCTTCTGGAAAATTGAGAGCAGTTTCAGTACCAAATACAAGTCATAACACTCCACCACCTAAATGTACAGAACTATTCAAATCAAGAAGGCACTCCAATTCCTTTCACTGCAGAACTCCTACTTGAGATCTTGAGATTGCTCTTCTTAAGTACTTCAGAGATCTCTGATAACAGAGAAAACCCATAAACCAGAACTCAAAATCATCCCCGGTGACAATCTGGATGTACTTTTGATGAGGCTTGTCTGAGTTCTCACTCAGGCTGGCCCTTTTCACCCTTCCTACTGGGATCAAAACCTGTGGCAGTCAATGGAAGTTAAATGTGAAAACATTCTACATATCTTATTGATAGTAAATTCTCTATTTTCGGTGTTGGATTCTGAAAAGAAGTACCTTGTAAGGAACCCTCGCCAAATTTCCTTTGGGAGAAGTGATCCTGAGGGATCGATCACTCCGGAACGCTATCTTGTCAGTGGAAATGAAGAGCAGTCCTGCTATAGGGCCTGCTGTGGTTGACAGATAGCACTGGAATGCCTTCAACAGCTTCTCTCCTTTTGCAACCGAGAAATTCTGCCTGAAGACTCTTTCAACACCTCCAGCTTGAAGAATCTTTGCACCCAAGCTCAATTTTCCCTTCACTGTCTCCGAGATTTTGGGCCCTAGACTCACTGAAATTTCCAGAAGAGGTTAACTGAGATGAGTCACTTGGAAACAAGTTATTTGCTATGCTGGTTTGGAATTCCAGGCAGTGTTCATCACAAAAACACACGAAAACAGGCGTTGCGGAGATTACTATTTAACATTGATTTTTTTCTCATATGTTCCAAAAGGACAGGTTCTTGAACTTTGGAATGACGGAGGAAGCCAGAAAACTTACCATGATATTTTATGCCTTTCATGTAGCTGTCTGCCTTCTTTCTGAATTTGCTCATCCAAGCCATTAGTGAATCCACTTCTTCTGCATCACAGAATAATTCTATTGAGTTTCTGCAAGACGATCAATGAAAATAACAACTTCATATGAGAAAGAAGATATTACTCTGTTTATATTGGGAGGTATCTGACGAAGTGGTTTGAAGACAGAGTCTATTAAGATCTGTAGAAACAGCAGGTTTTCCAGCCGATTCAGCTGCATATCCGATCGACCTAATAGGAACACCTCCAGCTTGATGATGGTTTATGTTCTTCATATTGAGCCGGGGCTCCTCCTGCTGCCACTAGCTGGGAGAAGTTGTGTGGGGATTCTGTGTTCCAAATAAGGCTGGTGGGGAGGCTTCTCTTATAAGGTGAAGCAACCTTGGACACTGTCATCCAAAGCAACAAAGGCAATTACATTAATATTACATGCAACTGGTGAAAAGCAGAATCAGCATGGGATCAGCAGCTACAAAGGCATCCTCATGAAAAGAAAGAGAAAAAGTAGATCATCATTGTTGGAGTTAAATAAAATATCGGGGCCTTTTCTAACCACAAGTTTTTACTGGGAACACAATCAAATCGTCTAACATGGTATTAGGGTGTTCAGTTTTGAATCGATATTCATCCATGAAGTTTCAAGAGAAAACACTGTGCCATGTTATTCTCAGAGAAAAAAATCAAGTTACCTGTGGTGAAATCTTGTTATATAATTATGAAGTGAGACAGAGAGAGAGAGCTCAAATTATTTGATGAAGTAAAGGAAGGTAAAAGTATGGTGCCATCGCCAAGCACATCATGCAGGGACATGCCATGTGCTTAGATGGAACCAAAACACCTCCACCTTCTTTTTCATGTAATTATTTGAAATTGTCCTATTAAGCTCCATGCCGACATCCCTGCTTGCCTGACACAAGAATGAATCAGCAGCTTATTATGCTGTCCTTGTTTGCTGGCTTTGGAGGAAGCTTTTGAGCCGGAAGCCAGATTAAGATTTGTTTGCTTAGCTGGAGATACATATGTGTTACTGCATCAGAACAAACAGACAGATTGGAGAAGCAATCTTTTGATTGAAGGAAGTGCTGAACTAATCACATCTGTGGCAAGAAAGAAAAGGAAGAAGCTTCTGCAGATTTGGCCTCCCTGTAAAAAGCCTACTTTTGCCATTCTGTACCTGCTTGCTTGCGGAAACAATTTTGTTGGGGGCCCACGCTCGAAGACCCACCCATGTCTCTGAAGCATCGTTTCCGTGGAGCAGTGGAATCATCCATGGGGCCTGTGACACGTTCCTTGAATGTTGGGCTACATCTAAGTCGCCTTCTTAGACATGGTTCCACACAAAATGTTTGATATAATAATTATATTTAATATTATATTGAACTAGGAGTAAGAGAACCGATGATGATGTCTTATAAGAGTTTATCTTTGCTCGCAAAAATAATTTTAGGATTTGTCATGTTCATATTAGATTCATTTGAATCAAAAAATTGTCCAATTCATTTGAATACTCTCATGTAAAAAAGATATCAAATTTTTTTATCATGCAAAAAGATATCAAATTTTTTGATAATTATTATATCAAACAATAGGTGTTTTTTATCATGTTTTTATCATGTAAAAGATATCAAATTTTTTTATCATGTAAAAAAGAAACTATAGGTGTTTTTTTAGTTCACACTCAAGATTAAACCCCTTAAAAAGCTTTTCTCCTAACCTCTCTAGTTTAGTTCCAAAAAAAGACTCTTATAGTGCTTTTCCTTTATACCTCCTCTCTACTAAATCCTTGAAATATATAAGGTATTTATAAAGCAAATCCTAATATCTAAATATTTATTTTCATATATAAATTTCTTATCTTTCAGCTAATTTGATTCCTACTACAAATTAGAAAATTACTTGAATTTTTTTTACAGCTTTGAAAATCTATTACTGAAGCAACTGACACCCATTCATGTGATCGTAGTTCGAAAGCTAAAACCGCAAACAACCGGATATTTATATTGCAATCTTCATAAAAATACAGCACTATTTCGAAAACAAGTTCTTATTTTTCTTTCCTTTATAAGGAGTAGATGAAAAAGGTGTATGCAAGATCACTACATATGTCAACATGACATGTCTCATATACCACTCGGTTGCTGTGACACCATTTGAATCCTGCACTTATTGTTTCTGAATAGGATTGGAAGGAGTCATCACACAAGTAATATGACTAACAACAGTGCTAAGAGCTGCTCTTGTCTATCTAACCTGCAGCGAGCCCTCAGATACATCAAGAAAAGGATGCTTTTCCAGCCATCAGCTTATTTGAGATGATAATGAAGTAGCATGAGAAACAAGCAGCACTTCCTTTCTTTTGCCCAGAATGACATACTGCTGCTACTATCGATTACACGATGTTGGCGGCATCGGATACGTACTTGGTGGAATGTTCACTTGGGCACCAGGAACCACTGCTCGAACCCCATAAGCCATATGAGGTGCTCCGGGAACAGGAAGATTAATCGGAGTGCCTACTGCTGGCATCATAGGACCACCAACCGGCTGTCCAATGGCAGTTCCATATGGCTGAGGAGATTGGTTGATCGAACTCCCCGTAGCTGCAACTGGACTGCTTGTTTGACCAGTGATTGGCGGTTGAGTCGATATGTCTATGTTGCCTACACTGGTGATATCATGGATGCTGGTCCTTCTCCGCTCTTTGTTCATCGAGTTCAACCGAATGAAGTACTTTTGGGCATGGCTTGCGACCTGTGTAGGTGTTCTCGATATTACGAAATTCCGAGAAATGCTTCTCCAATCACCTTTGCCATATTTATCAAGTCCAAGAAGGAACAATCTGCAGAAGATCCAACAGTAGATATAGTTATTCATTTCCTTATCATAGATCTTGATGATAACAAACAACCTGCTAGTAGAAAAAACAGAGCAACACATTCACAAAAGCATCTGATGTTGAAAATGTAATCAAAGCAGTCACCACAAGTGCCAGACAGCATATCAATGTAAGATGTGATGTTGAGCGTCAAGCAGTCAACAATAACAAGATTGGTTTTCATTTTATACTATCTCTGGACCAATGAATTATGTAAATATGCTAAGAGGAACCCAAAAGCTTGTGACCAGAGGCCTCCTTATTTTCTTATTTCTGATGTTTGTAACTCAATTACCTTCAGGAGACAGTAAAATCATTCGTTTACTGCTCAATAGGATATCCAGAGAAAGAGATATAAATACAGAAACAAGTAAAACAACTCTGTTTGAGATGAGACTTAGGCAGGAAACACCGTCAAAGGGTGAAAAACATATCACAAACCCAAACTCCCAATACAGCTAGTTGATATCAGTTGTGGCTTTACTTTTAAGATAACTAGGGAAAACCAAAAAAATAAATCCTAAAATCTAACATATTTGCTAGTTCTCTTGACAAAATAAATCCTTAACTAGAGAACATAGTGCAAAGCTAGGGAAGCTGACCAATACGTTCCCTTTTCTCTGATGACAAGCAGGACTTCATTAGTGAAAATGACTGATAACCTACATCCAGAAGACTGAGGTGTGTGCTATCATAGATGGACCGCCTGATACTGAAAAGGTCCCAGCAACAGATACAGATTGTTACCAAGTAAAAGAGAGTGAACCAGATCAGTTTGTAGTATTTGCTTCAGATGACAGCGAGAAATATGTGGTTGCATATCCAGAAAGACGATACCAAGAAAGTAAGAAACAGAAATCATCAACATGACAAGTCATTACAAAACATGATGGAATATTTTACTAGTAAGAATAATAACCATATGATCTCCTGTCAATAAAGAAACTATTGGCATTACATAGACCATAGCACCAAGTTTACGTCACAGGTGATTACTTCTTAGGACACCTTCAAAATTAGAACACCCATGGAAGAAAGAACACAAGAAAAGATCCCGTTCAGGTGCTATATATAATTACCAAACTTCAGGCATCCATGCCAATGCTGTTAGGTTCTCTTGATGAAAATCACCACAATGTTCTACCGATGTTAGTTCACGAACACTAGTATAAAGCAGAAAAATGGTACCATCCAATGAAGCAACTGAAAGGTTCCACTGATTATAGACAAAATATGGTAGTTATGCCTTCAAAGTTCACAAAATTGTCTAGATATTTCATCAAAACGTCAGGATAGCATGACCAATACAAAAGTTCTAAACCTGATATTATGTCTAATAGACAGAAGAAAGCCAACATATGTTTCATTCTCCATGGAAGGAACCACTCATCTTGCTGGTAAGACAACAACAAAAAGAAGATATTTGCGTCATAGCAACATTTCATAGTCTTAGCGGCCAGCTTGGTCATAAGATACAGGATGCACTTTCAAATTCAGGTTCCAAAATCAAGTAGTTCTTACAAAGCCTAGTAGTATTCACAAAAGTTTCATTTGACGAGAAAGTTCTTGAGAGAAACTAAATCTTTGTTATATTAATCATATGTGGGCCAAGAATTCATAAAGGCTAGCACCATCATTTTCCTTCATATCTCAACACGTTGAGGTTAAGATGTTGAACAAAGAGAATAAAATAAAGTGAGTACGAATTCACCTGTGTTCATCCTCAGTCCATGCGATTCCCTTTTTGCGTTCTTGATCTGATTTCGAAGCTTTCCCACTATGACTGGGATCACCATGTGAAAGCCCTCCCTTCTTACCACTAACGCCATCATTAGCATGGTCATCACCGTCCGACGAAGATGGATAGCAAGGTAGAGGGACTCGGCCAGACTCGATTCCATTGATATCCTCTAGCAAAAGCTCATAGTGGTTCTTTACATCCTCTATTGATTTCCCAGGCACATTGGCAGCAATTTTCTCCCACCAGTCGCTGCAATCCTCAGGATGCGTTGCCAAAGCATTTTCAAATGCTTTTTCCTGCTCCCTTGTCCAGGATGAACTGCAGCTCACTTCTTCCATCACCATCTTCACCAGCCCAGTGTATCAAGCATATAACTAGCAAAACAGAAGGGACCTGAAACCGAGACAGAGGGCTCCAAAGTTTCCAACACCAGTCAAAGCTCCAAAATCCAAAATCATCAACTCCTGAACACAAGATAGGATCTGTTTTCTACACTAGCTCTCTCTCTCTCTCTCTCTCTCTCCTTCAGATTGATGACCATCCCACCGATGATCTTCGCCTAAATAGCTGTTGGAAATCAGATCCGAACTGTTTCTTGAATGGCGAATCAACAGATGCCGATCGATCAATAGCTGAAAAAATCATGCAAAACGAGGTTGTGGAGTGAGATTCCGGGGAAGATGTGTGTGGGGGGGGACAGATAAGGAAAGATAACCAACTTCACACAAGCAGCCAAGAGAGGCACCCAACAACAACAAAAAAAAAAACCCTAATCCACACAACAAAGAAAAGCAGGCTAATCACTCCACAGCAAAAGTAGGGTTTCCTGCGATTGCAAAGAAACTCAACTGCAAAGGTTGGCACAATCAAACAAGATTAAAATGGAAGGAAAATATCCATACCTGAAGATAGAGATAACGAGAAGGGAATTAGGGATTTGGGAAACCGGAGATTGGAAGGGACCAGTGGGAGCAGACCAAGACGCAGATGGATGTGATTGCAGGGTAAAAGGAACAAAAGAGAAAGGTGTGGATGATTGGGATGGCAACCCAGAATTCAATTGTTCCCTATGGTCAAGTCCCGATTGAAGGCTATCAATCCAAAGATAATATAAAGACACAAATAATCGAAGAATTTTACCTCCACAAGTCAACCAACACAATAATGCAATTCTTTTTCCTCCCAATGATGGATGGCAGAATCAGCACCAATCCAAACACCAATGATTCTCAATCATTCAGATCTACGGGTTCTCACAGTTTCAATTCCGAGGACATCAATCCAAAAAAACACAAACCTGAATGGTTTTACCTTTATACTTGCAGTAAAAGACCCAGAATTTTAACCTATCGAGTCAACCAACAGAGACACCGCATCTCCACACACATCAATGATTTCAATCATTCGCATCGACCGATGGATGATTCCTTTGTGCTGTTTGAGACTGTTCCTACGAAGTAATGAATAGCTCTTTCATTTCCTCCTCAAAGTGGCCAAAGAGTGAATAGCTCAGTCCAAAATTTAGCCCCCCTCTCGACTGGAAAGCCTCTTTTCCAAAAGACGACCAGAGACAAAAAGGCCCAGGAAAATCACATGTTTGCCACTCATGTCTTTAAAGATATTTAGTGTACTTGCCATCACATACGTTTTGAAGTGTGAAGTACACCAAATAATAATAATAATAATAATTGACATACATGTCTACTTTTTCTTTTTTATTATCATTATTTCTTTTTACACACAGTAGTAATTAGATTGGACTGACTGTACAAGCTAGACTGTCTTCAAAATCCAAAATTTTGCTTATATGGCTTTGAGCTTACCCTTAGTTGATTATTATTTTGCTATAAGATCAGAGATGTTTAACTTACAACTAGCATTAATATTCCAAGTGAAAATTTTAAGTGTTTTAGGTACCTTCATATATTTGCTTAGTCTTTTTGGATGATAGTAACAAGACGAGCATATATGTGTGGGTGGGATCTTCATATTTTAGGGGTATATTTGTAGGAGGAAATATGTTATCTAGAAAGTCGAAAAGAATAGATACATAAAAACGGCAAATTGACGAACGGGCCCCGCGCGGGATCCACTGCAGCGTCCAATTACCTCGCTGGTAGATGTTTGAGGAAAATCTAGTAAAAACATTCTGTGCACAATCAATCGATCAGAGATCCAATGATGTTAATGTGTAAATAGTGTACAAAATAGAAAACGAACAGCATGCAGTTCTTTATCCTTACCAAGATGAATTGGCAGTCGAAAGAGCATAACATTATTCTGCAATTGATGCAGACTCACATCTACAAACTCAGATTTATCTCAGCCATAACCTGTGCCACCGTAGAAAGATAGAATGCCCTTCACCCAAGTAGATTGAGGCAAAACCTAGCAATTAAGGAAGTCTCTGTAACTTTGAGGCTCAGGTGCAAACAAACAAGCTGACCCATATAAAGTTTACACAGGCGGATTTGCATGTTATCGATAGGCTCATTGAATGAAAGGAAACAATTTTCAGCTACTGAGCTTTGTTGCGATGCCGATGAGTACAATATTCTCAGATCTAACCAGTGTTAGTTCCACAAAAAGAAAATAAATACAAGATCTTAAGGCTGTGAAAAATAAAATCCAACAAATGGAAAATGATCCCGCACCTCATGATTGTGCGAACAACTCGACTGTATTCTTTTATCTGCATCAATCAGTGTTGGTGTAACAGCCATAGTTGGACATGACCATTCAAACTTCTATTGGCAGTCACGAAAACAGAATCAAAAAGATTTTACTCTGCTACAAAATTGAAAATAATGAAGACCGATCCAAACGAACCTCCATCGAGTTAGAGATCAGAGTGGGGACATCGTCCGAGCACCTGGCCAGAGGTGAATGGAAGAATGTTGCAATTTTGGAAGTAGATAAATCGTCAGGATTCTGATCTGTTAAATTCAAACACCTGCTTCAAAAGCAGCACCCGATACACACAGCTACAGCACTCAGCACATATAGCCTACTATAATTTTGAAATTTCAGAAATGAAACTGCAAGCTGACTACTCATGTTAACCACAGACCGATTGAACATGTTATTCTTAAGTTGTAATCCTAGATATAACTGGAATAACTAATATTTTCACCGAAGGTTCTCTGCATAAGAAAAGGAGATCTATCAAGGAAAAAGTTGCATAGGTTATAAGGACTTGTACCAGGCCTGCAGTGGAACATGTAGGTCAAACCTTCACCACATGGGCATCTGCTAATGAAGAACTGAGGTCTTCTCTTGACTGAGATCTGCGGCTTGAAAGTGTTGTCTTACCCCGGTGAGGTGGCCAGAAGGATCCTGCTCCACTGCCAAACTGCATTTGGCCTAAACTACCAGATGAATAACTATGAGAGACAACCAAAGGAAGCACAGAAGATTCACTAAGATGAACGCTGCTGCCTCCCAAGCCCTGTCCCATGTTAAATGGATGCTGCTGAGAACCACTAATGGTAGGACTGAGTGGTGTCTTTACCCTTCCATCACCTAAATATTAGAAGAAAAGAAAAGAACTAAAAAGGCTCAAATTCTGATTTTCATGTCTTTTGTCATGAAATGCCAGTAACATACTAGTAATTCTTTTTCCGAGTTCACAAAATTTGACCAGTCCAATTCTGTAATTACAAAAATGACAAACTGAAATTTTTGATCTTACAAAGAACCAATTGGCAACCAGATCATGCCCCATGTCTCAAAAATTTATATCCATAATCTAGAAGTAGCAACATCAATTGATCAAGCTCATTATTGCACTAGCTTGAAAGTCAACCAATAAGTATCCCAAATGTGCATATAGAACCTTCATCCAATCAGACAATCTAGAAGTAAAAGATATTCAAGCTACATCATAGAATAATTGGAATTTTATGTGATTTGGTAAAATAAGTTCATGAAAGAAAAAGAAAAAAGTTAATCTTTGTTACCAAACAAAAGAAAGCTTTTAAAGTGAGAGAAAGCACCTTAAAATTTGTCCCAAACACACAATAAATTGATATAATATTCAACTTATCAGCTACGAGTTTCACTACACTCTGCTAGATCTACATTTAGATTCCCTTTCTTTCACAAACATGGCAGTATGATAAAACCTTGTCACTTTCAGGTTTATCATAGTTGCTGAGGGTGTAAGTTAAATTTAATTCAGAACTGATTTGACTGGAATAAATAATTACCGCAGAGGATATGAAAGAATGATGACAAAGAAGAAAATAGTTGAAGACTTCATGTTTGTTGAATGAAAAGGATTAGAGGCAGTTTCTAGAAGACTTCAAGTTTGTTGAATGAAAACCCATGTACATCAACCAATGTTCTTCACTTATGTAGATACAAATTTGGGCTCCTGCACATCAGCAATGATGTCTTAGTAGCCAGTGTTGAGCTCTCGCACATCCACCAGAAGGGGTTATTGCTATTGCTTAAGTTGGGCAACCATGGCGTTGGCATTAGGCAGAGATGCGGAGGCTGGTCATTCAATGTACATGATTTTTTGGCCATGATCATCATCATAAAGCTTGCCAAGGCATTGATAGGGCCTCTACTGTTTACCAACTAGAGAAGAAAGCTTTCTCAAAATTCCAAATTAAAGGAAAAATAGGTTAATTACAGAAAAAATTACAAATATGAAAACAGAGTTATCTAAAATAAGGGCCTGCATGACAATACAGTTTTCTAAAGAGGGATACAAGGTTTTTCATTGACTAAAATACATAAGCCTAATCATATGAGACTAACATCACTTCTCTATTAGTTTTCCTAATTCTATCTATTTACTATTTTTAATATTTTTTTATAATTTTGTGAAGATTAGATGCCAGCCGGATTGGTACGTAACAAATAATAATTACTAATGCAAACAAGGGTGGGAACATATAATTCATACTAGTATATATATATATATATATATATATATATATATATATATATATATATATATATATATATATATATATATATATATCTTTTTTTTTTTATTGTTGTATTCAATGATACTAGGTGATATAGATAGATAGACATATAGCCCAATATACTATTACTGTACTGGACCAATATTTAAATCCTTGGGTGCAGCTTTTGTACTCTTCAACTCCTCAAAACACTATGCACTAAGATCAAATGCCCGATGCTGGCAATATGCTGATTCCTAGTAGAAATCTGAGTAATTGCTGCTCTTTGAGATTCTTCTCAACTTGCAACATAAGCCCAAGTTAGCTAAGGACAGCACATGTTAGTTCTCCTTTTGATTTGGTTGAGACTGCCACAGGTTCAAGTGGACCATCTGTTGTGACTGGTGAACACACTTTAGCTAAAATCAATATTTTAGCTAGTATATAATTTTTTTTCCAATTACTTTATATTTCTTTTAGTTTTGTTTTTTAGAATTTTCAATTGTAAATTTACTTTTTGACTAATCCCAATCCTGTGAACGTTCCATAAGAGTGTCAATCTTAAACAAAACAAGATGATACAAGTCAGAATTCACATGACAAGATAGCACAATTACTAAGAGACACAAAATCAATATGAAACAAATACATGCAGCCTGAAAATGACTTGATATGCTCTGTTTCATTCCAATTTTATCGGATGTCTCCGAAGAGACAAAATGACTTGATATGACATATTTAAAAGTACATCTTAATTAGTAAACTTTGAATTAAAGTGAAGTTTTTTTAGATACAAACCCAAATTGGTGTAAATTAAGACATGAACACAAACCAGATATAATCCCTTGACATCCTCACTCTAAAGGCATGTTTGAATTGTTCCAAGTGAAGCAGCAGTTAATTCAAGCTATATAGTAAATTAATTACTTCAACCTATAGAGTAAATTAAGTTCAAATTTGACTAGAATCCTCAAAATAACTACATCCTGGAATAGTCTGAAGTTATTCCAAGAGCAAACATCTTGTTTTTAACATTTTCATTGAACCAGACAAACCCTAAAAAAAGGACAAGTAACCTAATAAAATATATTACTTAGGGCTATTCTGGGTCGGGTTGAGATGCCATTACCCAAACATGACGCATCCAACAGCAGGAGGATTTCCTGAACCAAACTAAAACCATATAGTTAAGTCTGTTGATTTAGTAGGTCAAGAGTCTCATACATGCTTTAAAATGATTTTTAGAAAATAATTCAGGATATGGCTCAAGGTAGGTTGAGTTGAACATACTATTAAGAAAACATATGCTTCACCCGAACACCACTTGCCCTGCTACAGGTCAAGATCTCCTGACCTGGGGGCTAATCCAGGAATCTAAACGGGTGGGGTGGCATTGACCCAACAACACTTTCAGTAAAGACTCCCTCAACCTGATTACTCCATCAAACAAATTTAAGATATGCAAGTTTACTAGCAATTTATATCACCCATTACAATACCATGAATGTCAGCAAAAATTTGCTTAGAAGGCATCAAGTTAGATTCTTTAATGACACGGATTTGAGTTATAAATTAATCCAAAATTTTTTGTACATAATACAACATTAAGTGTCATTATATTTAAACCAAGACCATCATTCTGATACAAAGAACATTTTTCTTACACGATAAATATGCTGAAACCAGTGTTTATCTTTTCAAAAATGTGACAAAGGCAACTCTTTCATGACTATAGCCAAGAGATGTGAACAAACATCATATCTGGCTTATGTAATGGCTAAAAGTAATTTCTCTATAGATGCACAAAACAGGAATTTTCTTGGATTAATAAATGCTGATGAAAGCATGTGCGGCAATCAAAACTATCAACAATGGTGAGCTTACCTGAGATAATAGGACTCCGCCGCTGGAATCTGAAAGGGGAAGGGATATTAAGAACAGAGTTTGTCAAACTCTTATACCTGAAGAGTAAGATGCAAGATCGTCGGAGAAATCTTGGCATCCAATTGCTTACACATGACAATGCACAACAAAGTAGTAAAACCGAGACAAAAAAGATTACTACAAAAATAGCTGGATGTATGTCTCTATATATTATTTCATAGCCTTTTACTTCAACTCTCTTGGACAATGCTTGTCCAGCCTCCAATAAGGCAACCCCGAGGGTCCAAGTAATACTTCCAGAACCAATAATCACCTGATTATCCTTAATGTGCAACCCATCTCTCAAAAGGGATGCAACATAGGGGGCCCTAAAGCAATATTGTTCTATAAAAGGCTGCGCTGCAACACTATTCTTTGCAACTTTCCAGGTATTTCCACAAAATTTCTGACCCATTATTAATACATCTTCAAGTGAAGCCTCGGAGGACAAGTTAAAAAACCGAAAAACCACATAGAAACCTGACATGGCATAGAATTTCCCACGTGGCTGAGGTAAACCATCACTCAGAGCACAGGGTTTAAGTTCACAATCAATTCCAGAACTGAAGTTAGACCATGCTGACCGATTAACTGTTAATCTTGCAAGTGAACGACATTCTTCCCATTGTGGGGCACCAATCAATTCAACAACTATTCCAGTTTTCTTCTTGCTCATGGTTTTCCCTCCAGTCAAAGGACTTCCTTCTTGCTTAACTGAGGCACAACGAGAACAGGTATACTTGTCCCTATAACCATTATTTAAGCAAGGATGTTTAAGCTGTAACTTATTATTCAAACCAGCTCCTGTACCCACAAACTTTCTGAAAAGATGGGCCACAGACTTGTCAAATGCATCATTCAATCCATATCCTGATAAAGAATATGCACTAAGATGGTGATTAGCAGATGCAATTCTCAAACTTATACTTGTATCAGCATGTATGGGCGTCTCTGTCTCAAAAGTAACTTGCAACGACGAACCACCTAGATCAAGTGAACCGTATGTTTTTCCAGCTGGCAAGGAACCCAATAAACCCATGTGATGATTAAGAGCTATCCACCCATAATAGGCTTCCTCCATGCCAGATATAAGCTTAATCCAATCTCTCCTGCATAAAAATGATGATTTCTTCAAAATGGTCCATGCTTTATCCAGAAGCCAGTCTGAATCAGACTTAGGTAACCTGCGAACTCCAGCTGTAGCATATAGAAAAAGTGATGTATCTTTATGAGCATGCTTTGGTATTTGTTTCTCAGCCCACAGTAGGAGTGGCTGCAAAACAGCCCTTAAGCCATATTTGTCATGAACAAGCTTATCAAAACCTGGTTCTGTTTCCATACGGTGATAAGCACGGCCACTCTGTGTTCTAGGATTTCTTTGAGGACCTTCAGGTAAGGATTTCAATGCAATAGGCAAGTTTCTATGTCCTTTATTTTGATCAAAAGTCCACTTGTAAACATAAACCCGAGTGCCAGTACTACCACAATCAAGTATAACATAATGCTCAGATGCTTCATGTGACAAAAAAGTACTGTAGAATCCAGAACATAGTAAGATCAATGAGAACAATAATAGTAGTGCAATAATGCCTACAGTTGCCCAAAGCCATTTCTTCCTTGTAGTTGGAATAGTTGGATAGGACTTATCCTTTGAAAAACTTGATGTGGCACCTTCCCTTTGAAGAGCACGAAAAGGTTTTGCATCTCCATAACTCCTATCGCTTTCAAGATCATCATCCTCACCTGAATTTTGTTCAGATAATGTTTTCAGATCATGGAGAGATGAGGAAAGTTGCATGTTTTCCCTTTCAGGAGATCCAGTAATATAATATAAACTGTTTTAATAGACAACGTATGGAGGACTGCAGTGCTGTTAGATACCATTTGCCTCCAGATTATCACCTACGCTGTTACGAATTTCCAGCTTCCTCTATATAATAATTTACCTGAAAATGTATTTGTTATTAAAAATATGGCTTTCAAATAAAATCATCTAATTGATACTATTGACATAGCGAGCATAAGAGTAGAACTAATAAATTTTCTACCATATATAGGCAATTTTATTATATCATTAATAGCAAAATTTAATGACATAAACTAGTTTGAATATGTAAAATAATTGATGCAGCTGCATGAAAGATTCTATTTTGATGACAACTAGATGTTATAAGTCATTCCTTGGAGAGAAAAGAAACACAAAACTGAAGTAAGATCAAGCTTCGCAGGAACTTATTTGTAGCTTATTTCTTTAAAGTCTAGTCCTAACAGCTGATCAATTGAATCTATTTCACAGCATTTATGAAGCAAAAGCCTAAAACACTTCCAACTGAATATAATGGATGTATAAGAAGTGATATAGGGCATGAAATTCGTTAGGAGAATTAAGGAATTTAATTTCGCCCAGATTGGCATGAACCAAGATGCGGACCATCCCATTTTGGAATGTCTGGTCTCTTTTTTTTCTTTTATTTTTTCCCTCTTAACGTTGTTTAGTCCCTTTTATTTGTAAATTAAAGGCCGAACCTGATAGCTTTTAGGGCTTGTGACTCCTCGCAAGCCTGTTCTCCCTCTTCATGTGCTGTTGCCCAATCACTACCACCACCTATCCAACCATCGCCTGCCACCTACGTCATCTTGGTACTTCTCCTCCTCTTCCTCCACTGCCTCCTCTTCCTGTTCTTTGTTTTCCCTTCCTTTTTCTTCCTTATTCTCCCTTCTTCCTTCCCCTGCAGAACGTACACAGGTACATAATGACATGCAGTCTGTTGGTTCTTTGGCATGGACCAGACCCATAGCAGTCTAATGATCACCCAATACGGGTTTGATACCAGAAATCTCCTTCCTTGTTTCCATATATTGTCAAAGTTGTTGAAATATTTATGAATTCTTGACTTCTAAAAGTTGTTCACCAAATTTGATGAGGGATATAGCCACACAAAACCACAGATAAAGAGAGAAGTAATTATGATTTGTGACAGATTTTCACTAAACCTGCTGAGGTGTATAACCTAACAAAACCACTGATAGAGTGAGAAGGAATCATAATTTTTTTCAATTAATCCAAGAAAGATTTACTCATATTTTCACTGGAAATGCAATAACGGAAATTTTCAAATTGATGAACTAGAGATCCCTAGAAAAACTACTGGGGCCTGGGCATAGTTTTCTTGACAATAACAAAGACCAAATCAATTTCAACAAAATCCACATGAAACAACAAAAAAATTTAATTCATGAAATTTTAACCTCAAATTGAGCTTGTATGTTTCTGTTCATTTAATTTCTTGATAGAGAGCTTCGCTGCACCATTCATCCAATATTCAATTTGATCCACTTCCTTCTACAACAGATGAGAATAATCCATCTTTCCTAGCTCTCCAATATATACTATAATACAATATTTAGTCGCAACCACTATAACTGTTAAAGGCAGATCCGAGCAAACGATTATCCCACAAGAGCGAGTATTAAATTGTGACGCTCGATGTCATACAATGTCATACATGTAACCTAAACGAAATATCTTCATAGAGACACGAATCAAATCAAATCAAATCAAATCTCCTCCCTCCTCACAAAATGTGGTCAAATTAGAGTAACTATACATACAAGATGCATCAGACGAGAAGGAATTGGGAAGTCATCGACCACGGATTTCGATTTTAGTTACGAATCTAGGATTTGATGGAATACCTTATAAATATAAGTTCCAAGGAGAGATAAAGATTGGCGGGCGGAGGAGGAACTCGACAATGGCCAAGATCATCGGCAGCGGCGTGGAGATCAAGCGTTGAGTTGCGACGGGCGAAGCGGCCAGAAAACTCCGGTTGTCGTGGAGATCGGAGGATAGAGCGAACAGATTGGAGGAAAGGACGGCGGTACTTCCAGGATTGGGTGATCGGCGACGGCTATCCCCGAAATCGGAGAGTGCGGAGGCAGCAGCTGCAGTGTCGATCCAGGAATGGGCAGAGGGCACCTGCGGCAGCGGCGAACGCGGCGATCGGATGAAGGAAGAGAAACCACGAGCGGCGATCTCCTCCGGAGACTGAAGCCAGCGGCGAGGAGCAGGTATTCGGCGAGAGAACGAGTCCGAAGATATGTTTTGATTTCTATTTTTCATTAAACCACTACTTTCTATATATATATATATATATATATATATATATATATATATATATATATATATATATAACTGGATGAATTTTCGAAAAAAACCTTGAAAATTTTTTGGATAATATTTTTTAAATAATAATCCTACATTTATAGATCATTGTCCTCTACCTAATTGGTTGTCACCTTTTGCTTCAACAATCATCTATGGTCGCTTATTCCTTAGCGCGTGAGCTGATTTTATCGATTACTTTTTTTTTTCTTCGTGAGCAATGTTTTTATGATCTAGTAAGGATGATTAGGATTAGTATAGGTGCCTATACACTGAGTTCGATGAGGGTATAGAGGTGATGGCGAACAATAAAAAGGTGACGGTGCAATGTGAGAGACACTAGTAGGTTCGGTAAAATAATCTTTTGAGAATGTTTTACAAATTTTTTTTTTTAAGTTAAGATGCTTTGTGATGTGTTTATTCTGAATATAACCATCCAAGCTTCTAATATACTCTAAAGATGCAAAGTATCTCTCTAACATAAAATCGACACATCATAATATTTAATGTACTTTAATCATGTTATATATCTTTTTTATAATCATCCAATGTATCTAAAACAAGTATCTAGAACATCCGATGTACCTAAAAGAATGTAATGCATGTATCACTAAATCACTATATATGCCTTATTCATATAAGACGTATCCCTATGAATCATTTATCTAATATATAAGCATGAAAGTATTTGGTGTCTCCTAATTAAACAAAAAAAATTCGTCACTTATGATTTGTACATCCAACATAAACATCACTAGAAATATCCTAATTGGATAAAGTATTTTCTACATTGATTGCATCCATATTTATTAGATGAAGGCATAAAAAATATCATCTATCCATTATACAAGTAATAAATTTCAAATTTTCAATATTGATAGAAATTAAGCTTCCTTATAAACAAGTTTTGTCTTGCAAGAATGATGGAATGGAGCATAGACAATATCACAATCACCTATAGCCCATTAAGACTCGAAAGATTATTCATATCAAATTGATAATCAAAATTGATACTAATAATATATATAGTATTAAATTTGTAGGGCCAAATGTGCTGTTGGCAAACTTGAAAGGAGTGACACATAAAAGCCCTTTTTAGTAAAATTTTCATAATTATATTTTTATTTCTCTTTCCATCAATAATCTTCAGGAATTAATTATATATTTATAAGTCTGGTCGAAATCTACCAATATTATATTACATTAATTTCTCTCATTTTACATTCTGTCGAAGATACACTTGAATGTATCGCTGACGAACCACGACCTGAAGCCACTGTGGTACGGTACTCCCGAGCCAACCCTCTCTCCCATGCCTACATTCGCTGACGAACCACCACCTGAAGCCACTGTGGTACGGTACTCCCGAGCCAACCCTCTCTCCCATGCCTGACACGTGCAACCTGATACGTAAGGCGTCTGTGGTTCGGTTCTCAAAGCCGTAGATTCATGACCCCCCGAATTCGGAGCTTTGCCACTCGGGGAGGATTCGGAGCTCCGATAACGAATGGGGTTGGAAGTGAGGTTACGAGACCGACCCGATCCATCTACAGCGAAGCCTGGAAGCCCCCGCTTTCTCCGTCGTCTTGGACCCCTGCTCCCATCTCGAGGGTTTGAAGTCCGATCGGAGACATGGCCTGGTTCTTGGCGGCCATCGCTGTGTCTATCTCGTTCTGGGTGATATCTTTGTCGAGAATCCTGTCTTCTTCTTCTTGCGTTCCTTCGAATCCTCCGTTCTTCCGTACTGGTGAGTTCCGCCCCGATCGATCTGTCTGTTATTTCTTTATCCATCGGCGAAACCGTATGGTTGGTCTCTTTGTTTGTTTCGAATCACTCGTCTGTGATAGGATCCGGCAAGAAGAGGAATGCCCTGTTGGTTATCGCCCATCCCGATGACGAATCGATGTAAGCCGTAGTTCATGGAATATTCCGAAGAGGAACCGATGTATTTCCCTTCTCCTTGATTAGATACTGAAACATTTATCTTGTTCTGTAGGTTTTTTGGTTTGAATGCAAGTCCGAATTCTTTTTTCTCGTTATGTTATCTAAGACGATTATGGTGTTGGGTTGGGTTGTGATTTGGATGTGGCCTTAAAGGAAAAGAAAATGAAAAGAAGAAAACATCTAGTTGCTTAATCTTTAGGACAATCTCATGATTTAGAATCTCAAGATGGTTGATGTTTGGTGTGACTTTTTCCTTCGAATCTGAAGACTGCTATCTATTGATAGCATGTTCATTTTGAGTTAAACCACGAAATAAACAAGGCTTAACATTGTTGATAATATTTAGTTTAGGGCACACAAGGCTATTGTTGGTTATTGCCCATCCCGATGATCAATCATTGTAGATTTTTTCCAGAATTAGTTGTTATAGATGCTAGGGCACATCTCAATGATCATTTATTTTCCAGGTAGTAAGATGAGATGTAAATGTTGTCTGAGTATTATTACTTCTCTATGCATTTGAAGATTCTTTTGGAAGATTTTTTTTTTCAATCTGTTTTACTATAATTTTTATGTCTACTTCTCTAAATTCCATATTCTCTGTTTTACTATAATTTTTATGTCTACTTCTCTAAATTCCATATTCTTAACTTGTTCGGAGAACCTTCCACAATACATTTTCTGTGACAGACTAAGTTGCATTAAAGTTAGATAATTAATGACCATTTCTGCACCTTATGAACTTTAATGACCAAAATATTTGATATAACTACCATCTCTGAATTGTTTCCTACTTCCTCTTCTGTCTTTCAATGCAAAATTACAATATCATGCTTCACTTTTGTGCTGACTTGATAGGAAACACAATGCCATATGAAAATTCTGGTTTAAACCTCTTTTTTTTGTAATATATTCATGTAACATTTAGATTAATACCCTTTGAGTAATTTGTGCAGGTTTTTTGCCCCAACAATTCTTTTCTTGAATTCAGAAGGACATAATATTCATATTTTGTGCATCTCAACTGGTATGAAATACTTGAATTCACTTTGCAGGGTAGTGTGAATTTTTTTTCATGTTTGATGGTCAACAATTGCTAATGCATACTTTTACAAAGGAAATAACTGTCAGTTTCTATGTAGAAGTGGATGGTTTATTATAGTTTCTTCTTAGTAGGAGAACGAGAATATGTGAAAATTCATGCAAAGTTTATAAAATTATACTTTAAACCTAGAGTTTAAAAATTAAAATTAGTGATAGTGGAAATTGTACATTGCAATGGAAAAGAGGGAAAGTTCATATGAGTGTAGACTAAATGTGGAATTTAAAAGGTGAAAAAGGATGATTTTGTTTAATAAAGAGGAAATGTGGGATTTAAAAGAAAAATTGCAGTGGTAATATACCATGTAAACAATGATAATTAATCATGTTAAGAGAGCTACTAGTTTGTACTTTCTTCTAAAGTGGGAGAACTGGCTGTGATTATTAAGTACCTAGGATAGGGATTGTGATTAGAAAGTAGGGAGGGGGGATAGGTTTATCACTCTTGTTGTGATTATTAAGTACCTAGGATCAAATTGTTTGAAATTGTGGCTCAATAAGGGACTCAAGCCAGATCCTACAGACCCAATCAAATCTTGGCGCCATTTTCTGAAACATTTTAGTTACCTACAAGAAGTTCAAACTGCTTGATCCTATGAGAGCATGTTCCTTGTCTTTGTTTCAGACTTTAAACATTGTCAAATAGAGAGCTGAATCCAATTCCAAGATTTACTGGTTTACATTATTTTTGACTTAGCTAGTCTGGTATTCTGTTTTGATGGCATTTTCTTTTGTATATTTAGCAATCAGAATTAGAGGTTAATCGTTCCACAGGTTGATGGTAATCAGAAGGTTGTCTTTGACTGTGTAAATGATTTTTTTCCTTATAAGAGCTTATAGTTTTGTTGGGAATTGTACCAGATAGTTGTCAAATAAAATTAACTTTATAATTGTAACCAATTTATTTCATGATAGGATACGATTAGATTTAACTAAGGTGGATATAGGCAAGCTGAAAATGAACCTGATAAAACTTGTTACATGGGTGCTAACCTAATTCACGCTGTGCTGATAAAACCATTTTCGTTTTAGCTACATGGGCAAAAAAGAAATATATTGACTTTCACAGTCTTGTTTATCAATATTATTTGAATTTTTTAAGTCAATATCCCTGCATATTTTTGTCCCATGTCAGTGAATTAGATAGGCAACATAAACCTGATGTCATGATATCAACCTATCCTGTCATATACTGAGAAGGAAGATAGCTGATGACGTTATTTGTATATAAGAAAAATTATTCTATCAGAAGGATTTTTAAAACAAACTCGATCTTTTATAGGTAATGCCGAAGGTGTTGGAAATAATCGTAAAGAAGAAATTTACAGGGCATGTGCTATATTAAAGGTGATTTTGCCAATTTTCCTGTAAATTTGATTTGAAAAATCTTTGATAGTTTATTTATTCCCTGGTGTTATTGCTTTTTGGACCATTCACCTGCAGATTCCACTACAACAAGTAAAGGTCCTGGACCATCCCTGTTTGCAGGTAGTACATATAGCACCCCAAAGCTTGTCAAATATCACGTAATAGTATTTTGTCCTTGAATTGTTTGATCCTATCAGGATGGATTCAAGAACACTTGGGACCATGAACTATTGGCAAGACTTATTGAAGATGAAATTAAAGTGTGGGATATTGACTCAGTAAGGTCTATTTTTCGTGAACTAGCACAACGTAGATTTTTTTGTTCCTTTTCTGTAATTATATTCCTTTTTAAGATAATGTGTTCACACTTAAAAAATGGTGCATTAACTTTCTCTTGTTGTAATATACTCTTTCAAAATCTAGATAATTTTGATATGAATCGGACTAGACATTCCTTTTAATGCTGAGTTTTTGGTGATTCGACCAAAAAATAACTTGACCCAATCAGCTTCAGGAGACCAGCTGATTCTATTTCTATATATTTGTACTTTAACAATTTTGAGTATCCTCCATAAGCCCCTCTGAAAAATTTTAGTCGAAGATGGAGCTTGACACACTCTGAATCATAAATTGGCTCATGTCCAAGGGTCACATTAGAAGTCAAATGAAACAAATGTACCATAAAACCAAACTACTTTCTTCAAGCTTTAATTAGCAGATGAAAACACTATTGGAGACTCTGGCAGGACCCATAAATACTGGCTCCAAGGGAAGTGATACCATCATCATTAGTAAGAATTTTCTCTATTTGTTTGCAAGTGTTATGGCCTCAGGAGGTCTAGAGTTGCAGTACTATTATTATCATTCATTAACAAAATATAATCAAGTACTGGGTTGTCTAAAGAGCACGATTCAAAGCTGAAAAGGCATGGTAGTAGCTCAGCCTCAACGAAATTTACAGCCATCTAACATTATATTCTGATTCCAAATTCCTAGCGAAGACAAACTTAGATAGGAGAAAGATTCACCTTTGTTTTTCTTGTCTTGAGTTGAAAAATTATCTTTTCCAAAGTTCTGTTGTAGCTTTAATAACCATTTTAAAGGTATGAAAGATAGGAGCTGCTGGATTGCAACTTAGATTGGTTTAAATATTATGGCGGGGCAAAAGTTGAGTACATATCCTGATGATAAATTAACAAATGATGCTATCATATTAAGTAGTCATAAGGCACTCCAGAGACTATATTTACTTGTAATCAAAGAATCTTACTTCTTATATGAGAGTCTCTTGCTTGAATCATTTAAACAGTGAAAAGACTTCTTAATGTTGGTATTATCCACAACAACATGTGAATGCTCTCTATGATGTGAGCCTAAGCAAGATATTGCTCTTTATACCAATCTGTTGAACCTGTGGCAAAAGAGTTTCAATTACATTGGTTAAGCTGCATGCAATTAGGATGGCATGCTTGTTTTTTTTTTCATTTCATTTTGAATGACATTGATGTGTCTCGTATGCCTAATTTCTTCTTTTTTTTTCTCTCTTTTAGCTGATTACGTTTGATGATTTTGGAGTGTCAGGTCATCCAAATCACCGTGATGTTCATCATGGAATTCGGTTAGTTGTTTTACTTAGTTAAAAGTTGCTTATTAGCAAAGTTTTTTACTTTATTATTGGAACATGTGGTCATGTGGTGTTATTATAGTTAGAGAAACTATTTTCTATCTGAGGAAAACATATATTCTTCATTGCCTGTCTTGCTACATGCATGGTATTAATCCCCTTAATATGATTGTTAAACATTTTCTGTGCCAAGAAATAATACACTCTTTTCTTGTGTCGTCACTGGACTGTATCATATATTTGATATAATTAATGTTTCTCCTTATGTGATAATCTGGCTTATGTATTATTACTACACAAAAGGTCAATGAGTTAAATGGTTTGGCATCGTCTGCACCCAGACATGTTAAAACTTCAGCGGGATGGTGCTTTCAAAATGTTTTGTGTAAATGATTAGTATCATCTCTTCTGTACAAGTAGCAAACGACAATGTAATTCTTTGAATTTTATTTATTTGCCTTCTCTTATTAATGACAGAGTAGTCATTGATTTGTAGCCACTCTGTATTATTCTCCAGTGTGAGAGTTTTCATGATTAGAAAACTAAGTAGAACTTCATTTTTTCTTCAGTTAAGCTTCAAATGAAGTTATGTTAAATTAGAAATCTTTATATAGTATATTGTAGAAGATTATGGAACTAAAAAATATGATGAATATTTCTATGCTACTAATTGAGGTTTCGAATGCACTATTTCTCTGCATGATTACTGCAGTGGTTTCTCTGCTCATGCCACTGAGCCCCATAATGACTTGCTTACATAGCTACAGTATATATTTCCTCAGCTACCAACATACACAACATGGAATTGTGTGATAGTTTTAATGATTACCTTTTCTTCTGTGAACAGCATGCTCCTATCTGCCAATAAGCAAAGGAAATTTGAGGCCTGGGAACTTGTAAGATTCTTTCATAAATGCCAATGAACTATATTAATAATATCTATTTTTTCCAATTTGCACATACTAGACTCCATTAAAATAATTTTGTTACCAGATTGTGTATTTCAGCTTTTAGATCAATAAAACCTCTTTTTTTCCCTCTTATATGTGCATCTGTCGTTATGGAGAAATCCATTCGATGCAGTTGTCTTTTAGCAAGTGATGTACAGAGTTTCGTCATGTTGAATGTCTTGCTACCTGCTTATTAGTTTGTCATGATTGAACCGTGTCATGTGGATGCTTCTTTGTTCTGATAATAACCTTTTCTTGATATTTATTTGTGTAGAAACTTGAAAGTAATATTTAAATGAGAATTACCTGGCTAACATCAGTTAGTGAATAAGTTGAAATTAAACAATTAGTGTACTATTTACAACATGCTTGAGGTGATTTTCCTTTATGCTTTAAGTATGTTGGTGCAAGGGTTTTCTAGAAATCACATTACTGATTATATTGATTGACATACAAGTCGAGAAACCCATAAGTACAACAGGAATTATATGTATAATATTTCATGCTGTGGAGTTAAAATATTTTTAGTACATTGTTTAATATAGATAAGAAATGTGTATTATTTACTTTGTGGTAGCAAGTTATCTAATTGAAGTAATTCAATCTTTTTTACTTTGCTTATTTGCCTTTTTGAAATGATCTGACTAAACAGTTTCCCTATCAGCCTGTGAAAGAAAACATTTGTTTTATCCAATCGTTGTGTAATATAGGCCCCAATTTATAAATATGTGGTGTATTTCATATTTGTATGCCATTTGGTGGGGCTCCAATATGCACTATTCTATTATTGTCAATAGTCGCATGCAACTATATGTTTTATGACATGTTTGACAATCTAGCAAGGTTTCAAATAGCAAAAAACCAAGCATACTGAGAAATGTTTACCAATCCAATCCAACATCACTACATGGTATACTGAATATTACTAAAGTAATGCTGAATTGCCATAGTGGTTAGGTAATTTATCTGTGTTTTGGTGTGGACCAATATCTAAATCCTTCTTGTCTTGTCAAATTTTTTGAAACTTTAGGTTTTATACGAACAAAAAATGCATTTGAATGCTTTAAAAATTTTCCAGACAGCTTCTAACTTTCTAAATAACCAGTGTGTTCCATGTAGATTGTAGCATTGCTCTGAGCTAATTTGTCTTGTTAGAATTTCTTTTACATCTTGTTATTTTTGAGTTTCAAGCTGATGGACGAAATATTTAAGTCTTATTGTTGTCACGAACTCTCTATACTTGGCTTTCTAAGGCTAAAATTGCTTTCGGTTAATCATTTTAATTATTATTTTATTATTTCAGGTCAGCCGAAGCATTTTTCGCAAATATACTGGCCCTTTGGATGTGTGGTTATCGATTGTTTCATCTTCATATTATCGGCAGACACAAATCTATTGTTTACTCAACAATCGTCCATCCAAAAGTTATCTTGCAATGGCTGAGCACCAAAGCCAATGGGTTTGGTATGTATCCATGATAGAGCTTGCACCTCTTTGTCAAATCCGCATTTTGCTGCTGAACATTGTGTCTATGACCAACGGGATTCATGTATACTTAATGTATGAAAATCTACGTGCACAATTATCTCAATATTTCACCATGCTAGATATTGTTCTAGGTTGACAAGTATATATATGTTTCATTATATTTGACGTTGTCATCAAATTGTGTAAGAAAGCAACTAGAATAGATAACCAGCATCAATGGTTGAATACAACTATCATCATCTGCACTAAAAGGCACCTTCGTTTAGTATCCTGCATGGTGGTTAAGTATAAGCATCAGCAAATGATTGGGTATGTTTCTTTTGTTTTCTTTTATCTAAGAAATTCATTAAACTAATATGATCGTATTCAAAAACTTGTTATTGGACATATCTATATTCTCTAACGATTGAATCTTCGAGCCATGTAGTATGTATGATATGCTTATACTCCAGCATCACTGACGTTACTTTCCTTTCTTTCTATATATGATTGGGATGTTCTTGCAGGTTTAGGAAGTTATTTGTGCTCTTCTCCAGTTACACCTACATGAATACGCTGCAGAAGATTATTGACTTGGAGTAAAGGACGCCCACGAGGTGATTTGCTTCCTTTCAGATCCTCGATATATGGTGAGCACTCTTGTCATGCCGAGAGACTAATGCCTTGTAATATTTTTGGAGCTTTAAATGGATTTTGACCTCTGTATCATATCCAATGTTCAGTTGCATTACTGTCTATTTGTTCTTCTTCCGGTCAAAACTTGTCACTTCTTTGTAATCAGGTCCTTTGCCCAGTCATTCCTCCTCTAAACGTATCATTCCAGTTTGGTACTATGATTGCCCGAGAAAGACGTGAGAGAATATTTACAGCTCAGAAACAATGAGCTAAGCTCAAAATTCTCTTTACGCACATATAATTAAATTCCAAGATGATTCTTTCTTTAAATTCAGGATTTTGATAACGATCTCTGCATTGCATCAGATTCGACCACAAGAGACTCCCTCTTGTAATTTATTATCATGATATTATTTCTACCCCCTCGTTTTAAAGGCAGGATTTATTTAAAATAAAAATCGGATGTTTTGTGATGATAAACAGAACGTTCTATTTTTGCTGATAAATCTTCTCTTTTACTTTAGCTGACTTGCTTTAAATTCATTAGGCAAATTACAAGCTTACTCACCAAACATTCATGAGAGTCTCATCAGTGATGAAACTTATTTATTGATTGAACTTTTAGTTGCATGCTTTGAAACTGGAACAAGGATAACAGGTCTACGTAGAGGAACACCTCAGATCTGCAATTGGATTCAGTAGGAGTCATCCCACGAGGTCCAGTTGGCGGCGCTGCCCACCCGGGGCATGGTGGCGATCTTGGAGAAGGCGTCCACCTTGAAGCTGGCGCCGCACATCATTCCCTCGCTGTCCACCCTCGGCATCGCCTGCATCTTCTTCGTCGGGTGCTCGAAGCTCCTCAACCCTCCCTCACTGTGGAACATGCACCCTGGACCATGACACCCATTCATGATGTCACCTATTTCATCACTTCAAACCAAGAGGATCAAGTGGCAGATATCGACCGTACCTGCTGGGAACGGAGCATAAGACTTGCCGCAGCTTCCCTTCATGATCTCCCTGTCGTCACAGATCACCACGGAGCCATCCGCAGCGATGCCCCAGTGCAGTGGCACGCCGCCGTCCGAGCTCTGTGTCAACGACGATGGCAGGCGGAACAAGAATGAGAACTCAAATCCCTGATCGAGATGGATCGATAGCTACATGTGGCGGGGGGTGTACGTACCAGGGCCGCGAAGACGGCGCCGTTCTTGTTGTCGTAGACGACGAAGGCGAAGCTACCGCCGAGGTCCTTCACGACCTGGTCGGCCGGGTACGGCCCGCGGTCGCGCAGCGTCCGGTAAGCCTCGATCACCAACAGCGCCTCGTTGGTGGACTTGCCGCAGAGCCCGTACTGCCTGACGAGGGAGCTCAGATTGTCGAGGCTCCCTACGAACATGCAGTATACTTCATCAAAGCTACAGAACCACCTGCAGCCGCACCGACGATGTTAGGCTTAACGTATACACACGTACGTACTCTTCTTCTACGATGCGAATTGAGAGAAGTGCGCACCTCCGGTGGAGGAGGGAGGGAGGCGGGGCGCGGGGGCCGAGGCAGGCGAGGGCGGCGCCGCCGCTGAAGGTGGCACAGAAGGCGTGGGCGGGGTGGGCGGAGTGGAAGTCCCTGAGGATCTCGTCGGGGTTCTTGGGTTGCCGCCGGCTGTAGCCGGGCATGGGAGGGACAGTGGAGGTGGACTCGGAGCAGCCGAGCTCCTGAGGAGGGTGGGCGACCGTTTTGTGGAATATAGCCAACATCTTCTCCTTTGTCGAGTTTGCGGAATGCTTCTGAAGCGAGGAAAGTACAACAGATGAAGAAAGGATGGTAATGGAGTCTCGTAGAGGGGACGAAGCGGGGCCTTAAATAAGTCCGACGTCAGTTGGGTGGTGAGCGCGCATGTTAGGGGAGCTTATCCGATGACGCGGCGCCACGCCAAGGCCTTCGGATAAGCTGCCACGGCGTCGCACGCATCTTCTGTCGACGGAGAAAGTCCACGAGAAACCCCACGCTGATTCAACCGACTCACCCCGACCTCGTGTGTTCGTGGGCCCCATCTATCACAGTGTGTTGGATGTGCAGCAGCGGACAATCACGCGCGTCGAAAATGAAATAATAAGCACCCGCTCCAATGTGACGTAGATGTGTGTGCACGTCACGTGCCAAAGGCAAAACTCCACGTGGGATGGCAGGTCAAGCTGTGGATAAGATCGCTGACTGTCCAAGTCGAAGCTTGAGAATGCCAAAAGAACAGAGAAGAAATCCCCTGAATTCTATTACAAGAATCTCTGCGACTGTCAACTTTTACAGCCTGTTATGTCTCCATCAACTCCACGATAAGGTCAACCCAAAGAAATCGCAACAGTGAAACAATAAGGAAGAAAGTGACCTTTTTGTATTTTCTGTACCAATAATGTATCAGATGGTCATTACAACTATCACAGTGTCAGCAACGGGTGTCAAGAAGAGTCATGCGTTGGTATCGCAATTCTAACAACAGTTACAGAAGTTTGGATCACTCCCACATAAATGGTACAGGCAGCAGTATAATAGCACTGAGATGCAACCCTAATCCAAAATATAATATTCTTTTGGATGGGATGCACACGGTAATCGGCAAAAGGTTTCATCGATTGACCTGCGAAAATAAGCACAAAAGAAAAAAAAAAAAGATGTCAGGGAAACGGATCGGAAAAGCACGGAGATAGATTCTTATGTTCCGAGAATTCGTCGGAAACAAGCTGCGGTTAACCTTCCTATGAGTTTGCTAAACCTGGTTTCTCAGAAGGGGCAGCCTAGCAGGTATGGCGTCGTCATCGCTGTCGCAATCGGTTCCACTGTCGGGTCCAAGTGCCCTAAGCACCATTGCCGCGAAGATAGATAATGCCTACAAATTGACGGCAAAGTGTCATTTTGATATAACATGACTCAAAGCACTTCCATTTTAGAATATATGTTGAAGAGCGATGGCAAAGAAAACAATCATGAAGCACTCCAAGATTGCACAATATGAAGGCCTAACCCCAAACTATCACTGAAACCCTACTATCCAGAAGAAGCTCACAAAAGATGGATAATGTATCAAGATCCAGCAAAAGGTGTATTTCTAGCAAAAAACGAAAACAGAATCTACAATAAGGACGAAAGAACAAGTCTCGTCGTGCCAACCGTGAAGAAAGCTTCACCCATGTCACTTGTAGATAACCAGACAAATAGACCCTAATAACATTAAGACCCACCTTGAATGTGAACCTAGCATGAGTTTATAGATTCCAAAATGGGATTCATTAGCTGGACTCTACTGGATGTAAGATATGTGTCTCTGATCCAAATTTGATAATGTCCACTCAGCACATCAAAAAAGAGATAAATATTGGCATAACTCATACCGGAAAATATAAGATAATCTTCTGACATGCAATTTTCAGAGCTCAGGATTTGCATTTTAACAAGAAGGGCATACAGAAACAAAATACTCACCTGTGTAGCCACAACCAACAAACCTATCCATTCACACATTTCAAAATTTGATTTCACGAAATTCTTTAATTCATTGAACTCTCCGGTTGGATCCTCAGGAAAATCCTGATGCAGAGCATGGAATCAGACAATATATGTAAAACACACCTAAAAGAATAAATTTATTGGTAATAGACAGACGTTCAAGCAGATTCCTACCTCCTCCCAGTCTCTGTTCAGAAATATAAATGCAGTAATTGCAGCCTCCAATGTAATAAATAGAAAGACAAATACCATGTACTGTGCTGCTGATTAAGGTTAACAAGAAAGAGGTGATAAGCTAACTAAAATATCAAATTACTGGATGATTCTGGCATTTGTCAAGATTCTGAGGACAGATATCATGAAAAAATCAACTTAGTGCTAGATCAAGAAATATTGTCTAAATTTGGCTACAGAACTCACACACTTTAATTATGCAATATTTGCACTTTGTGCTTGTAATACCTAGGAGGCTGTAAAACTCTTAACGGGTCATGCTAACAGTATGCCAGAGGGGTAAACGAGAATATTGAAGGAATCGGCATCCACAGCTACCCGAAATTGAGGAACTCATGAGCTCCAATTTTTTAAAATTGTCAAAATATTGCATGTTTGCATTATTCAATATGCTTAAATGTTACAAAACATATAGAGCAGAAAGGAATGAGTCATTACAGGATAATAAAGCTCTCCGAACACTAAGTAGATGAACAGATAGAAAAAATTAAATGATATTAATGTAAGTACAGTTTTGCAGAAATACTGATGCAGGTACAGAGTACAAGAACAATGAAATTCGGTTGCACTTGTGAAATGGAATTGCCATTTCACTATGGGGATGTACAGAAATGGACGTGAGATACTGAGAGAGAAGAAAGACAATCCACACAGCCATAGAGAAATATATTGGTAATAGATTCTAAATGGGATCAAAAGTGTGAAAAATTAAGCCACTAAAGATCACAATGAAGGACCTTTCTAGAACCTCCAACATGCAATATAATGAAAATATTAAAGGAATGGACCAAGAAAAAATACACTTGCAATAGTGGTCACAAAAATAATATTTCCACTTTCTCTCCCTTATTATCTCTAGTGAACGTCTCATTCTCGTCCTTCTCTCTTGTTACTTCTGCTTGAGTTCCCAATAAGACGAGAAGTATTAAAAAGTGTGTGATATGTCAGTGTCATTAATTTTTCATCCTCTCATATAGAAAATGATGCAACAAATACAAAAACAAGGTTTTTACAAGGTTTAGTGAAGCTACATGTAGATCAAAAGACAACTCAAAAAATCCAAATTAACTTTTTATGTAGCCAAATTTACTCAAGGAACTAATGCATACAATATGCCTAAATTCATGACAACAAAGAACTTCTCTTTTGGAAGCTAAAGATTCTCTAAAACTTCATAGAAATGACAATCATGACAGTAATATTTCATTCATCAAGAAACACAAACAATTCAAGAATAATCTAAGAAAAGAGAAGTCTGATCTCACTTTGCAAAAGGATACACAAGAAAGACAATAACTGTTAGCTGTTTCAGCAGCGATGTGACCCGCGCATGTTATCAAACAAAGGGAGATGCCTAGTCCAAGAAACGTGTAAATGAACCTGCACACCCAAGGACATCTGATTCAATGTTGTCGCAATTATATCAGACGGATATAAATGAAATGGATAGTTTATATTGAAGTAAAAGAGCTTCAATATCAGAATTATCTAAGCGCCAAGTGTTCCACATAAAATGTCTGTTGTGAAAAATAAAATAGTTTTGCCACCTCCGCAGAATATAGTTTGATGCATCACAAGATGAATAAAATTATCCACACGAAAAATATTGTTGAAAAATTTTTCAGTGTTGTATCATCTGGAAACAAGATGCACCATGATGGAAACTCCTATACTTGTTTGGCATGATAACCTTTTATCAATGTGTGAAATGTAGTCACCATTATCAGAATATCTGCTAATCTAGGCCACATTTCCTGAGAGCAACCAACAAAAGATGCATAGAGTAATAAACATAAGAGTAAGAAAAATTATATATAGATCAATCTCTAATGGAATCCTATCTGAACTCCTCATCCCGTCTAGTGGATGAGGTAGCAGTTCAATGTGATACAAACGAATGAGGTGATAGTTACCTGAGGCAGATGAACGGGTAGGAGTCATCAATACAAATTAGGAATAGAAGGAATAAACAAAAATGCAATATTAACATTAGGTACTTACAAACAACATCATCTTTCCATTCAAATCCTATAATCTGCTTAAAACAAAGGCAATGCCCATAACCCCAACTAGCCAAAAGACAGGATAGAAGTCCGGTGTTGTTCCAGTCTGACTCCAGAATATGCTTAAATCAGTGGTCTCCTACTTCAAGCAAAATTGATAGCCTAGTACTCTTGTCAAAGGAAGAAATTAAACAAATTCATTTTCGATTAAAAAATGAAATAAAATATTCTTTGCTCCCTGGTCCCCCATCACCATCTGAAGCACCAAGACTCCACCCCTTGAATTCTTTCTAAAATATCCTTCCCTATTTTAATGTTTTAGCTAAAGCAGTAATTACAGTCACATCCAATAGAGCATAGCTCACTCACCGTGAATCCGTGAATGAACCTAAAAGAGTAAGTACATAGAGTACTTGATTCCAAGTAAATTAGAAGCTCAACGATGTGAATCTTTCACCTTTACCATCAAAAGTCACTGACCAAATCGACAAACATCCAAACGGCAATCCAAAATCGCATCTTGGCGAAACACTTGAAAGAATACATATAAGACGAACAAGAAAGGGCCAGAGGAAATCAGGAGAAGCGAGTCAAACCATGGAGGCGTGGAACCGGAGACTCCGAAGGAGGTACCATCCAGGTGCTTGTACCACGAGCGAAGCATCCACAGAGCGTAGAGGATCATTCCCATCCCCGTCAACCCGATCATAGAGTTCAACATCTTCAGCACCGACTGCAGGCAACTCCTCACCCACCAACCCATGCTCCCTCCCTCCCTCCTCCTCCTCCAACGACCCGAATGTGAAGAAGAACGGAAACCTAGCACCCCGAATCGAACCTTTTACGCGAGAGAAGAGGACGAACCCACCGAAAGAACCGATTGAAACAAGAAGAGGAGGAGATTTCTCGGTGATGCGCAGAAGGGGATGCGTTATCTCGTCCCACTCTATTCATTCCAATCTCGTCTTCGACTGGTCTTCTACCGTGCAGTGGTCGCGAGGGCTCGCATCTCCTCCAAACACACTTTGCTACGTTTCATATCTTACTTACAGACCTACCTATCTTATTATTGGCCTTACGATGGGTCCCACACTCATAAATTTCGTGCGCGATGCAAAGCATGTGAGACGTAACGGGTAAGAAAAAGAAAGCTGATATCCTTAAGCCCGGAAAAGGGTTCGGAGAGAGTGATGAGGACGGGGCTGCTCGAGCCTGCACAGATCGGAGCCGCTCATCAAAGATCTGATGGCGATCGACGGTCAAGTGGGAACGGGATATCTGCAGGCGTCCCGAGTCGTGCCTAAGATCGTCGACGGGGGACAAGGGACGGTCTTTTCAAAGGCGTTAGGTAGGGAATCAAGTCGCGACTCGAGGTCGTCCTATACCCTGTTGTCATACCCGCCACATTCTAGAGAGTTCGTGGAAGGCTTGGAATGGTATCCAATGACTTGGGCCCAAACACAGATCCAATTCTCCAGTCTATGATTGTACTCATAAACATACGTTGATTGATAATTTGAATATTAAATGCATTGCATTTATAGTCCATTTCAGATGGTTGGGACATCACATCCGGTTATTATTTCTGTGATGGTAGTACAACACAATTGTGATTGATGATATCTGATAACCTTACCTTCAAGCATGGATAAACATAAGCTTTGGAGGTTTTTGAATTCTTTTGACTAAGGATTAGGTGGGGTTTACAGCGTTGCAAATATCTGATGTAATGGTTGCAAAAATCATGTAAATGATTATTTTAATTTCACCACATCTGTGCATGACAACAGAACCCAAGCATCATGAGTTACAGACAATGAACTGGAGTAACTAAATGAATCTAGTGATGTGTTCCTTGCCATGATGACATTTTCATTGTTGGTCATACAAGACAAGAATCACACATTTGAGAATGAGGTGCAGGTTTTGGATTGTGCCCAGTGGCTTGCAATAGTTCCATTTGTCTTTAAGGAACATTGCAGTCAATAGTTACTTCTGATTGCCCCAAGACTTGTTATTGAGACAATAGGAGTGCACTTGAAATTTAAGTTACAAACTACAAATTCTAAATTTTTTCTGCATAGTATCTTTAAAATCCATGTGTGTTTTTCTCTCTAGCAGTTGATAATTTCTGTATCATAAACAAAAATGAGCACATGATGACAGTAAATAAACCAGGTGACAACCATATTAACAGAATAGTGGTTCCAAATCATCCATTTTTATCAAGTATCAATCACTGCATATTATACATATCAACTTATCCACTGCCTTTATTACCATATTAAGCATTTATCTGTTTTGTGGTCATTTTCATTGTTTACAGTTTCATATGAATCAACTTATGTGCATGTATGAAAGAAGAAAGCTCAGACCAGTCAAAACAAGAGAAGACACAACAAAGCACAGCAGCAAAGGAAGAGCCATATCTCATGCAGTGAGTTCTCCACCTGCATCTGCTGTCTCCTAAGCCTTGCACTGTTCCCACTCAATGCAAACTGATATGGCTCTGCATAGTACAAGTTTAGTCCATGATTCCTATCCACCCAAGGGAGAATGGAGGCAGCTAAACCACCAAGCACATCCCTAGTCATTGAATGAAACAAGGGTGCAATCGGTGGTGAAGATCGATCTTGGTGGTAGTAATTGTGATGAAACTGCGGCTGCTGCATTGGTTGATAAAGACTATTGTCCTCCTCGTCCGTATTCGAAGCTCCATGGTCGAGCACATGATGACGATTGAGGTGAAAGGTTGGCCGACATGGGACATCGGAGTCCCTCTTGATCCTGTGACTGCCGTGACCATGGAGTGGGATGAGGGTGTCCTCTGAGAGATGGGACTTGCAGACGGGACACTGATGATGGGAGATGCTCTCCACTTGCATCCACTTGTAGATGCAAGGCCAACAATAGAGATGACCACAAAGTGTGATGACTGGATCAACCGAACAGTCCAAACAAATACTGCAGTCAAAGAAACCATCCATGGTTGGTGCTGGATCAGAGTCATCTGATGTGCTGCACTTCATTGGTGGTTCTTTCTCTCGAGGTTTCTCCACCTCATGGTCACAGGAGAAATCACTAGTGATGTGGACCTGGGGAATGTCTTCAACCGCCATCTAGGCTGGGAATTCTTCTGTAAGTTGGTTATGCAAGCTGGATGCAGAACATAACATGACAAAGGAACTATATTAAGGTTCAAAGATGATTAAATTTTGATTTTAAATAAACAATCCAACAATGGCAAACATTACGAGGTTCCTTGACACAAACAACATACAGGGACAAAGTTTGGCCAGTTAATTTTCTAGATGGTAACCAATTTATACAAAAATCTGCACATCATATTGAAGTTAACATTGACATCAAGGTTCGTCGTACCGCTCGGTATTATTCAGTACGGGCGGTATATACTGGTCCGATAGGAGATCAGTACGGGTGATATATTGGTACGCCCCCATGTACCATGTGTCGGTATGCTCGGTATAATTCGATACAACTCAATACGTACCATACTAACAACTAATCGGTACACTGGTACGGACCGGTAAAGCGATCCATGATTGATGTCCTATTGGCTGATGAGCAAAGGAATGAATGGCGAGGAACATATAGACCAAACAAGTTGTAAAGCATGGAGCCAAACTTGTGTGTTTTTTGTGCCATAGCTAAACATGGGGAAAGAGTGGAGCACTGATGAGTCACAGGAAGGCAATGCCATGCATGTACACATTCCCAGTAACAGCAAAAATAATGCAAGGTTGATCAGGTTTGGTACAAGAAAATGACAAACGCATGACAATGACATGACAAAGGTTGGTTCAAAAGAAAATTATACTTATGGTAGAATCTGAGCTTATCATGCAAAGAGGTGTCCATATCAACTGCATCAGAAAAGGAAGATGAGTAATGCATAAGAAGCATCTTTTTTGCCTTCCAGAGATCCCGACATCTAATATCAGTTAGAGAATCAGCATCCTAAAAGTACTCTAAACACAGATAAAGCAATCTATGAAGACAGAAGAAGATATAGAGCTGCTTTCAATATTAGTGGGTGACCTCATATGCCTTCCTTGCCAACCAAGTCAACGGGCTCTAGGAAATAATTAGCAACACTGTGCACTTTGAAAAAGGTGACAAACAAGATGCAAGGATAGTTATGGGGGATCAACAGATAACAACAAACCAGGATTTAAGCGAATATTATTGGATTAATTTGTCAATCATGAGGAACACACTTTTGAATGGAAAGGAGCTCAAGATTCATTGGTAGGGACACTTTAGATGACCAGAGTGAAGCAGAATTCTAGATGTATTGTGCAAGTTGAAAGGATCAAAGTGAACTTGGCAAAAGTTCTTATTCCTCCTACAAGAAATAATGGACATAGGATGAAATTATTGATAGCATCTGATATGACTTCTTGGGCTCTAAATTATTATTGGCTAGAGTATTCACTGTTCCAAGGTGAGTAGAGTAGGTAACACAGTTCCACTTCAAACAAAATGGTCCAATGCACAAAAGAGAGAGTACACATCCATCAAACAGTCCGATTTATCTCTTTAAGAAACAACTTGTGATTGGAAAGCAATATTCCTTCCACATGCACCAAAAGGAAGGAGAGAAGAATACAGGAAGGAGGAGGAAGACTTATGCCCCAAAAAGGTGAAAGGTAAACATTAGATCTTCATGATTTTAGAATGGAGTCTATGGTCTTGACAAGCATTGCAGGAGAAGATTTTCACACACACACACACACGAGAAAAGAAAGCGAAGATTTGCTAACAGATCTTTAAAAAAACGAATTAAGAAATTCATCAAGGATAAAAGAGCAAAAAAAATCAGTAAATCTCGTTGAGATAACATCTCACGCGGATATAACAACATCAAAATAAGTTCTTGAATTAAAAGAAGAAAATGGTAGAGAAATTAGGCATATATTCAGATATGTTACCAACCGAGGAATAGAACAGCAGACAGAAGAAATTTGCACACTCTTTATTTTTTATCCCAACTTGATCATGAGTTTCGAACCAGTTAAAATCCCTAACCTAATGCAATCAGAAGTTTTGGGCAGAATAACATGAAAAACGAACAAGCCTAGACGCATGAACAGCCAAGGTTAATAAAACTCATCCCAAAACTCTCAGGAGCAGAGTAAACACATGTCTCACAAAATTTAAAGAGGAGAAAAAGAATAACATCGCATTTGACAAGCAAGTTCCCCCTTTTTCACCTTTTCCACTCTGTTGCTCAGAAATATAATATACAAGTACAAGAAAAAAGGGCGAAATATACCGAATCCATCGAATTCTTTGCATAAAAACCTCGAATCTCTGCTCGATCGAGGAGCACAGGACAACAGAAGACAAACGATTAAAGCCGCTAAAGAAGCTCCATCCACGTACCTACACCGGAAAAGGGAACAGGAAGAAGTGATCGATCTCCTTATCCTGGAGCCTCGATCGCAGAAATCGGCGCGGTCGCCGCTAACAGAAGCGGCGAGGAGGAGAGCGGAGGAGACGGAAACGATGAGGCCGCGCTTGCTACTTATAGTCAACAGCGAAGCAGGGAAGGCACCCACTTCGCACGTGCCGCGTGAGGCAGATGCGATGTACTGAGCTCACATAGCACAGGATTTTGTCCAATCAGAAACCAAATAATTTTATTTTGTTTTTTATATTATTAATTGGGACAGAAAATATCACAAAAGAATTGGGTTGAAATAAGATTTCAATATTTCTTGTTACTAAACTAAAAACATTTGTAATTATATTAAAAACACCCTAATTCATTCTTAATTAATTCAAATTCTCATAAACATTAATTATATATATGATAAAAATATTTTATCTGATAGCATTTTAAGAATATTTGACATATTTCAAAATAAAGAATGATAAGTATTTTTTTAACATAACCTTAAATTAGACCTATAATTTTTAAAAAATCAAATAATTATTTTATTTATTAAAAATATTTAAAAATAATCTTAGCTGTAATATTTTTGAATGGACTTATAGTATTTTTGTCACTGAATACTTCATAGTTTCAATTAATTAAAATTTTCATTAACTTTCAACTATAAGTTTAGAGGTATTATAAAATAATTAATTATAAAATTTTTTTATTATGATCATGAAGGTATTTACATATTTCAAAATAAAGCATCATAAAAATTTATTTATTTTCATTGTATCTTAAATTCAGTTTTAAATATTTAAAAAATATATATTATTTATAATCATTTATTGTGAATAAATGATAATTAAAAAAATATGATAGTATTCAATAAGAGTATTTTTTTTTAATGGAGTAATAATGTTTTTTGGTGTAGCAATACATAACTCCATTAAAAAAAAATATACTATAATGTTGGACTGATTTAACCCAAACTATATTCTGATGAAAATTTATTTTTTTATGAGTATTCTGTCAACTATTGTGATCAACGAATTATTCATCTAAACTCATTCTCAATTTAGATCTATGAGGAGTAAGAAAAAAAGGTGACACCATTACACATTCTCTATCAATAAACAACCTCGTAGTGCATTCATGAGATGCTTCTTTGAAGCTTCTATCGAGTTTCGTGGAAGCTCCAAAAGGTTCCTTTGAAGGCTAAAAAGACAAATGCTTCGTCTTGACTTCATAATAAGAAGATGTTCATCACCAACCCATACTTTATTCATTAAGATCCCTTTGTATGGGAGCAATACTTCTAAGATGAGAGCTTGGCATATGGTGTTCCTGGGAATCAATTGCGAGTCGTGAGGGAAGAAGATTCCCATGGCGGCAATATAATTACTACATGTTACACAAACTACAGCATGATGGGTGATTCTGCCGGGGGGAAGACGTCGACAGGGATGTCGCTCGGAGGATAAGCAGGAGACTCTCCAAACCACTCATATGCCATCACTGCTGCTGCACCGCTGCTTCGTATCTCCGCCATCTCACGGTGAGCATTCATTCGCTGTGCTTCACATAAGGTGGGAAGGAACACTCCTGTTGAATCCACAAGTCAAGATCACAACAAGTGGCTATGATATTGCTGTGCTTGCAGTGTACCTTCGCCAGCTGCGAGATTGAAGTAGAGGTTGACTAC